CCGACCCCCCCGCCCCCCCCCCCCCCCCCCCCCCCCCCCCCCCCCGCCCCCCCCCCCCCCCCCCCCCCCGCCCCCCGAGATAGCAACGCTGAGGACCTTGGAGGACATATTCTCTCTCCTATGTGGTGGCCAGCCTGGTGCTCCCGGAACCGCTGGTCCTTCTCGAAAGGTTCCATTGTCGAGAAGGCATAACCCAAGACACATTCAATCGAACGTTGAAGGAGACCTACTAGGTACCTAGGTAGGTAAGCTTTCAAATGGGGTTCCCCCGTGTTCCCTGCTTCCGCCATCGTTCATCCAGGTAAAGTGCACTCGCAGCTGCCAAACGACGGGTAGCAGTAGCACCTGCCATTTATCAACCCCTTTTCTTTCCGCATTTCAAACCTAGATCCTCATGGAAACAACCGCCATCCGGTCGCGCTGTTCATAGATAGGTATGCACACTAGCTTTCTTCGGCAACGTAGGTACAATTGCTCGTGGGTGTACTTGGCGGCTCTTCATGCACTGAACTGTGGCCGACTCCTCGCCACCAGAGTCGGATAGTAGAGACCAGTATCAATGGACGCACTTGCCAATCCGGTCTTCATAACCATGTGCTCTTCGTATGATGAGGTAGTTTAGATAACCCCCCATGTGTTGCAACCGGCGAACTTTCGCTTATTATGTAGGCTGCTGTCTTCGGGTGTCAGGTTCTGCTCCCTCCATGCTTCAAAGAGGGCATGGCTCTCTGAGAGGAAGAGAGGTTATCTTCATCATCCAACTTGAATTTGGCCAGGACAGCATCCCCCTTTAGAGCCTGCATCGTAAGAGATGTCATAAGCACAGCGAGGCCAGAAGCCGCCACCAGCCCGCTTTTCGTCTCCCGTCCTCTTCCTTCCTCACAAGCCAACGGCGATTCCAGTAGCCCTCTGAACATAGCCTGGCGTCCCTTCCCCGTCAGTTCGGCTTGGGACCAACTAAGGCATCTCTCAGGCTCCGTGGCAAAGACGACGTCGTCCACCCGATCCATCCTTCCCCCAGCGCCAACAGCTCCTGCACCGGCTCTTCAAATGTGTTGTCATGGGCACTTGCCTGGCTGCAGAGAGGCCTGTATAAAGACACTGCTCGTCCGCACCTCGTCTCTGGTCCTCTTCTCCCCCTTCTTCTTCTAGAACTACACTGTTTGTCTGGGTCCTGAGGTCGAAATTGCACATTGTCATATGAACAAACTCCCCCATGACGGTAACCCTCCCAAGTAGAGCAACTTGTTTGCTTAGATCAACCCGGCAGCACACGAGTCCTTTTGGTTGCGCAGACTGGCTACTCCTTACTGAGTTTCCATGGTTTTTCTGCCTCGCGTCAGTGCGGAACAATCCCATTTTTTCATTGCCATCTCGGGCTTGCCCCAGAAGGTGAAGAAGTGAGACTCGTAGATCGGTGTGCGGTTGGCGGCTGGTCTTGTAGACGCAATGGACTTAGACTCTTGCCTTGCTGCACCATTGTCTGTCTCGCGTGTGTACGAAATGCTCATTTGGCGATGTGCACCCAGCACGATATCTTTAGTATCGATTTGTCTACCCCCGTCGACACCTCAGTCTCGAACGGACTGGCAGTTCATGTGCTTGGCTACTTCGAGCCCATCTTCCGTGGTATCTGGCCATATGTCAGCGATTTGGAGTATGTCTTGTTGAAGAATAGGGTGTGATAGTTACGATTTGGCGGTTTGGCTGGAGCACGTCCTCTTATTGTAACTAAAACTAAACTTGGACATCCCCTGGGGTGCTCATGTGTCGATGTGCTCCCCGAACGTGACCATCCAAAACTGTAACGTGCGAATCTGCGTGGGATTTGGCACGCTGGGCGTCGCCTTTAAGTAGCTGACTGTATTAGGGTTTACCTAAAGCGTCCGTAAACTAGGTTGGGGCCACTGTAAAACTTTGGTGACCTCTGAAGGATTTAGACCTCCGTGAAGCACCTTATTTTCCGAGACATAGGTAGTACTTCCGTTTAAGGGTAATGAGTCAGGGCTGGGCAAAATGGTCTGTAAGTTGGCTCTCCATATTTTAGTCTGCCTTGACAGCTCTCCCTTTCCGACGAGGTTAGCTGGCTCAACCTGCGACCTGGCCACCCTCCGGAACCTAAACTGGTCCTACCGAAGCAAAAGCTAGAGAGTAGCCCGAGAGGTCGTCAGGGATCCCAACTCATGGCTGGATCGAGCTGGTGATGCAAAATCTTTCTGGTAACACCGGGCGAGGGCCGAAAGGTGAGGCCGACGATATCCTTTGTCGCACCCGCCGAGTCCAAGGCGTCGGACGTCTTACAATGTTACCACACGTATGGGACAGGGCAATAAGAGATATCGCGAACAAGCCTGTGAAGTGAGATTGAGAGCCGAGGAATGTCGGTTGTGACGTGGTGGTGAATGAGGCGATGCATACGACGTGATTGAAATCAGGGGTTGCACCCACACAGGTCAGTGGCAATAGCGGTTACTGAGTAGAGGATTTCGAAAAAGAGACTGCCTAAACGAGCTAATAGGCCGCAAAACCTGACTCCGCAGAAACATGGACCATCTATTTGTGTCTTGTACGCCGTCGCAATGCAGCAGCCCCCAAACACCCATAGAAAAAAGCAAGACGTCCTCCGTCACGTCAGCCCCTTCGGCTCAAGCCGAACCGGGTCCAGCATCCATTTCCACGGCCGGTCCCTCGCGCTTTCTCCGATGCTGACCCTCCTCGCGGTAGCGCTCCTGCTGCTGTTCGTCGATCGTGACACGGTTCTTGCGGTACACGCCAAAGGTGAGGAGGAATCCGACGGCTAGCACAGCCGAGCAGACGATCATCTCCACCTTGAGGGCGTCCGTGTACGTCCGGCGCACGGCGGCATGCTGCTCGGCCGTGAGCGTAGATGCGGCCGAGGCGAGGTCTTGCATCTGAGCGGGTGAGAGCACGCCCGTGAGCTCCGCCCGGGACTTGACCCCGAGGATGGCCGACGATGCCGCGATGCCGAGACTCCCACCTAGGATGCGGGCCTGGGCGAGGATTCCCTGTGCGGGTGCTGCGTAACATAGAGTGTCAGCAGAGACGTCAACTAATTCGGGACTCCCGGTCACCAATTATGACTCACCGTGCTCTCGGATAGGAGATTCGAGGCTGGCCAGCATTGTCGACGAGGATGCTGCGAGCCCAAAGCCAAAGCCGATGAAGGCTAGGAACCCAAGGACCTTGGGCTCGATGTCCCGAGAGTCTGATGCTGTGGTCTCGAGGGCGACACCCATGATCATCAAGGAGCACGCCGCGACAAGCGTCTCAAAGATGCGGTTATTCTTGGCACTGATCACCCCCGAAAGCGAGCTACCGACAGCGGTCCCGACGAGCATGGGCAAGAGCATAAGCCCCGCCTCGAGCGCGCTCTTACCGTTGACTACCTGGAACCGGATGGGGAAGGTGTAGATGCAGATGAAGTATGGGAACCCGGTGAACATTGTGTTCAGGATGCCTGCCGTGTACACATGGTTCCGGAGGAGACAAAGCGGGAATGCGGCCGCTTTCTCCCCGTGCCATCGCCGCTCGATGAAGTACTCCCAGGCGAGGAGGGAGAACAGACTAAAGATTCCCAGGATCAAGGGGGCGATGAACACGGCCTGGCTCCACTGCTGTGCATCGACACCGGCGTTCTGGAAGGAGAAGACTATCAGAACCGATGCGGCTATGAGCAAGAACGATCCGAGGTAGTCGAGGTCTTTCCAGGATCTCCGCTTGAGGTCCGGCAGGAACTCCGTTTTAGGCCAGGTAAGCCAGAATACAATCGCCGAGACGCCGCCAATGGGTCCGCTGTTATCCTTGTCAGCACCGTGCTCGGGAACGCAGGAAGGGTTTCTCAACATACTTTATCCAGAAGACATATCTCCAAGATCGGTAGTGGGTCAACAGCCCACCGACGACTGGGCCCATGACTCCAGCAACGGCGATGACAATTCCGATGATTCCAGCAATAAACTTCTTCTTGTCATCGGGTGTGAGCTCTGGGAAGATGATGATTGCGATGCTATACAGGCCTATATCCTACTGTGTCAGTGACCGGGTAGTGATGATATGGGGGCGAGATATTCACCTCCACCGCCGAGCCCTTGCAGTGCTCGGAATACGATCAGTTGATTCAGGCTCTGAGCAAACCCGCAAGCCAGAGAGAAGGATATGAATATCCCGTACGCGACCAGAAAGGCCGCCTTCCGGCCAATGACATCCGAGATCCGTGCAAATATGACGGCGCAGCCGAGGTAGGTGAGAGTGTACGACAGGGCCACCCAGTTGATCGAATCCAAGGACTGGAACTCCAGGGCGATGGAAAACATGCAGGTGGCGACGATCGAGGTGTCGAGCATTGCCAAGAAGAGGCCGAGGCATAGGCTGTCCCAGGTCAGTGATGGTTCTGGGTTGGAGGATATGACGCAGATAGACGCTTACCCAAAGCCCAGGAGGGCAAAGCGCCACGCGGGGAGTATTGGAGTGGTGGGATCGCGATGGTCCCCGGTCTCCGCCGCTGGAGGAGGGCCGGTGGCACTCATCGTCTTGACGCCTCCTCCCGAGGCTGTCTCTCCAGGGCTGGGCATGGTGGTGCCAGTAAGGGAATTTCTGGATGATATTGTGTTGCCCCGAGTTGCAGTGGTATTCTCGTCCAGGGAATACTTTTCAGATCTGGTAGATCGACCAGATGGAGCAGAATATTCTCCAGTTGTCCGGGCGTCCTTCTCATCCAGGAGGTGGCCTTTGCTTGTCCCATCCATGTTGGCAGATTGGTTAGGCCAGTTGTGAGAGAGTGATTGTTTGGTGAAGCTGAGTCCTGATGAAAGGGACCAGAAGCCATTTGAGAGGAAGAGTCATAATATAAACAAAAGATATAATGGCCTGGGTTGGTCACAGATCGGCCTTGTATGAAGCCGACTCGTTTGTAGGGTCGTGCGTCACTCGTCCAGCGAGGAGGACATCAAGGACATCAAGACCAGATGAGACCACGGAAGGACCGACAACCTCCACAACTCCACAACTCTCCCACCTCCGAGTAGGGGATGGACCTTATGATAGACTGAGGTTCGGGGCCCAGAGATCAGTAGGTGGGTCACCAAGTTCGGATTCGCACTCGCTAGCGAGAGCTACTGAGACTGACTCCAGGGGGCCTCTAGTTGGATTGAGTCTATCTAGGTATTTTCAAATCCTGCCTGGCAAGCCTGGCTGTGGATGCGCACTCCATGTTTTAATGGCCGGCAATGCATTGGTTTTATGGGATTCACTGGCAACCGCCGAGTTGCGTTCTCACAAGTTTGCTTCGGCCGAAAGAATTGTCGGTCGCGGCCGTAACACCAAGGTTTGAGGGCTGCAACTCACTCCCAGGACCCATATAATCCTGCGAAACAACAGGCAAAAGCCAGTGGGCATAAGACAAGCCAGTGAGATATCCAGGTCTTGCATCTAACTAATGCAATAGAGGTGCGAAAGTAGGCAAGACAGACTGCCTGTCTGTTTGGCATGCATTAGCGGGTCCGAGCCGCCCAGACGAGTTGCGAACTGCCAATTGCCCCCGAGCCCGGCCGGCGAGGGAAGCGATGGAAATCGGTTTTGCCCAACCATCATGCCACCCTCTCCGGCGCTTTCTCCCAAACCGAGGTGGGGTGCGCAGCCAGATGGACACCACCTTTTCACGATCTTTCGTACGAGAGACGGTTGAAGGATTGACCCCTCACCCCCCGCAGAGCCAACATGCGCCGCAACTTATGATTCTATGATTGGCGGGCTCGAAATGCGAACATCACAGTTATCAGATGGGAATCCTGGGATACCTCGGCAGGTATGACACCGCCTCAATCACATTGCAAGCAAGGAGGCAAGGAGTTGAAGCCGTAACCAAGCTTTCGGGTCAACAACGACCAACGGGCCATCAGTGCGGCTCTCTAATCAAGATACAGACAGAACCTTGCCTATCTTTAACCTCGTCGCTCGCCGGTCTCGTGCGGCCCACGCCAAAGGACTCACCCAGGTGGAAGGCACAGCTTAAAGATAATCCCGCGGTTGACTCCTTGAAACCGACGAAATCTGTGCCGAGTACGTCTGTTGTGGGTGATCGCTCGGGTAGCACTTGATGCCGTCGATCGTCAGATTCAGCGCAATGGCCACATGCTCCTGCTGTGCGCCAATATTTCACAACTCCAAGAGGACTCCATACCCAAGAAATTGGGTAGGACAAGACTGTCTTGGAGTCTCTTCACATGTGCATGGACTCCGAGAGCGCACAAATCCAGGATCCCTGGCCCCTGGTGACCGAAATCTCGGGAGGCGCCGGTAATTTATTCTCGTCGACTCGGTTGCAGAAACCGAATGCGAGGCCGTTGAAGAGGCGGGAGAATACCCCGCCGATCCTCTGTTTGCCTGGCCAATAAGCTGCGAGATCAGGAAAGCCATCGGCCCACCACAAGGGAGGCGGGAGTTGAGCATCAGGATTGCCCTTGACGATATCTGCTCTTACTGCTCAGGGAAAGGTAAAATGAATAACACCAAGCCAGAGATATAACCCACGTGTAGTTCAATCCTATCAAGGAAGCGTGCCGGATCATTACGGTGTAAAAAGTTACGCAGCTCCGCTGATTTTGAATCGAGGACCCGAATGGCGGTGGAGAACTACCAGAATGAGCAGGGTTTGCTGATTGTATCATTCCTTCGCTGGAAATTTTGGCCGTTGCGATGGCCGGACGTTCGTTTGCGTCAGCGCTTGGGGGAGGATCCTTCATTCTCTCTGTCATCTGCTGGAATGATATATTTGCCAGTGCCAAGGTTACCATGGTGTAACCAACCTTACAGGCGAGGGGTGGTGCGGAAGGTGCCCTTGAGAAGACAACTGGAAAACGAAAAAGGGACGGGATGAATGACAAAACAGAAGACAAAAAACGTACAACACCAGGGATTCGCTGGTCGTCACCGACCCAACTACTAGTCTGGCGGTCGCTGGCTTATCGAAGGCAGAGCGGACGGGATGCCGAGTTGTCCAGTGCCTATGGTCGTACGTGACAGTTTCTGCCTCAACCCAGTATATGATGCGGTTCAGGATGACAACCCCTGGAAACATGACAAGCTTCTTCCAAGGCACAGATTTGGAAGGCTCAATAGCAGTAGTGTTAATGCCATTCATTCAAGGCCAGAGCAGTAGTGAGCTAGACAATCAACAAAGGGTCAGGAAGAGACTCCGTAGGATTAAAAGTTGATTAGAAGAGGGTTCCCCAATGCTCTCCTGACCTCATGTTCGAGCTAGGAAATTTGCCTAGTGTCTTAACCTGCAAAAGAGCATATATCCGTCTGTGGCTGGCGGTTATAGAGAGTTTAATCCTACCGCTGCTTCCATTTAAGAGAGAAACAGCCCGAAGTGGGCGAAATATTCTGAAGAAAGCATCAAAGTGAGTGTGAAAAGGGCCAGGGGTTGGAGGTGCAGTTGAGCACTGGGGCACAGCCACCTGTGGCAGACTTTCAGCATTCATCGCCCGCTTACCAACCCCGCAATTTGTGGCTGACAGCCTCCATCCGCAGATACCCCAACCAGTGATAACCTCATCTCCCACAGTCGACATCCAACAGTGGTGGGCTGCGAGGAGACCCTTAAGCTGTGTCCGCCTTGCCACCAACCTCAGTCTGGGAATGCCGCTATTATCCGGCTCAATATGACCGAGATAGTAATGAGTCAAACCCCGCCAATGCTCCATGGACCCTCAGAGAAGGAGCGAAAGTACGATCGTCAGCTCAGATTGTGGGCGGCGAGCGGACAAGCGGCTCTTGAGTCTGCAAACCTCCTACTTCTGAACTCGGGGGCCGGCACAGTCGGCATAGAGTCCCTCAAGAACCTCGTACTGCCAGGTACGGTGTTCATGCTCATCCTTGCAGACGACTGCCTTATGCGCACCCCAGGCTGACCGACATCGTGCCAGGCATTGGCCAGTTCACTATAGTTGACAACTCCGTGGTCAATGAGGCTGACCTAGGTGTCAACTTCTTTCTGGATGACAGCTGTCTCGGCAAGTCAAGGGCACAATGCTGTGCCGAGCTCCTCCTCGAACTCAATCCAGAGGTTCAAGGCGACTGGTTTCCCAAAAAGGAGGTACGAGTCATCCAGCTTCGTGTCCAAGTTCCGGCTCCCCGTGGAGATCACCTGTCTGATGCAACTGATATAGGGCGATGTGGCGCTTGAGGCATTCCTGGCAACCTCTCCCATATTCACACTGATCATGTACTCGCACCCCATACGACAGGAAGATCTCGCCGTCATCGAGGCATACGGGAAGCAACACAAAACACCATTGGTGGCAATCCACTCGGCAGGTTTCTATTCATATTTCCGCATCAGCCTGCCTGGTGCATTCCCCATCGTTGACACCCACCCGGATGAGACTGCAACCACTGATCTGAGGCTCTTGAACCCCTGGCCAGAGCTAACAGATTTTGCGAGAGAATTGACAGAGGACATTGATTCTCTTGACAACCATCTTCATGGCCACTTGCCCTTCATCGCGATATTGCTGCACTACCTTGGTCTGTGGAAAGAGAGCCATGATGGCCAATATCCCTCCAGTTATGCTGAGAAGACCGCTTTCCGCCGGCTGGTCCAGGAGGGAGCAAGAAGGGATAATCCCGAGGGTGGCGAAGAGAACTTTGACGAAGCAGTCGCGGCGGTCCTCAAGACCATTGTACCCTGTTCCTTGCCTCCGAGTCTCAAGGAAGTATTCGACCATCCTCATATGAGCCCAGTATGTCTCCCGGCCCACAGCCCCTAATCCGCGGAAAGCCGGAGCTCAGCTGACAAGGAGCATCAGGAGGAGCAAAAGTCGGGGTTCTGGGTCATCGCAGATGCTGTCAAGCAGTTCTTCGAGCAGCACAAGTGCCTACCGCTTCCTGGGAGCGTGCCAGATATGAAGGCTCAATCGAGCGTCTACATCAAGCTACAGAGCATCTACAAGGCGAAGGCACGCCAAGACTTTGACGAGGTACTAAAGATAGTCCAGGCCGCCCCGGGCGGCCGAGATGTCGACGCAGCAGAAGTGGAACTCTTTTGCAAGAATGCAGCCTTCGTCAAGCTCATCAACGCCACTGGAGGGCCCAGAAATACGACCGTGAGCGCTGATCAGCTGGCCAAAGTCGCTAGTAAGTCATTTGCCCTCGCTTCTCCGCTCGACAATCATGCCGTCTCCACCAAATTCCGCTTTTCTTCGGCTCCAGGGCGCCTAGACCACTAGCCAATATATATTAACCTTTTGGCCACAACAGCTGAGCAACTAGCGAACGACGAGAATGCGGCCCTGCTGGCGATGCCCCTGTCTCTGATGCCCATATATCTCGCACTGCAGGCAACGTCGCACGTGGCGATGGCGAGTGCGGAGGAGATACTTGCCAGTATCGAGAAGATACTCCCTGGAGCGGGTCAGGACAACCGCGTGGTCCAGGCCGCCCGGGAGGTGGCACGAGCCGGGGGTGGCGAACTGCACAACATCTCCGCCCTGACTGGTGGGATGGTGGCCCAGGAAATGATCAAGATCATCACCAAGCAATATATCCCCATCGACAACACGTGCATCTTCGACGGCATCGGCAGCCGGTGCCAGGTCCTTCATTTATGAAAGGCGCGAGCCTCATTCGCTACTGTCAAAGCTACCCTGCTGCCCCCCTTGCCCCCTTGCCCCCCTTTCTTCCGATGGACCACGTCTTGGCACTGGCTTTGTGGACGGGGGGCGGCTTTGAGGGGTTTTCGGGAAGCTGCAGAAGGCGAGAGGAACGGGGTGATGGAGTGATGGGATATGAGGGCCGCCCTGACGAAAACTGCCCATTTTTGCTAAACCAGACCTACAGGTAGAACCGGAGCGCAGGGAACAAAGGGTAATAACAGGAGAGTAGACAGGATGCCTGGCCAACCGTTGCCATCCGGCTAGAAGAGGATTTTCGGCACTGGCGTCGCACTGTTAATCAGGAACTGGTCTAGAGTCGTAACGTAGGTCTGTTAAAAAAAAAGTTGGAGAAGAGGACCAAGGAGAGGGGGGGGGGGGGGGGCGGAAAGCGGGAAGGGGAAAAGTGGAGAGAGTTGGAGGTGACCGGGCATTGGCGGTTCTCTTTGGTTGTCCTATGGGTGCTGCCAGTCATCGTGTCCGATCTGCAGCTTCTCCAACTCTGGTATTCTCTCCCTCTTCTTTACTATGTACATGTGTGCACATAGTATGGAAAATGTGACAAGTTACCTGACCTACCTGTGGCGTGTGGGTGTGGTGGGGGGGGGCTGTGTGTGCGGGATATGGACAACAGTGGGACCCCCTCCCCCATCTCTCTTTCGCGGTCATGGTCCCCGATCAGCCAGCGCTGATGATACCTTGTCAGCCACGTCCTGGACGGATATCTCATCGGACCGCAGGGCCTGCCAGGGCAGCGATGGAACCTCGCCCACGACCCGGCCTTGTTGACCAGCCCTAGTGTAGCCGCTAAACCAGTCCTCTCGTTACTCCTGAGACAGTACACAACCGGGGATCGCATGTTTCCTTAAGCGCTGCAGAAGAGGGAGGGGTGAAGACGGTTTGGCACGGTTTTCCCGGCCAGCTTCCTTTCCGTTGCCCGGGAGTACTATGGAAAACGGCACGCGAAGAAGAAAAAAAGCCACAGGTGTTAAACTACAGTGGGTTGCTTCCTGTTGCCCTGTGCGAGCGCGAGCACTGGCAGCTTGCAGCGATTTACACCGATTTGGAGGGACGGGTGAGCCAGTCGGATACAGCCGTGCCCTTCGGCACGGACGAGGAGGGCTGGGCAAAAAAAGAAAAGAAAAGAAAAGACCGATGTTTAAAGACGTGCAGCGTAACGTTCCCCTTCGTGACCTTAGCGGGATTTCAGGTGAGCCGCAGGCCGGCGCCACCTGAAATCAGGGAGTTTTTGCGGACGCGTCTTTCTGCTGGGTGAATGCGTGGGAAGGTTGGGGACGGAGGCATGAAACAAGATATTGCACAGAGCTTTCGGAGAAAGAGAGGTTTGGCCGTCTACTCGCGCAGGTAGGAGGTGACGCCATTGCTTCAGGCGGGCCGCATTGCAGTGCAGGGTGCGTCTCTGTCTCTTGCACCCAGGGTCCCCAAGGTTGGCCAAGGCGGCCAGTTGTGGCTGAGATCGGCGAGTCTTTTCGGATCATCGCCAATCCACCATGCAGGCGAAGGGTTCGCGAATCCTGGGGTTCCTTGTACGGGGAAGGGAGGGAGCTGGGTCAGAGCTACCTATCTCTCTTTCTGCGGCAGGCATGTTGTTGGCCTTGCCTGGGGAAGTGGTGAAACATGCAATATGAGCTGTCCTGCATCTGCAGCAGTGGCAATGGGGGCCTATTGCCCCCAACTAATGGATGCCTCACTGCCCTGAACCTGCTTTTGTGGGTAGCTCGCTCATGCCACTCATTCAAGTGATTAACTTAACATATGATCCTATGATAATGACTTTTATTACGGGAAGCCCAGTGGGAATTTGCGTGTCAGGAACGCGCCTCGACATACTATCCAAGTAATGTAGGTGGACGGCTCAGGAACCAGGGGTGGTGGGTCGAACAACCACGTCATGTCCATGCGATGGATGGCTGCCCGTGACTGATCAGTTATTTCTAGTGCACTTCTAAGCCGCAGGTTTCCAGAACAGTTAATCCGGTTGGCCCGGATTTTCGGGGACGGTAAGCAAAGTGGGCAGAAAGGTTCAAGCTTGGGATCCAGGTCCATGACGATGCTAATTGGAGGATGCGGCAGCGAGCAACAGATTAAAAGAGGCCGGCGTGATGCGCTTGGGTCACGCACCCACCGTGCTGGCCACCGGCGATTCTATCTCTGGCCCGTCAGGTTGGCCGGATGTTTATGTCAGACCTGGCAAACACCGAAGCTGCGGCCTGGAATTGATGGGCCATGAGCTCATGAGCCTCAGCTTGTGTCATGCGATACGGCGCGGGCAGCTCAAGAACACGATACGGCCAGCTAAAATAGAAACGCGAGCGCGGGACCCCAAGAGAAGAAGGTGAAAGCACCGGGACGGGACAGCAAGCTACGGGTAATAATGGCATACGGCTAGAGGCGCTATTACTGAGTATGGCCGAAGCCATGGAAAATTAAGAGAAGAAAACCACGCTGCTTTGCACATGAACAGGTTCACAAATTAGCCAGGGGTGGTTGGGTTAATATACTCGTCTCTGCAAAACTAGAGTGGTGTATGGATTGCTGCGCACTCATTCCTAGACTCGGGCGGTTATGGCATGGTAAACCTGCGCATTTCTTCCTTGCTCTCCCCTCCATCTTCCATCTTCAATCTTATTTTCTCATCTTATCTTTCATCCTTCTTTGCGCTGAAACGTGACAGAGAAATTGAGAATGGCTAGCCAGTCCTGAACACTAAACCTGCCAAGCCGGATAGTCTCCGCACGTGGTGCGGAATCGTAAGTAGGTACCCAACATACTACGTAGTAGTAGAGATTCCTCCCTGCCTTGGGGCGCTGGTCGCAATATTACTGGACCTCTGAGCTCTGGTTGTGGATGGGCAATTCATAAATGCATCGTGTGGAGAAACTGGAGAAGCTGGGGGAGGGCAAGCAGTCATTCGCCAGGAGCGCAATATTATCATGACCAGCTAAGTCCCAGCCTGCAGGGGTTTGCAAACACCTACTCTTCGTTGAGCCGTGACTTTTCAACTTGTCAAGCCACACTGCAACCTCTGCATCGGCTCGACGACGTTCCTCCCCTACCGCCCACCAGCCCTGTTCCTACGCTAGGTTTCGGCCCCATAGCCTTGTCTTCGCGACATCGACTACATACGCATAGCAAGCTACTAACTGCTAGCTTGAACAACTTTCCCTCAATTTTACTCCATAGTCTGGTCATGAGATGACGGGGTGGCTCGGGGCCCACCTCACGTCAAGCTTTGTCATGGCCTGAATTCGATGAAGGACTCTCCCGTCAGCAGGCTCTTGCCCCAAGATAGCTCCGTTGTGTATTCCTAGCGATAGCACTACTGCCCTTTATGCATGAGATCAGCGTTGCGACGGAAAAGAACAGTGTGGGGTAGGTGAAGTACGGATAGACAAAGAGTTCCTGAGCCCTGACCACCTATAAGGTACGGAGTAGTGTACTTTCTACTCAGTTTCTACTATGTAGGTAGTGTAGGTCACGTTTTTCATCTCAACGGCGCTTCGGCTGCGACACTGAAAACCACGCCTGTCACATTCGGCTGGCAAGATGACGGCACAGCCGGGAATGTTCTGGAGATCGGCGGCCGTTTACAGCCCCAGCCAGCGATGAGTAGCATCGCTGCAGGTCAGGCTGGGTGCCGGCGCGAAGGAGCCGATACCAGGATCTATGTGGAGACGGTGTGGAGACCCCTGGAGGAGGGGTCCTTGCACTGAAGCCCTTAACTAACTTTGCGCTGGCGCTGCGGCTACGAGCGAACCTACAGGGGGGGACGGAAAAGTGAACCCTCGTATTGGGGGAATATGTTCAGTATGGAGGGAGAGTGGGAGCAAGCTCTTTGATCAGAGTTCATAACGCGGCCTAGAATTTTACGCTCGTGGAACACGAAACAGCTGGACCACCCGCGGAAATGGCTGGTACAAACGGCGCCACAGTCTGGGCCCTCAAAACGGCGCCGCGCTGATGATGTCCATATTAACGCGAGTGGTCATGTGTCAGGGCTAGGACTGAGCGGTCAGCGCAGACGAACGCTTGCCATATTAACGTGAACCAGACATAGCCTTGTCTGGTCGGCCGCCATTCCAACCAAGACAAGGGTTATGGAGCGCTAGTTTCGCCACTGAATACTAAGTACGGATACTTTGGTTGTCGCTGGTGGGGAGGCAGGTAGGGGTAAATTGGTGGGTACCTCCTATGTAGGAGCCCTGGCGATGGCCAACCCCTCCCTCTCAGGCTCCTCCCTTGAGGAGATCTAGTTGACCAAGGTACAAGGCACGGGCCAGGTTCCTTGCCGAACTTGGAGGGAAGGATCGCGGGGATTTCCCAATTTGGAAATCCTGAGATGGCGAGAGAGCCTTCTTTGGTGGCGCTTGATTTTTATTTTATTTTTTTTAGAAAATAGTTTGTTGGACCACTGTGTTCCCCACCTCGTACCTACCTAAGCTACCTCTAGCTTCGGTCGAATTAGTACGATATATGCTTAGGCACATACCTAGGCCGGTAATCGCCCTGAGAGAAGGAGCAGCTCGACAAGCTTGCGTCTGCCTTCCTGAACCGGAGTTGGAATGACTATGTCGGCATGCCTGCATCGGCTAGGTAGGCGACTCTCTGCGAGAAGCAGTTTTGGAACCAGAGGCTGGACCTGCAAGAATTGTACCAAAGATAATCCGCAAGCGTGAGGTGTGGAGGAGGGTACTTGGAGTACCTTGATGAAATGACCAAGGTACTTGGTAATACCGTCTCTCAATTCCCTGTCCCTGTCGGTCCATTTTTCATCCCCTGGCTTTAGCAGACCCTCGGTTGACATGCATATCGAGGTACCAAGGTACCCAGGTATCGTGCCTTATGCACCCCAGCCCTCACGCTGGGCAACGCCACCCGCACAGAAGAAACTCCCTTCTCCAACAACGGCCTCTACTTCACCCATTTGGTTAGGCCCGGATTGGCGATCTACTCCAGACCGTGCCTGGCTGCCTCGTGGCTTGATGGTGGTTTGCTGGACACGGCATTGATCACCGTCCAGGGCTCGCTAACCCACACTTGCAGGACACACCCGTTCTACCTCAATCTTACTTGCCTAACTATACCTAAGGTACGCATCCGTTCATTATACCTTAAGCATTATACTTCTTTCTGCTCATCTGTTCGACGCCGGGATGCTTCTCCACCCCGTCGCATCCAACCACGCCCGTGCCATCCCTCTTCCAAATCTGCCTCCCCACACTCGTCAACAGGCACCGCACCCACATCTCCAACTGCATCTAATCTAGATATATAAATCTGCAGCCAGTCCCTCGTCGTCTCGGTCTCGGCCGAACCCAGCACCTACTTGCCACCATCCTCTATATATATCATCATCCTCAAGACACACACGCGCCCACACGCACACACACACTTCCCCACGCGCCAGTTCATGCAATATCCTTTCCCCAGACTCCCCACAACCCACTTGTCTGGTCACACCACCATAAAACATACTTAGTCGGCCTCGCTGGCTGGCAACCTCACCACCTCTCCCAGCAAGGCAACTGCTCCTCAACATCGCCGCAACCACTACCAACGAGTCTATAATGGCTCCCTCCATCCCAATTCCCACCCAGGGAGGCATGTTTCATACCTGTAAGTTTGATCCGCAGCCATCGGTCTTACGCCAGAAACAATAGGCGCTAATTCCCTCTCAGTCCAGGGTGTTACTCCCAGAAAGCCTTCCACAGACTCTCAGGACAGCGCAAAAACCAGCAGCAGCGCTACCGCCAAGAGGATCACAACTCCCCATGCTTGTGCTGAGTGCAAGAGACGCAAGATGTGAGTATATCACAACGGGTTGTGCTCGCAACTGCGCAAAATCTAACCTGGGTCTTCCATAGCCGATGTGACGGCCAACAGCCTTGTGGTCAATGCCTTTCCAGCCGAGCTCCAAAGCGGTGCTTCTACGACAAGCACAGGCAGCGAGTGATCCCATCGCGAAAGACACTCGAGGCTCTGTCTCAGTCACTCGAAGAATGCCGCTCAATTCTGAAGCGCCTCTATCCCAACCAAGAAGTGCAAGCTCTCCTCCCACTCTCGCGGCAAGAGCTCCTCAACCTCCTCGATCGACCCATGATAGATACCTCGGTCGGTGGTCTGCCATCACCACCGCTCAACACATCTCCCATCTCGGATCTCGACTCCCCGTTGATGCCGAAGTCCGATAACCTCCTCGAGCAAATCCCAACCCGGGACGTTGAATGGGATGAGGAGCGAAGGGGGCGGGATCCTATTCCTGCAGAGGCCGACGATGTCAACGCATTGTCCCTCTCTGTTGACCGCCAGGCCTCATACCTCGGTGCTTCGTCGATCAAAGCTGCCCTCATGGTCATGCTCAAAGTTCAGCCTGGCCTACGGAACTCGCTCGCACCACTCACTAGCGTCGAGATGTCGCACATTTCCCCTGTCATCAGACAAAAGGCCAGTGCGCCAAAGGATCCCCAGCGAATTCCGTGGTCGTGGAAGGGGCAGACTTTGATTGACGCCTACTTCAAACGCATCCACGCCTTCATCCCAATGCTAGACGAGCCAACTTTCCGAGCCGACTACCTCGAGGGCCAGCGCTTTGATGCTCCTTGGCTTGCGCTCCTCAACATGATCTTTGCCATGGGCAGTGTCGCGGCGATGAAGTCGGATGATTACAACCACATCAACTACTACAACCGGGCAATGGAGCACCTTCCCATGGACGCTTTCGCGAGCAGCCACATTGAGACTGTTCAAGCCCTCGCCCTGATTGGAGGCTATTACCTCCATTACATCAACCGCCCAAACATGGCCAACGCTGTCCTCGGCGCCGCCATCAGAATGGCAAGCGCTCTGGGCCTCCATCGTGAGAGCCTCACTCAGGGTGTCGGCGACATGGCTGCTGCCGAGACTCGGAGGCGCACCTGGTGGAGCCTGTTCTGTCTCGACACCTGGGCAACCACGACCATGGGGCGCCCCTCCTTTGGCCGCTGGGGACCTGCCATCAACATCCAGCCTCCCGAGTTTGGCGTCAATGCTGGCCGGGACTCTACGCAGCACGCTGGCATCCTACCATTGATTGAGAACATCAAGTTCTGCAAGATCGCCACCCAGATCCAGGACGCGCTCGCAATCTCTCCTCTCCTCCGCACAGAGGACAGATGCAACCTCGACGGGCAGCTTGTCAATTGGTACAGCGGCCTCCCCTGGCTTCTGCGCACCACCGACCCATGCGCAGAGCCGCTCTACATTGCCCGCTGCATCATGAAGTGGCGCTACCAGAACCTGCGGATGCTGCTACACCGCCCTGTCCTCCTCTCGCTTGCCAGCTCCGGTCTCAACCCACACACTCAAGCATGCGAGACCGATCTCGCGGCCATTGAGACATGCCGTGAGCTCGCGGCACAGACCATCGACGACATTGCACATGAGTGGACTCGCAACCAAATGAGCGGGTGGAACGCAGTCTGGTTCCTGTACCAGGCCGCCATGGTCCCGCTCATCAGCATCTTCTGGCAATGGGGCTCTCCCCGTGTGCCGGAGTGGCTCAAGCAGATTGAGGCTGTTCTCGAGCTCCTCGAGACTATGGAAGAGTGGTCTCTGGCCGCGCGCCGCAGCCGCGAGGTTGTCTGGCGCATGTACGAGGCCAGCCGCGCCATCCAGGCCCAGAACCCCCACACCAACCCTCAGCACCGCTCTGAGTCGCCGACCATCCACGTCGGTGGAGACGGCATGCTCATGCCTGAGAGCGACATGCATATGAGCCCAATTGGTCTCGAGCCAGGTGACGGGCTCGGCGTCATGGACATCCTCGACCAGCAGGGCCTCTGGGACCTCGACGGCATGAACTGGGGCGGCCAACCGGAAGAGGCCGACTTTGCCAGCCACGGCATCCCCTTTCCTGGTCCCGGATCCGCCGGCATGGGCCACGGCGTTCACGACGGGATGATGCACATGGATTACGGCATGGGCCAGGTCCCCACGGCATCCACTATGGATGGATTCCCCTACGTCTAGTGAATCCTTCGACTCCCGCTCGAAGGACTTGCTATTTACGGGCGTAATATTTTTTTTTCGGCTATCAGAAAAGGTACCTCGTGCATATGAGGCTGACCAATTGACGAGAACAATTCAAAAAGCATATTGGGAGAGACCATCTCTCGAAGACTAATGTGGGGTACTTTTGCGGGGGCGTTGTGGAGTGCGGAATTTGGATGGGGTTGGTTGTATGGAGCCTGGGAGTGCGGAATCATTTGCGTTTTTCCAGCATGTTAGGGTCATATCCTGCCCCTTTTTTGTTTTCTTCTTTTTCCTTCTTTTGCTTTTCTACCCTCGCTCTGCGTGGAAAACGCGGCTTTACGGTGATGGATGGGATTGGATATACCAGGGGAGCTGCTTTTGGCTCAAATGTTCAAATGGGCGGGATCGGCAGGATCGGCAGGCAATGTTCACCGCGGCTACATGCAGGTTTGGCTTTCGCAGAGGTGGGGTCTCTTTGCGAATTGGGACAAACCTAGGGAAAATGGGCCAGAATATCCGAAATGAGTAATGATTGTACGCGTTATTCGGAATGATACCTTGTTCACAACTTTTTATACATACTCGCCTCTGCTTGTCGATTCAGATACCTCGTCGTCATCGACTGGATAATGTGTTCCATGTTGAGAACTGAAGTTAGTAACAATTACTAGGTGGGAAACTAACTGTTTCTGTCCTTGACTTGACATCACATATTTCTTTTGGGCATGGGTTTCACAGAGTCCCTCGTCGAGCACCGGATTGGCCGCCGGTACTTGCAGCCACTGTGGAAGCCTTGGAAGCCATCGGCAAGTGGCTTCTGGAATGCCGGGACTGCGGAGCGGCTTGACAGATCCCCAGGCGGGCTGCGCATCCGCCTTTAATCTGTACCTACATACAAGGCGCGCACATATTCATATTCATACGGCCCCCCAGAAATAATTGGTCTCTTCTCACCCTCTGCTCGATTGGCCCGGCAGGCGGAGACGGTTGAAGAAACGGGGGACGCGAAGGTTCGCGTACACTGGCTGGGTCCTTGACGAGATTGAGATGAAATGAGATGACGACGGGGTAAGGAAAAAGGGTGTGGGGGGACAACTAGCGATCGTGAGTGTGGCGCATGTGAGTAGTGTAGAAGACGCCCGCCCCGTTCTAATTTGCCTCTCCATACAATGCCAATGCAGCCGTCATACATGTCAATGCAGTCTAAATTTCTCGCCGGTGCTTGCAACCAGCCTACACACATGCGAAGAAAGGTTACTTCCGGGAGAAAAGGGGAATGGAAGGGGGCGAGAACGAGTGCACGAAGGGGAGGCAACTGCCCAAGACGACGCCCAGGAGGGCTTTCGAGAACACTCCAAGTATGACGTGAGGCTGAGGGCTCCCCCTGACCCTACCTAGGCGAATGCTATGGGCTGGGCTGAAGATGGTGGAGAGAGAGAGATCAGCGCAGCGCAGTTACGCTACACTAGAATTAGGTAAGTCGGGACTCAGGGACTTGCACTTGCGGAGTGGTAGGCTTTGTCGTCTGGCACTTTGCAGTTGCGGCCACGCCGGGACGCCACCTGGTCGGCCAGGTCATTTGGCATCGGCTGGGGCCAGCGGCCTCCCGATTCGACCATCAAATTCGCCCGAGTCAGGACATCGTCGTTTCAGGTGTTAGGCGTCCATGGATGGGGGGAGACCCACACACTACGCAGTACAAGGATCTGATGGAAGCGCCGAGGCTAAAACTCGCCATCATGTACCGGGAGCCAGTTGACAAGAAAGTTGCGGGCGGACTTTTTGAGTTGGAGATGGTGGGTGAAGAAAAATGTAGGTGTGGGGAGCCGAATGTGGGTTCCTTGATTTAGGTGCGCGATTGGTCGGGAAAATGGCTGTTTTACCCTTTTGGTGCAATCTGGAACCACGGGCCGTAGCGAGCTTGTGGGCCACCATGTCCCGGTACTTCATTACAGGGATATGCTGACGTGGAAAATGGTGTGCATTTCCCCGCACGTGGTAGTATCTAGTACTTACAAGCGTTACTTGCAGCCTCCCCTGCTATGCCCCACCCCTACCTACACCTCCACCGGGGTTTCAAATATTAGCGTGAGTACCTGATTTAACCATACTACTACTCCTTTTCAAGTTGTGTTTTACCCTTACCACACTAACATTTGAAGCCCTGGTCGAGGTGTAATCTAGATCTCAGTAGGTGCGGGGTAATGAGACAACCACTGGGAACCTGAGCAAGAACCCCCGCATCACTAATATGCAGATGCCCTGAATTGAGTGGTATTGGAGGTTTAGAGTAGCTTAATGCCACAACAAATCCAGGTGCAGAGAAGGACTGTCAAGTCACAAGCTATCCCAATTAGGGTAGAGTGGCCTCTGCTTGAGCCTAGGTAGGTGTGCTCCAAGATCGAGAGAACAATTTCCCCTTCTTTTCTCCCCGCCTTGTCAAACCCATGTTAACCTTAACTGCACTACTGCGCAGTTCATGCTAGACCTGCACAGTACTTTTGCCTCCTTCCCCGTAAAGTTAGCATCTTTCATTGAGTCTTTGACACCAAGGCAGGTAGGTATAGTACATGCGTAGGCCGGGTAGTGATCTTCAGGAAAACAGGTCCGCGGCACGAAAAACACCCCGATTGCCGTCACCGTCTCACAACCTGCAAGGCCGGCTTCATCATCACCTTTTGAGATGTCGCTGTCCATCTCCGTTGCCCGTCATGGCTGCTCCGAGATTCCCACCAGCTGAACCCCAGCACAGACTGAAGCCACATCGGCACTTGCTTGACACCCCCCAGTCCCATATGCAGGTGCGAATCCTTTCGTCGACCGCCGTTACTTGCTTCCTGTGCCCTCCCAGACGAGTTGGAATACGTTGGCGATCTTCCTAGGGTTCACGGCCCTTGCGTCTCTCGAAGAACCATGGTTATCAGATGACTGGCTCAGATATATCTGAGCTCCTTGGCGAAGTAAGTACAGCATTGTATCTCAAGTATTCACTTTGTACTCACCTTTGGCAGCGGCATCCTGGCTGCAGTGCCGCCTGCGATCGCACACATCTGCGGTCTCGCAAGGTCCCCGCAGCGGCTCCCAAACTTACCTACATACGTACACCTTGCCCTGACGTAAGTTTTGGCGGGCCCATTAGGAACCTAAGGAACTTCTCGCCGGAAAAGCTCGGAGTAGACAAACTCGCCTCAAGCGCGGTTCGTCTCATCTCTAGAATCCCTGAGTGAGCAGGCTAGAAAGATGCCCGCAAGAGCGGGATCGATGCCTGCTATGCCACGATGAAGAATCCGATGCTGTACCCAGAGATCAACAGCTGCGCTGCGGTGACATTACCACACCTTTGGATTGTGTAAGGTGAGCCTCCCGAATTTTTGGTTGGTTTTCGTGCAGATGGTCAGTGCGGCGCTGCTGGTCCACTGATTTTTTGTATGCCCTGCACGGACCCCTTCCAGCTGCCAACCAAGCTGGGTTCCTAGCCGCTCTGCGATATGATAGGCCAATTCCGCGAAACATGTTTCAGGTCACTCAGAACTGTGCATGTGCATACAAGTTGTGCAGAAGGCTGGCTGCACAAGCCATGGTGCGAGGAGGCTGAACGGCTTCACTTCTGCTAAGTCTGTGCCATGACAACCAACAGTCGTCATCATGCGGTGGATTGCTTCCCCCACGTTTTGCGCTTATTATAGCGTTCGTCCATGGTCTAAAGCTGTGGCCTGCAGCGGCACGATATAGTGAAACACCAACTTGCTGCAGCTGGGAGGTTGGAATGCCAGATCACAAATCGCTGACAGGCGATGCCTATCTATCTAAGCAAGTGCTTCAGGTATATCAAAATCTTTGCTATATAGGAAACCTTCTGGATGCCGCTGAGCCAAAACATCACCGATATTCACGGGCCTTCAAGTTTCAGGTGAGGCTATCTGTGGGGCCTTGGTCCGTTTCTCGTGGCCGTTTCCTTTCTTCTCTCCAGAAGTCGCGATCTTTGGCTCCCGTTTTTGTTCTGCAGGACGCTATGAGATATGGGCGGGGAAGAGTTGAGGAGGTTGGCCGGCGTGGGTTGATGTCGCCCCTGCTCATGAATGAGGCACTGGGGGCTTGCCCACCTCTTGACTCTCTGGAGCACCCGAGGGCCGGTCCTTGGAGGGTGCACTCATTTTCCACCGAAGAAATCCTGTCCAGACTGTGGGTAATGGAAGTGGCGTCGCTCTCGAGAATGCGAGGGTGATCCATCGGTGGGTAGCAAATCTGTGCTGAAGCAGAGGAGATAGTGAGACTCCCTGTACAGGCCAGCGGGAGACTTGGTGATGACATGGGGCTTGACTCAGTCCCGGTCTGCTGAGGTTTTGATGCTATGGGCGTCTGGTGGAGAGTAAGAAATACTTCTTTTTCTTTTTCAACATGTTCCTGCCGAGGGTAAATCAACCAGTCTTTGATCTGAGGGGTACCGACCGGGTGAACTGGAACTGTCTGTAAGTTGACGTCTCTGGACATCCAGGTCGTCTGGAGCTTCAGTGCTGGTAGCATAATGAGTTGGATAGGTGAGGTGAGGTATCGAGCAAATCCATGGCCCCTTCAGGCCACGTCACCGGCGTAGAGACAAGATCGTGCCTTCCACGTTTGACGAGCTCAGTATATGACTAAGCCATGTCATGTCGATAAGCTTGCCATGGATCAATTGAAGCCTGGAAGTTCCATCTTGATTGACCATGGGTCCATTCCCGTTTTTTTGTATCGCCCGTCCCGAGCCACTAACCAGCCAGACTTTGGTGGTGAGGCGATCCGCTGGCTGCTCGGCACGGGGAGAATCGACCCCTCGATCAAATAGCGTCAAGTCAGGAACCGAGACAGAACGATGGAACAGCATCTGAGATGCAACAACTTGAGATGCAGAAAGGAGCTCTGCGAGCGGGCTTTGGTTACAACTTGCAGGTTCGGCTTCAATGGCTTGCCCTTGGTATTCATGGTTCCAGCACAGTTAACAGCCTTGACACAGCCACATATACTGTCTCGACTGTGCCAAGGGCTGCGGACTGACAAGTCAAGACCTTCAGCCTTCCCGTACTTGCCCGGCATGTCGATCTCAACTACCGAACCCGGACGACGTTGTCATCAGTAACCTCCACCCGACAGAGGACTACAAGACGAGCGTATTGAGCGGCTTGAGCCCAAATATCATCATGGAGTGTTCAGGCAAAGCATTGAGCTTCTGGGCATACCAGATGACCCAGGAAATGTGAGTCTTGTTGCGCAAGAAGCCGCGCTGGAAAAGTCCCGCCCTGACCATGTGGCTCCAAGAGTTTATCAGGAGTATCTGGGCAAGACGCTATCGGAAAGGTACTCGACTGTGAGTCTCGACCTGAAACAGGTGGTTAATGAAGCCAATTCCCACATTGCGAACTTGGAGAATAAGCTCGCAGGTATCTTGACCTAGCCCCTCGCCTTCACGATCTGATGCTAAGCATACTGGCAGGCTTGACTATCGACATGGACAAGATGAGGCACAAAAACGAGGAGGTTGGACAAGCGCTCAGAGAGAAGAATAAGAAACTGATGCAGACCCAAGAACTCTACGACAAGCTCAAGCGAAAGGCGATGATTGGAGAGATGCAAGATGCCGCCTCGGATGCCGTGAACTCCAACCTCGAAGCAGCGGCAGCGGCAGTGGTGATGCATTCGGACCATCTGACGCAGCCAGGCCTGTACGAACCGCAGCTCACGAGTCCTCGACACAATCCACTGATTACAGAGAGAACCGAGCGTATGTTTGGAACGTCCAATTCTGTGAGGGGCCACCCAAGGCATCAAAACCCGGATGCTGGGTGGGCCAAGCCCCAGGGCCAACATTGTGGGTTTGCATGCCTTCCTAAGACCTTTCGCTTGTTAACATTGACACTAGTAGATATCCCTTTGACTCCATCGACTCATCGTCAACGGGTCGGAAATGCTGCAAGTCTCGGCCTCTCCACGGTCCCAGGGCTCGTGGCTGGCACCCGTCTACCAACGCCGAGTTCCGCTCGAGATATTCGCCAGCCCGCTCCTAGTTCGCATTATTCCGGATTCCACAACCCACCGAGCTTCCCAGGTGTTGGCCTAAGTTCGGGCCTCAAGACCGGGCATGGAATGGTACATCAAGGTGCGGATAGTCAGGGGCGATTCCACGCAAGACCTAGAGGTGACCATTCCACCCATACTACTCCTGGCGCAGACGCAAAGCTGACGCCTGGCAGTTATACACAGGCCGACTCCCATCCAACCACATCAATCATTCATGCAGCAGCAAAATCCCCAGGGCCGTGATGGGCTGGGTTAGTCTATTGGCGGTAATACCAACTCTGTTACAACAGAGGTCTCGGAAGAAGTTGTTTGCCGACATGGTTGGCGCGTCACATGTATACTCCAGGAAGCTCGGGTCGATTATTACCGTGGTCATTAAGCTCCTTGAGAGGTGCTTTGTGGCTTTGTTACGTAGTCTACCCTGCATTCAAAGGCCTAAAAGGATGCTGTGGCACATTGTCGGATGAACAAAGGACTTGTTCACCTCGCCTGAAAGGGCCCGTGATGTATGTATTGCTTTCATTGGGACACCAAAATGATGCATTCAGCTTTCAGGTTCTCTATATATATGCCTCGATAGACCCCCTCTAATTATGTTGTCGAGAGGGTGGAGGTGTTTGCAGCCATTGAGCCAGCTATAATCCGTTTGGGGACTCTGATACCAATCAACCTGAGGATGGTGGGAGGTGAGCCTCGCAGTGATGGCTCACAGCAGCGCCTCGGCACCATGAGCAAACTCTCGCAGGTGAGTGGCTTAATATCTGGTAGGAGAGAGCTTGATTCTCGCAGCAACATCGACTCCCGAGAACACGCCTCGTCCCGAGGGCACGATGGTGTGTGCCTGAACACCTACACAGCAGCCGAGAGGCAATTTCCCGTTCCCCGCCCCTCCGGTTTCACGACGGCAGGAACCGTCCAAGCAAGGAGGCTCGCGGGTCGGCCAGATCGGTGGGAGCGGATCCGGGCCACCGTCTCTTCGCTCTTCCGGTTGTGCTTGACGCGTTCGAAGAAGATCTATCATAGGAAGGCGCCAAAGAACTCACCTAACCACCTACTAAAGATATCCGCGCCCATAGCCATCGATTTGGGTGGGTTGTCGAATAGGGTGCACATCCCGACAAATAAGCAGCCCGAGCTGCGGCGGGAGAAGCTCGGTAGGCTCGACGAGGCCCTGCATTCTAACCCCTTCATCCCCGACACCTCCATGGAGCGCGTGGCGAGGCTGAGGGATGTCACAGGTGCTGACACCAGACGTTATGGGTGTGTGTTCCTGGACAACATCCCCGACGGTCTCGAACCGCCCTCTCCGTGCCACTTGGCGCGTTAGATCGGATAATTCCTCGATTACTATCCGATGGGAGGATAGAGACATCCACCCGTCGCTAGACTCGGTATCTCCTGGGTCACTCGGCCCTGAATAAGGGGGCCCACCGTCTTACCTCGGCAATAGGCCCACGTCTGGAGGATCACCTTTGAGGTCCTCATAGGTTTGCTGGACAGTTGCTTGAGGATGTGCTGCACATGAAAGGGGTTGCGCAGCACGAGCGTGCATACTATGACACTCGGAGAAGAGATGCCGCGTCTTTGCGGACGAGAAGGAGAAGTGGAGGTTGAGTATGAAAGAGGTCTTGAGGATCTCTACTAGCACTGGTTTGCTGCTTCTATTGCCCATGGTAGAGTACGGGAGATGAGTGTAGGTAAGTTAGGGACAGCTAGTGCTGGCCTGTGCTTGCAAGGGATGGATGGAGATTTGCTTTGAGGAGTTATTAGAGAGGTTATGGCTTGTATGGGGGGAAAGGAGGGTTAATGTTTTCTGATGGAGGCAGCGCAAGGTAAAGATATCGCCCACCAGTCACTCCCTTGAGAATTTCTGCCCAGTATTGTAAGTAATCTAGGCCAATACTCTGGCTATCCGAAACAAGTAGTGCTGTTTAGACGCGAGGAAAGAAAATCGAGAGTTCTGAAGCACTTTATACTGTTTAGTGAAAAACATCGCCAGCCACCCCGCAGCCAGATGAGAGTGCTTTATCCTTCCCCCTCTCTGCTTCAATACTCTCCTCTGCCATCATCAAGCCCACACATCATCCCCATCGCAGAAATGAATATTTAGCTGGCTATTGCCTCGCGGGAATTGCCAGATAGCCAAACACAGAGTCAGGAACTTCCAATGACGACCAGCAAAGCTGGAAGTCTAAGTCTGCCGAGACCTAATGCAAGCACTTTACACATTAACCAAGGGCAGAAAAAAAGATTGTGACGACGAACAAAAGGAAAGAGGCCCAAACAAATGAAAAAGAAGTCTTCGTCGATTAACCAATGGCGGGTGTCGATCGATGGTTGCGCGGCAGCGTAGTTATGCAGCACGGACCGTCAACAACTGGTTGCTGCCACCAAAACCCCTACTTTCATCTTTCAGTAAAGCATTTAATTAAATAAGCACCCGCCAACTGAAAGCGAGCCTTTTTAAAATAGAGGTAGGCGATCCAGACACCCTAACGTACGTATCTCCTGTATACTCAGGTATAGATTCGGGTTATGAGTTATGACAGACCTAAGCAGGCCGACCAGTATGATGGTCAGTTGAGAAGCCAAAGCGGCATGTCATCTCATCCCCACACCCACCCACTCCTCCCCCACAATGTGTTGGTAATCCCGGTCAAGCCCGGTGGGTGGTCGGTCAAGGTCGCCATGCATGACCCGGTGAGGTGAGAACCTCGATATCGTCGGTCTTATAGTGTAGTTCAACTGGTTCGTGGCACCTCGCCAGCGCACCATGCAATAGACACCAGCATTGCTGAGAGAACCCGCCCAGACAATTTCGCCTCGGATGAAGACACTGTGAGACAGCCTCGCCTGCCTGAAGTACCTCCCATCTCTTTGCTTAACCCAGCAGCCGTCATGGGGTTCGCTTCTCTGGTAATTTTCAGCCCGCCGCGCCGACCCCCACGCGACAAATAGAAACCAACGAACCATGTTCACTCCCAGCTGCCACCGCAATTGGGCACACGGGGGTGCCTCTATTTTCGATGCGGGATGTCAGCAAATTCCTGCTTCCTCTACGATGCCCAACTCCGTCAAAAGCACGCCGCGTGAAGAGACTGGCCGATTCCGCGAATCCGTCGTGTTAGACGACGAGTCCCAGAAGCTCAGATACCAGGTTTTTGAACGATCCAGACGAGAGCGCCGAGCCCATCTGAAATGGCGGGGAAATCGAGGGACGAGAACCTCGTTCGATTGCCAGTGATGACAGCCCGGCAACTTGGCAGAAGCCCAGGCACTCGGCCTTGCTTGGGAGACCAGAACTCCGAGGAAGATGATCTGACATCCGATGATGATTCATCTTGCCCTGCCAGCACTGCTTGGAGCGACGATGCTAGCCTGAGGTATTGTTACAGGCACGGGCGCGATTCCAAATGTCGCGGGGCAGTGGGCGACGAGAAGATGGCCGAGCTCCGAACAGTACGCATGCTCTCTCTCTCCCTCCCTCTCTCGTCTCTCGACCGGGGGAATTTCGAGGCGCTGACTGGGCACCCAGAAACTCGAAAAGCTGTCTCAAGAGGACCAGCATGCCGTGTCCCACTTCTGGTCCCTCTTCTTTGCCGCGCCGGCGAACGTCCGGGATTTGATAGTAGAGGGCATACTCACCCAATGCTGTTTCCCCCAGCTGTCCACCATCTCCCGACAGGTCCACGACCAGCTCAGGATCGACTTTATCACCGCTCTTCCCGTCGAAATCTCCCTCAGGATCCTGACTTGTCTCGATGCAGTTGCCTTGTGTAACGCTGCCCAGGTAAGTAGGAGATGGAGACAATTGGCCGACTCGGACGCCGTCTGGTTCCGGATGTGCGAGCAACACATCGACAGGAGCTGTACGACTTGTGGATGGTCCCTCCCGCTCCTGGAGCGTAAGCGTTTGAGGGAGTGGACTATCAAACAGAAGCAGCTGGCTCGAACCCCAGGCGGCTCGGGCACGCCGACGGAGCTTGGCGGAGCACCGAATTCTCTGCCCGAACCCAATACGCCGAGGTCCCCCGGCAAGCGAAGTGTGGGGCCTCTGCAGGTCGTCTCGGATGCAAAGAGGCAATGCTTGGACGAAGACCACTCCCGAGACCCCGACCGTTATGTGCGGCCTTGGAAGGATGTCTACAAAGATAGGTTCAAGATTGGGTCGAACTGGAAGTTTGGTCGGTGCTCTATTCAAAATTTCCGGGGACACACAAATGGTGTCACCTGTCTTCAATTTGAGGACAACATCCTAGCCTCTGGGTCTTACGACATGACGGTGAGTTGTTATCAACCCGGGGAAACCCGGGGAAAGCTGTGCTAGTGGTCAAGGCCCGCCTCGAGGACCCTTGCTTGCAAGGAGACTTACACTGGGTGTTTCAACGCGAAGTCAGGCTGACCTGAGCCCAAAGATCAAAATATGGGACATTGATACAGGCAAAGAAGTCCGGACGCTCGAAGGCCACACTGCGGGCATTCAGGCTTTACAGTTCGACGAGGGCAAACTAATCAGCGGCAGCTTGGACAAGACCATCAAAATCGTGAGTCTGCCCGTTCATTTGCGTTCGTCGGCTTCCTCGAGAATATGCCTCGGGCTCTATAAGTATACATACATTAACCAATCCATTATTGAAGTGGAACTGGCGTACCGGCGAGTGTCTCGCCACCCTCCGGTGTCACACAGACAGCGTCTTGACATTGCACTTTGACGGCGAGATCCTGGCGTCTGGCTCACGCGACTGCAACATACAGATCTTCAACTTCCAGACCAAGCAGACGTTCTCCCTGCGAGGGCACACTGATTCAGTTAACCATGTCCGCCTCTCGACGTCGAGGACCGTCTTTTCGGCCTCAGACGATCTGACCGCCAAACTATGGGACCTCGAATCAGGGCATTGCATTCGAACATGTAAGTATGACCCCAGTGATGTTCACAGTTGCGATGGGCCTTTGTCTTCGCAACTGCTGGCTGCTATCGAGGAAAGCCACTGACTTCGCGCCATCTAAGTTGAGGGACATGTTGGCCAGGTTCAGCAGATTTTACCCCTGCCAGACGATTTCGAGCCCGATGACGATTCGCTTTCAATCATGTCATTGGACACTCCTGAGGGCTCCTCCAATTTGAACGATCGGTCACCAACTCCCCCAGGAGGCATGTCGACAGATATTCAGGCCTCATGCCCTCCCAAAGAGCACACCTCATTCTCCCCAAACCAAGGCGGCGAACAGGATCTTCGTGCTTTGTATGGTGCTGGTTTCATCTCCAACGGCCGGCCACTTCCGCCTCGATATATGCTGACCGGAGGGCTCGATGCAACTGTGCGGTAAGTCTGTCGAGATTCGTGATTCTGCTGACGACTTGCACTGACAATACGGTTCACCAGGCTGTGGGACACGGCCACAGGTCAATGTTTAAGTAAGCCCAATATCCTCCCCCGCCCCGCTCCGCCCCCGAGAGTTCAGGTCCAATCCAGACGTGATGGTGAGCAGATGGCAATGGCTAACCCGAGCCGAACAAGAAACCTTCTTCGGCCACCTCGAGGGTATTTGGGCCCTAGTCGGAGACAGTATTCGTGTCGTGAGCGGGGCCAATGATGGCATGGTAAAGTAAGTGTTTGCCTTTCCCGGAGGGTGTCTTTGGACAGATATCCTCGGCTCTTAAAGGAACCTCTCAGTCCTTGTGACTTGTTGTAACCGAAGCTCTCTCCTCCCCCAGCTAACTGCACCACAAAACAAACAAACTAAATATTCCCACAGGATCTGGGACCCACGAACGGGTCAGTGCCAGCGTACCTTCACTGGCCCCCGCGGCCCGGTGGCCTGCGTCGGGCTCGGTGATTCCCGGTTTGCAAGCGGAAGTAAGGATGCCACGCACGAGGGAATTGACAAGAATGGCTATGCTAACGGTGATGGCCTAGGCGAGGACTGCGACATAAGGGTGTACTGTTTCAAGGATCTTTTCGCAAGATGTCCCGAAGATACATGAGCCCATCGGTACACCCCTGGGACTTCTGTAGCCTTCCCTCTGCCGCTCGTCACACACTACCCAGGCCTTAAGAGGTCAAATGGATTGTTCGAGAGTCGCCCATTAGGGACCGGCTGTGGTTTTTTCGTTGCTTTTTGCCGCTTCCGTTCCTCGAAATGAAGTGCCCTCATCATCTGTGCCGCGACATCGTCGGGGAACTGGAAGGCGGCAGCGAAGGCTGAAAGACAGCCAGCTTGGTGGATATGCTGAAGCAGGGGGGCAAAGTTCTCGAGCAGGGGAAATTCGTCAAGGGGCGGTATCTTAGATAAATATGAACGCAAGTCTGCAAACGGTTTGGACATGTTCTGGTCGGCTTGGTTGAAGACGAAGTCCATGATTTGTTGAAGCATCCGTAGGGAGTATAGGGTGCCTTGAACTTGTGCCAGAAAATGAACAAACTCCCAGGAAGTCGTATCCAAAGTTCCTTTTGCTTCCATTTGCAACACCTGGATACTGAGAGGACGGGTTTTCCCTTGAGCGATGGAGAGGGAGATGTCCTGGTATACCGAAAACATCACCCATTGGATATCTGGCTGGGCTGTAATTTCTCGTATGCGTGATATTGATTCTATTATGTCGAGGCAGTCGCTGTCTAGGGACGATAGTTGAGGCAGCTGGAGATGGGTTCCTCCTGATGGCGACTGAAGCCTCCTAAACTCTATCACTTTCCGGATCGGACGGTCCATTAGGATCTGCAACAGCCCATAAGCAGCTTGCCTTACAGATCTGCTCGCTTCCCATGCGCTCGTACGGGAGGGCGAATCGAGTAGAAAAGGGAGATACATGGAGGCACCCTCGATGCCATCTTCAGAGCTTTGGTCACCCGATGTCGCTCGTGGGGGGCGAGAGGATAGGACAATTACTTCGAGAATATGTTCCGAAATGCGAGGGTCGAGGTCCAAGGCGGGTGGGCTGAGGAATTCGTGCTCCACGACTTCGGGCAACAAGTACTGTCGGATAAACTTTTCATACTCCATTGGGTGTGCACCCAATGAAGTCCCTCTCTTGGAGCGCTCTAACGACTGCTCAAATGTCAGGGATAGAGGGATGCTCAACTCGAAAGCTAGGGCCCGAATTCCCTTGCCTGGTGCGATAGAGAGTCTCGTGCAGATATGCGCAGGAAGATATTCAGCAGCGACGACAACTTGGTCGCCCGAGTCGACTTTGAGCTCCAGGTCACTGAAGAAAGCCACACTTCCATTTTGACCGAGATCATGGACCAGAAGGTCCGAATCAGATGTGAGGACGACGCCTCCATGTGAACGGACATGGAGAGCGCAAAACGAATCAGCCTCCCCGGGTACAACTCTGGTAAGGTTTCCATAAGATCCCGATTTTTTCAGAGCCTCGATAACAGCTGGAACGAGGAACGCTGGTATGGGCAGGCTTCCTCCGGAGTTAAGAGCAAATGGCCCTGGAAACAATACAACATTCTGCGATCTACCGGTTCTTCCAGATGGTACTCCTGTAGGATGGGATGCAAAATAATTACCGAGGCCCTTGGAAAGCCTCAGCAGCCTTTGCTTGCGCTCCTCAGTTTTAGCTTCTGGGAGGTACCCATCGAATATAATAGTAGACCTGGAGGAGCCGTTAGGAATCATGATAGAAGATGATTAGGAAGACAAGGGCCAGTACACAAAGACACCGCATGCTAGCAGCTCGTCTAGCCATGATATAACGGTCTCCCCAAGCAGACGATACGATGGCAGCTCAAACGGGCTATTCCTGGAGGCCGTTCGTCTGCACAGAAATAGAATGTGATAGGCAAGGGCTGGTCCATCAATGACCACGGCACGATTGTCAAGATCAATCCTTGTTGCGTAGGGCTCAAGATGCCGCTTCAGATGAGGAATGCCCATATTGATGTTGCTCACACAAGTCACAACCTGATGGAGAATAACGCAGCAGCAATCCATGCCAAGGTGGTCTGACCAGGTTGACGGATCATGTTTATGGGCCCGTGCCCACGAGCTCCACCCTGATTGCAACTCCTTCCCGCTTTGACCCTCGGAAGCGGTAATTGCAAAAGCTTTCTTCAACCTCAATTAATAAAAGTTTTCGCCTGGTGCCCTCAACATGCGAAACACTCTTATTTTTACGGGCAACTCCTGCCCGGCCCTGACGTGGAAAATATGTGAGAATTTGGGCATGGCTCCGGCCGAGGCCGAGCTGTCGCAATTCTCCAATGTCAGTACTCTTTCACGTTCCCTTTGCTCCTTCCTCTCCCGTTTTCGACTTGGACCACAACAAACAAGGACGTTTTTGTGTGCAAAACGGGGGCTTCGAGGCAGAAGAGGGCAGCCCAGAGACTCCAGCGACGGACCCATTAGCTGACTTGCAGGCCATGTGGCTGTTGGTTCCAGGGCGAAACAAGTGTCCGCATCCTCAATAGCGTTCGGGAGAAAGACGTCTTCATCGTTCAATCGGGCAGTCCCAAGATCAACGACACCATCATGGAGCTCCTTATCATGATATCTGCCTGCAAAGGAGGGTCTGCCAACAAGATCACTGGTATTACATGGGGTTCCTTGGTGCGTTGTGTCTCAACCGAATGCTAATGTCGAGCTACAGCTGTCCTGCCGTACTTCCCATATAGCCGACAGTCCAAGAAGAAGTCACACCGGGGTGCGATCACCGCCAGGATGCTTGCCAATCTACTTGATGTAGCCGGCGTCAAACATGTCATCACTGTTGATCTCCACGCATCCCAGATGCAGGGCTTCTTCAAATGCCCCGTTGACAACCTCCACGCAGAGCCGATCATCGCTCGCTGGATTCGGCACAACGTCCCCAATTGGAGAGAGGCGGTTGTCGTATCAAAGAATGCTGGAGGCACGAAGCGAGTCACGTCCCTTGCCGATGCTTTGAAGCTCAATTTTGGCATGGTGACGACGGATAAGAAGAGAGGTGCCAATATGTCGGCAAGCATGATCATGAACCAGTTGGATGATCTTGAGCGGAAACCTATACCTGGCTCGAACATGCAGCACTCACACCACGATTTGAGGTCAGAGCAAGAACCTGGACCCGTTGACCATACCCACGTACGGACTTCGCGGACAGTGGCAGACGCCCAAGGCTCTCCAAGGCGTATTAATTCCGGCCAATCACGCTCTACGACTCCCACCAGACCTCCGCTTGCCCGGCATCGGGCGGGAGCCTCGCAAAGTTCTTTCATGGACGATGACGCGGAAGCTGACGGTGGTGAATACAATGACCAACGAGCCTACGACGTTACGCATGGACGATTGGTCCAAGGCCATATTGTGCCCGATGATTTCTTGTCACCAGCTCTCTCGGCTGCTGATGCGAGTCTTCCAGATGAAGACCCGATGACCATGTCACATGCGTCTTCATTCTTTGCGCCTGAGTCGCATGCCCTCCGAGGGGATGCTGGCGCCAACTCGGACGAGGAGGAAGACATTCTAACGAACTCCAAGGTGGAGCACATGATCACCCTAGTTGGAGATGTGAAGGACCGGACCGTTCTTATTGTCGATGACATGATTGACAAGCCGGGGTCGTGGATTGCCGCTGCCGAGACGGTTGTCAAGCGTGGCTTTGCAAAGAAGGTCTACTGCATTGCCACTCACGGCGTGTTTGGCGCAGACTGCCTCGAGCAGATGCAGGCGTGCGATTGTATCAACACCATTGTTGTCACCAACAGCTACCCCGTTCCTGAAGACCGAGCAAGGAAGGCCAGTAAGCTGGTCTTGCTTGACTTGTCCTTCCTCCTGGCCGAGGCCATCCGCCGGAATCACTATGGCGAGTCTATCTCGCCCTTGTTTCAACACATTGTGGACTGAGGCCGGCCATGGACTCGCTGGACGTACATTCCTGGACTGGATTCTGCCAATTTACGACCGAGAGACGATGCAAAAAAGGTATGTGAGAGTACGGGTGCGTGTGGATATCAAGCCTGGCGTCTGGCGATACGGCGATCCCCAAATTTTGTGAGCGTAATGGGAGGACACGGTTTTAGACACGCATGATCAGTCATAACCCAAATCGACATTGTTAAGTGTCCTGCAGGTTGTCAGGCTCTCGTGAATCTTTGCTCTATTGCACAAGATTTCCACCAACGATGCTGTCCTTAAGACAGCAGGAACAATTGTCCAACCCAGGATATGTTTCCTAACGGAACGTTGGAAGATTAGTTGCCCTTTGGGGCTTTTCGATCATAGAAGGCGTCTTGCCCAGACTCTCCTGTAGGATCACATCCATCTGGATGATGGGCAAGGCGCAAGAGAACAATTCGAAACATACATATACATCCATACCCCATCTACCCATCTAGTATGTTGGCACATGTGCTAGCACGTGGTCCGTTGACTTGCTTGAATCGACTGATTGAATAATAATAACGTGGAAAAGATGCTCAGAATGCCCTAGATGGATATGATAACAAGAGCCCGCATTCCCTCACCTGCCTGTGTATACTGTCCCATGGGAAGAGACCATGAGAAGGCTTTCCTCGTGGCTCTCCTCATCCGAATTACTCCTTGGCATTTCCAGGAGGCTGCTAGCCTTTCCCTGTCCCGCTTCTGACCCTTTCTCAACCCTGTCCCCCTTCACTTTTCCTCAGCCTTCTCCGGCTCCTGAGCCTAGGTTTCCTCTTCCTTGCCATCGCCTCCCACCGCCGTCTGCTCCTCCTCAACCACCTTGGACTTCTTCGCCGCAGGTGCTCCCTCTTCCTCCTCTCCCTCCGCCCCCCTCTTTACCCCAGACCGCCCGAAGTCCGGGAAGGTTTCCCCTAGTGTGGAGACGGGAGCGGCTCCCCCTGGCGCGAGGCCTGGAGAGGACGCTGCGCCCCCTCTCAGGAAACCAGGAAAGGCCCCTCCCTGCCCGGAGGCTGGTTCCGAGTTCTCCACGATGCGGTAGCCTGGGAAGTGCGGGGAGGGTTCCAAGAATTCGGAGAGATCCACTGGTACCAAGGCCGGGTCGGCCTCCTGCTGTTGTCCGAGGGCCGCCGCGGGGACTGCGGGGGCCTCGCTCTTGGGACCAGGAGCCGCTGGCGTGAAGCCCGCGAAGGCCATCTCCGGCTTGGGGCCCGGGGTCGCTTTCTTGTCGCCTTCAGCCGGGGCCGCTTTCTTCTTGCCGCCTCCAGCCGGGTTCGCCCCCTTCTTGATGCTGACGGCCGCAGCGGCCGCGTCGGCGTCCCACGGGCGGTTGATCAGCAGCGGCGCCTTCTGGCCGCCTCCCGAGCGCAGCTCGGAGCGCCACGGGTGTTTGACGCCGTCGTTCTTGCTGGCCGCCAGGGGAAGTCCCTTGGTGGACCGCAGGGTGACGCGCGGGAGCTTGAACTCCCAGTGGAGGAAGTCGTTGGTTATCAATGGCTGGTAGTGGTTACCGTTCTGGGCCCAAAAAAAAAAATATTCGTTAGTTTCTTTCTTTTCTCGTTCGCATCCGCAAGGGGGAAAGAGGAGGCAACGCACGACGTATAAGAGAAACAGATGCCTCGAGTTATAGGCGCCCCTGGTCCTCGTCTCATAAACAACGCCGCGGTCATAGCTGTACACAACCAGGAAGACGTTATATAGGTCGGCGGTGACGTCCAGCATGTTCATGGGCACATACACACCCGGAAGGTGCAGTATCTGCCACAGGTTCGCGTCGAAATTGCCCTGCGACGACGACGACCCCGACTTCCTGCCGACCGAGCCCATGGTCTCGTACCACTTCTCGTTGAGTTCCCTGTACAGGCCGTGGCGCGGGTTCCGCGACTCGCGCAGCACGCGGCCAAAGTGGGCGACGTGCTCGGCCTTGACGCGCAACCACGCGTACGGGTCGCCGTAGATGTGCATCGCCAGCGCCGACCAGTAGCAGGCGCCCGTGCTGACGCTGCCCCAGTGGTTGCGCCCGCGCAGGAACACCACCTCCTCCACCAGGGGGAACCCCCGGAGGAACGGGTACTCCGGCCTCAGCGGCACGTCGCCCCCGGCGGCCCACTGGAGCCCGTTCACGGACGCCTCCTGGTCTGCGAGGTGCGAGACGTACGTGTCCGCCGTCGCGGCTGCCAGCTCGCGCGGGTAGCCCCCGCGCAGGTCCTGGTTGTCGGCATCGCCCCAGCCGTGGTCACGCCTGAAGGTGGCGACGTCGAAGCGAAGGCCCGCCTTGGGACCCGGCCACTGGCCCGCCCCGGCCGTCATGTCGTGGTATCTCCGGGTGGTGGTCTTCTTGTCGGCGTAGCCGTGGTCCGGGCCCTTCTTGGTGTCTTGGGCGAGCCTGGCTGGCGAGGAAGAGGACGCCGCGGCCTTTTCCTGGCTGCTTGGGGGCTCTGGCGACGAGAGTAGTTCGACGACGGCGGTCTCGGCCGCGGCGGGGGCCGCCCCATCCTTGACTCCCTCCGGCGCTGTTTCCTTTGGGGCGTGCGCTGGGTTTTCCTTCTTCTTGCCGACCTTGAGGACCTTGACGTCGTGGACCGGGATCTTCGTGACCAACAGGGGCTCCTTCCTGCGGATGGTCTCGAGCTCCTCGTAGTACAACCTCTGCGCGATGGCGTTTTTAAGATCGTCGTTAAACTCGAGCAGGACCTTGGTGGCGACGCCCTTGAGCGTCGTCTCTGCGTCTTCTCCAGAGACCATCGTTGTAGCGTCGCTTCGGCCGAGATTGACTCTTGCCGGTATTTAGGGCCTGGTTGCTCGAGTCTGCTTTTGCCCGATAGGATGTCCGCTTCTTCTATATCTTAACCTGGCAGAGAATCCTATTCCGTCATCATTTCGGGACAAAGGTATTTGCAGCGGGCTGGCTACCGCATACGGAATACTTATCTCTTTTATTTTCTTCCCCAGGCTCATGAGGCTGTGAATACTGGAATGGAAAATGAACAAAGAGGTATTCAAGGCCAACAGGGTTTAAAGTGAATGACACTGGCATTGATCTCTCGGCAAGTCGAGCAACAACCCGAGGAGTCAAGGCCAGGGGAAAGGCGATGTTCCCTCAGGGGCACCACATTCACAGTATCTAGGTCCATCATGGGTGAGACCACTTAGTTAATTAAATCCATGGCAACGCGTTTCACTACACTGACTCTTCATATCGGGAGTTACGTGTTCTTCACACAAGTAGGACTTCCTATTTCCAGGCCGGCAGGCATTCATTTCACACATGGCTGGTGTATGGCTCTGAGCAATGCCAGCCTTAGGTATCTTCAAAGAACAATGGCAAGTGTTTTGTTTTGCTAGAATTACAGGCCGTTTCCGGCAATTATGTCTCTGTGGGAGGCGTAGAAAGTTGAAAGAAAACCCTTCCGACGGTTTTCTATGAAGGGGGCGTTCAATACACTGTAGGATGCTACCAACCTTCTTTTTTGCAGCCTGGGCCAGCCACACCTTGACCGTTGGCCAGTGACGGTATTGCTTGCATCCAGGACGTTTAGGTAGTCCACCATCGGATGACCCCTAACATTCCTCCCCGCTAGCGCCCTTCTTGATCAAGGTTAACCAAACACTGAACGGCCGTGTAAGTCTTGGAGGAGGTCAGAAAACTGATCCCTCTCCCTGTCCTGCTCAGTAGCTGCGATATCCTGCAGTAGCTCCTCTTGAAACCCTCCCCTCTTGGTGGCCGTCTTGATGATGCGCCATGCGCGTCGGAACTCGTCGCGAATCGCCACAATGCCGTTGTGGGTGACAGTACGAGCGACGTTGTGCTCATGCTCGAAGGGGTCTTCGATGGCGAACAAGAATCGATGACGAACCTCCTTAAACTCACGAGTGGTCTGGCCATGCATTGCCGGAGATGGCACCTGGGTGGACGAGTCCGTGGCGTCTGCGGCTGGCTTGTGGGTCGGTTCGGAAGGCGAGGTAGCCGAACCAGGAGGTGCAGCAATGGTGCCGACCTCGACGACAGTCTTCGCGCCAGTCCAGCCCTTCGCATTCTTGGTAAGGAGGCCACCGGGAGTGCGCAAGCTAAGGACGTCACGGCCCCAATCAAAACCGCGGCAATGCACGGTACTCATGGCGTTGCTCTGCGCATAATACTCAAAGAACCCGCGGAGTAGGTGACCAATCGAATCGCGATTCTGAGTAAGCATGTTATCGCGAGCAAGTCGTTGTATCTCTGCCTCGTCCCGCCAAAATTGGACGTTCCTCCCCCTGCACGTGACAGTCTCCTCGACTTGTTGGGAAGTGAGGAGCGGGCCTGGAGGACGGGCAAGCAGCTGTAGATTTGGGCAGACGAAAGGCTGCGCGACATTGACCAGGTAATGCAACACCATAAGGGCGAATCCATAGCTGCTCAGGGTGCCTCGATACGGCGAGTTGATCCCGCGGAGCTTCGCCCAGTGTTTGACAAAGAGAACAAGGGGCCTGACACGGGGGTCGCTGTGGGCATAACACCGCAGTAAAAGGGTATTCTGCAACGCGAGGTGTGCCGAGAAATTGATATCACACTGTACCCCGGCGCCAGTCTTTGGGATATTGAGGGGGTCTCTGTAAGGGTCTCGAGGCTGATTCGGCGCCAAGGTTGAAGGGTCGGTTAGCCGGCGTATCCTGCCGATGAGCGGTGCCGTTTCAGGGGTCGCAGGGACAACCAAGTCAAGCTGCATGTCAGACGTGGGAGGCCTTTGCATTGGGCCCTGTAGGATGGCCGTGTAGGCCTCAATGTCCGCCTTGCTTGACTCGTCATATAGACCCTTCTCGACTGCCCTCTCGAACTCATGGGCTAGTTGTAGACTCTTATGCCGTCTCGCGATGATCCTGAGCGTATCGGCTCCCTCCGACTTCGCAAATGCTTCAATTTTTTCGCGAATCTCGGTACTGTATATGCCTGAGATATACTGCTGGATGACAATAGTCCGCACCTCGTCGGTGTGGTTTGGCCTGTCATGCCCTCCCAGTTCAAGCATGAGCCCCGACGCTCTAGAGTGGTAGAGGGTAGCCGACTCGTGTTGGCCTTGTTGAAGAAGCAGAATCTGAATCGAGGCAATCTTCTTCAACTGTTCGGCGGCCAAGTGTAGTTCCTTGTTGTATCCCAAGGGGTCGGCACCAAATGTGGGCTTGTTCTGGAGATCTAGCCAGAATTGCACCCACCTCTGCGCTTGTTGCTCCAGGTACTCGTCCTTCTCAGGGAGCAACCTAGAGAACCACATCATGGCCATTTTCTCGGCCTCGACCTGTGTACACACTCCGAGGAGTGAGCGATGCTGGGACTGAGACCTGAGACTGTACGTGGACAGGGATCGATAGGCTGTCAATCGCTTCTTCAGTTCCTCATCAGCAAGGCCATCGACAAGAGCAAGCGAGACATCGTTCAGGAGCTTGTAGTCCTTTGGCGTGAAATCCGCCATGTTCGAGTGTGTGAGATCTCGACCCCCGAGTTTGCGCAGCATGCCCTTGGCAAGGCCGAAATAGGCGGGTAGGCGCTGGTTCTTGGACTGCCTGAGCGTCGCAAGCTTTTGCTCGTAGGTGCTACTGCTCCCCTGGCAAACGTCGGACTCTTTCGAGATATGGCCCTGCCGCTTGCTGTCGGTCAAAGCCCCTGCCTCTACCGGGCTTAGGGCTGGTTCGTCGTGAGGCTCCTCGTCCCCATCAGGGTCATCTGGAAGATCTTTCTCCCACTTCAGCCGCTCTTCAAGGAGGTCGTGCATTAGCTTTTCAGGCGGCTTTTCGCAGAGTTTGATGATCGGTACCCGGGTTCGGGTAAGGAGGCGAGCGCCCAATCCCAGATCCAAAAGGGCCTTCTCCATCATCCTGGGGATTGGAGAACCTGGTGCATCGGGCTGTAAGGGGGAGAGCGGTGACAAGAGGCCGAGGTCCAGATCGGCAGCTTTCGTAGCAAATCCAGACGAAAGGCTGCCAAAGCACCTCAACTGCACACTCTCTGCGGGGAAGTCAGATCGTCCGTTCTGTTCCCTTTCATACTGCGATATCACCTCACGGCAGACTTGTTCGATCCGGGATCGGAAGACCTCTTTCTCGGCGATTTCGGCTGCTTCGATTTCGGCACCCGCGATAATGGTATTGCACAGATTTTCGAGCAAAGAAGTCTGAACTTCCAGGTCCTCAGGGCGAACATGATACTGTCGACCAGGGTTATGAGAGGCAGGGTTTCCACTCCGCGGAGTCATTGGCTCGTAAAGGGGCCCATGGGAAGGACCCGTTATTCCTTGGGGCTGAGGTTGCCTCCAGTCCCCTAAAGAACCTATCGGCCCGTTGTACGATAGAGATTGGTAATGCCGAGCCTGAGACGAAAACGGCATGCCCGTGAATGGTGGGTTTGAAGGTCCAAACGTTGCCGAGTGCGGACGTTGGGTGCCGTGATGGCCGCCTGAGGTATACTGTTGGCCCGGATATCCTGGGGTGCTTGCATAGGATCGTGCTGAATGAAGTGGTCGAGGAGAGCGCGAATCGATCGGCAAGGAAAGTTGGGCAGACATTTGCCGCCGTTGCGCCTGGTTGGGGCGCTTCCTGGCGCCTTTGGGGGCTGCTGGCCCCGATTTGTCCTCAACTTCCGGGACTGTTAAAGGCCGATCAGAACCTGTTCCAGGGGGCCCTGTGTGCGATTGATCGTTGTCCACGCTGTCGACTCCTCTACCGGAGGCGTTGCTCAGAATCAAATTCCTAAGACGCTCGTCCAGCCCGCCCTCAACTTCCTCTGCCGCCTCCATTCTGGGCTAGATTTTCTCCTTGTGGTACTCCAGCAGGCCACTGGTCTGGGTTCAGGGGAATACTGAGCAAGAACAAGAAATATGCAGCGTGTTGATCAGACAGTGAGCCAGCGTGATGCCAGATTCATAACTGTTCATTCAGAGCAAGCCGTTGGTGTTGACAAGATGATATTGCGTAACAGGTCCTAGGCGGAGAGAAATAAAAGTAAAGGAAGGAGAGAATAATGTGCTTGGCAGTAAATAGGCAGATGAACCTAACTTTGCCAAGGACCTGCTGTTGGGAGAAAAAGTAAAGACTGAGGGTGTTGATACATCCCGATGTAGGTATGCAGTACTGAAAGGCCGCCTCCTCACTCAACGTCTCATAGGTAGATAGAGATGCTGGTATCTGATTCTGGTTCTGGTAGAGGGCCAGGCTCTCGTCGACGGAGACAATTAGGAGAGAGGCAAGTCAAAACGGTGCCATTGGTGGGGGAATAATTGATTGGCCACCTGGGTATGGAAAGTGAGATGATTGTGATCTTTCCCAGCCACAATGAGCTTTTGGGAGCTGGTGATCAAACGGGCATCCATTTCTGGTAATGGATGTACCGTACCAATACAGGGTTCCTCCACTGGCAGCTATGAGGCTCTTATCGCTGTATCCAGGAAGACAGACTATACCTGGTACCTTCATTTTCCAAGGTCATGCAGGCTGGAGCAGCGCATGTTGTGGCAAGTCGCCTACTCGATAATCGCATATCTATATAACCAAACTTGGCCAGAATTAGTCTGTGCGCCAGGCCAGGTCCTTGTTATTGCACTTGGCTGCTGGCTGCCTTGAACAAAGAAGGTCCTTTGTCATCATCGACGGAATTAGCACCGTACGACTTTCAACCTTCCTGCGTCTGGTGGCACTTTTACTTGACCCTGACTTACCTGCCACCTAGTTACTGCAAACTCTTGCCCAGCTGCTATAGAATCTTCTACCACCTCGTCACAAACGCGAAACCGGCTTTAATCTGCGCTCTGCCGGGGTGCTTGATCCACAACTGCACCCGCCCCAGAGCCTCTGCCTTCTCCATGACATGCCTCCTCGATAAGACTCCGATACCCGGATTGGGAAGCACCCCAGGCACTCTCTAAATCAGTTGCGGCATTCCATATAACTCATACCTTGGTCAATCGCCGATAATATGAATAATTCTTCGTCCCTCCAGCCGAACGCGCCGAAGCGCGCCCCTCCTCCGCCCGGCGCGCCGCCGCTACGACGCACCAAGCCGGCAGCCGACCCTCTCGTGGCGAGGAAGAAACGAGGCCCAAAACCAGCGTTGTCACGACCACCTCCGAAACCCTCGCCGGCATCCGGTCAGAATCGCATCAACGCGCCCACTGGCAGAGCTCCCAAGGAGCCCTCTTTCGGCCCAGGATCGTCCAAAGACGAGGAGAGACTCAAGGCATTCGAGGCGAAGCGAGCCGCCAATGGTGGATGGTCCCAGAATCCGCCCGTTGAAGATTTCAAGGAGTATCCTCTGGTCACCACCAAGCGCGCCCTGAGGGAAGGTCTGCGCCACCATATCATGCGCTTCAACCGAGCAAAGGACGACAAGCCTGCCGATCCTACCGATCAAGACCAATTCCCGCGTCCCGTGTCATTGCACCGAAGAGACCCACGGCAGCCACCGGCTGGGCGGATGATGGACATCAAGGACGAACTTCCACCGTTGAACCCAGCGGATGAGGCGGATGCGGAGAGGCTTCGTCAGTTGAAGGCCGAGAGGGAGGCACAGCGTGCCATCGATATGGCTCAGATTGCCCCCATTGCCAAGCCTAACGACCCAAAGCCTACCAAGCAGGTCAAGAAAGAGAAAGCCTTCTCCACGTACCGCCCCACCCAGACGGATGAGACCAAGAAACAACAGGAGCTTCGCTACGAGGAAACGCTCCCCTGGCACTTGGAGGATGTGGAGGGCAAGAATGTCTGGGTGGGCTCCTATGTTGCTGCTCTGTCCGAGGTCAACGTAGCCCTCGTCATAAGTGGTGGAGGGTTCCGCATGATCCCCTTGGAGAGATATTACAGATTTAATGCGAAGCCAGCTTTCCAACGGTTTTCTCTAGAAGAGGCCGAGAAGATGATGGGCAAGAACGCGAACGAGGTTGGGCGATGGGTTATGAAGGACAAAGAGAGGGCCGAGGCGGACAAAGAGTATCAGGACTACAGGAAGTTCCTCGGCGGGCCCGCTCGAGTCAAGATCGAGAATTCGAATGCTATACCAAAGTCGGAGAGGACGGATGACCACGACCTCGATATGTCGGGGGATGAGTTCCAGGATGACGATGAAGCTCCCGGTTTTGAGGCTGATGATGAAGACGCCCGGGACGCCAGAGAACGAGTGCGTCGTGACCACCTGGGAGCCAACAATTTCGGCGAGGTTGAGGAGGAAGAGGTGGATAAGGAGGAGGAAATCGAAAAGCTCGAGAAAATGCGCGAGAAGGTTCAGGGAAAGCGCATACGGAGAAACCTAACCAGGTTGGAACGTGCAATGGAGTACAGTAGCGACTCGGATTCAGATAATCCATTTGCTGAATCTTCGGTAAGTTGCCTTTCTAAGCTTGACATGCAGCCCCCCTCTTTCCTCCCCTCCACCCTGCGACCATACACAAGATCGTGGGCATGTTACTGACCCATTGCCAGTCTGAGTCGGAAGATGAAAAAGAAAAAGAGAACGAGGACAAGAAGGAAGAAGACGGCAAGGACGGCAAAGACGGTAAAGATGTCAAGAAACAGGGCGACGAGAAAGAGAAGCCAGCCTCCGGCGCTAATACCAAGGGAAATACGACGCCGTCGGGCAAGCACAAGGCCAGCGATATGAAGAAGATTAAGTCTCTCAAGCGCCCCGGGTCCCCCAATCTGTCCGAATCTAGCGGTAACGAGTCCTCGCGCAAGAAGAAGGTGAAGAAGACGAAGGCCGCTGCCACTGCGTCTCTGAACGCCAGCCGCGCAACCACTCCACTACCGGGGCGAACAAAGATGGCCGGTGCTACCAGTGATGGCGAGGCAACGGCAGGCGAGGGATCAGACGGAGGTCTGAAGCCAAAGAAGATCAAGCTCAAGACGAGCACCGGCGCGAAGGGCACTCCCACTGGCTCGCGGGCTGGTAGCCCCGTTCCTCTCGGTAAGTCCACAATTCTAGAATCGCAGCTTCCTTTCCCATCCCGTTCCCCTTCCTCTGGGCCCTACCAGATAAGCAATTGTTCTAACCAGGTCTCTCAAGGAAACAAACCAAATTCTCCCTCTAAAGCCGATACTCCACGCGGATCGCCAGCCCCAGGATCACCCACCGGCCCCGTCCAGGCATGGGAAATTGCCCAGGCGCTCGAGGCCAGGCCCGAGGGGATATCTCTCGGAGAGCTTCTCCGGATGTTCTCTCATCGCGTGGAGAGCGAGAAGCACCCGCATTTGATGAAGAGGCAAGAATGGATTGCTCTGGTTAGACAGAATGCATCGTATGGCCCAGATAAGCTGGTACGGCCAAAGGCCAACCCTGGTGCATAAATCTGGGGAGCCTCATGAGGCGGCTTGATAACATATCGCTGGCTTCCTGGGGAGACTCCAGCACGGGTATGAGGTCCTTGGACTCATGGATGGATGAACGGATGGATACTTTGGTCAAAAAGAACACAGGCAACCGAAGCAGAGTCCATTTACATGCATTAATCACGCCCTGTTTGATATTTGTACATTAGGCATAGAATTGCCTCTTTCCAAGATAGACTCTGCCCCGAAATTGAGATTCGTTCACGACTAGTGAGTACTGCCAGAGGCATGTAGCCTGTTCCTGCAGACATCAATCTCAGTGAGTGGACAAGATGAGAAATGATATCCCATCCCCAATTTGTAGCTTCCCATTCAGGCGTTCCCAGATAGGTGATAGCAATATGTGCCGCATGCCGCATGCCGCATGCCACGAACTACTCATCCATCTGCCAAGCGTAATCCAATCCCTTATTCCTCTCTCGCCTGTTGATGGTCTTGAACCGCTCCGCCTCGAACCCATTGCTGCGATCAACCCCATCCCATCTGTAGCCCGGCCGGATACCGTATCGATTCGGTGGGGCGGCCCCCTTATAAACTGGCCGCCCCGCCCTGCCGCCCTTCCTACCCGCGGCCCCCGACCTGCCACCCCCACCCCCGGCGTCGTCCCCGCCCAGGAACTGCGCCATGGGGTCGTTCCACCTGCTCTGCGCCTTCATCTCGGCGTTCATCTCCACGTCGTCGGCGCCCCTGGCCAGCGGCATCAGGGCCGCGTCCTCGAGCCTCTCGCGCCGCGCCCGCGCCTCCTCGAGCTGCACGTCGCCCTTGAGCGCGCGCTTCCGCGCCCCCTCATCCCGCCGCGCCTGCGCCTCCGCGTCCGCCGCCGCCCGCCGCGCCTCCGCCCGCCGCATCGACACGTCCACGCGCCGACCCGTCGCGTCGCGGAGCACCAGCTGCTGTTCTTCTTCTTCCTCATCGTCCGCGCCGCCGCCCCTCTTCCTCGCCCGCGCCTTGCGCTCGCGTTCCATCCGCTCGAGCTCCGCCCGCTCCTCCGCCCGCCGCCGCGCCAGCTGCGCAGAGATCGTGGCCGCTGACTGTAGCCCCGCGTGCGTGCCGTCCGACATCATGGCCGCGGCCTTGGCCTTCTGCGCCTCGTCTCCGCCGCTGCCCCCTTCCACCACGGGGGCTTCGTCCGCGGCGGTGCCTGCGGCCGCGTTCTCGGCGGCCGCGGAGGCTAGGATCGCGTCTGCGGCGGCGTCGTCGTTGGACGGGACGGGGGCGGCCCCGACCGTCTTCCAGGTGGACTTCTTTGCGCGGCGGAACTCGGCGGACGTGCCGGCCACCATGGCGGAGTTGTCCGGGTCGGCATCGTCATTGTCGCCGCCGGAGCGCGAGGGCCTCGTCCAGCCGGCGTCGTCGTCGTCGGTTATGAGGAGGCCCGGGGCGGCGTCGGTGGTTTGCTTGCGCTTGCGCTTCTTGGTCGGCTTGGCGTCTGTTGTGAGGTAGCGGGACGCGAGGTATGACGAGAGGTCGGGTGGCATGATAGTTTCCACTTTGGGCGAGAATCGTCGCCGCGGGAAGATTAGAATGCGATATTGTACAGACTGCAGAGTATGTCGGTCGCCGTGTTGGTAAGTGACCAAATTCGAGATGTTCGGCCTCAGAAGAGGCTAGTGATTTGGGCCTGCAGCTAAGCAGAAGCGGCTCGTGCGGGCACCCTACTGGGCCATGGGGCAAGATTAGATAGGAAGATCTACGGATCCGCTCAGAGTATCAACTATCGGGCAACGCCGAATGCCTTATCAGCCTTCCTCTATTGGTATTACCATTCCAACTTTCTTCCATGTGAAGCAAGTTTTCTATTTCAGCTCTCGTCAGCAATGATCCCATCATGCCCGATATACGCAGTATACATTTGTGGGATGCCAAGGGACTGGATTCATGCAATGCATGCCATTCGAATAGGTTTCGCGAGTTGTTCTAGATCCAAACTCCAGGCCGTCTGTCCGTTATGATTAAACAAGAACCTGCATGGTTGCCAATCTCGTCATGGTGATTGATATCCTTGTTCCAGACCTAGCCTTTTACGTTCCGCATGCATTGCATCTGCAAGAGAGCTCAACAAAAGGGTGTCATTGAAGAATCAAGGTACCTGGAGGGCCTGCCAGGGCCTTAGACGGGTCACAGCTCGGATGACGAAAGCGTCTGTATGCGTCGGTCACAGGGTTTTATGTTACCTAGGTACCTAACTGTGCATACAACCTGCTCCGAAACCAGCGATTGGCCGTCAGGTATTCGTTGATAATCGCACCCTTCCACGTGGGATGTTTGTGGTCAAGAATCGCAGTTGCTGGTTATTACGAATCTGCCCGCAATTGTTGGTTTCTCTTGTTAATTACGTAGAACTCAGGTGCGTGATGTGTCGATTGGTCAGGGAGGTAAGGAACCAGCCCTCGGAAGGCTAGGATAGGTAAACAACCTTGGTACAGTCCCTAGGTGGCCCGGCTAAGAATAGGTCGCGTACTATCACGAGCCATCCGCTGTTGCCGCTGGCATCATGCCGACGTCCTGATCCCATCAGAAGCCGGAATGACCAAGAGGAGGTACCTACCTAGTGGGGGGTGACTTGGTGACTTCTGTTTAGGTGGTTGGCTGTTTAGTCACTGCCCGGCGGCCAAGACAAGTCACACCCAACATCCACAATCCACCCCCAAGAGACGCACCCCTCTAGCTTTATCATCCGGCAATCTCGAAACGCACGCCGATAGCAGGAAGGGAGGCCTTGGGAGGCCATCCAAGGCAACCCCAGTGCACATGATATAGATGCTTTGCTCTTGCTTCCTCCCCCGTCGTTTGCTCTCCTTCCTCCTCGCCTCTCCAAACCTCTGACAAACTGGCCTCACAAGAATACAAACTACCTCTCTCATTTCGCGCCTTGAATTACCTACTTATTCCCCTGAACAGCTCATTTCGCCTTGCCTTAACTGTTGCTACATCCCGGCCCCTAAAAACGGTCACTTACAGCCTCCACTGTCAACAAAACACCCACCTCCCGGTGTCTGAGTCATCCGGCCACTGCGCACGCCATCCTATCACAGCCACCACTTCAACCACTTCCTAGGTATCCGTAACGAGTCACTCACTCAGGACAAAGAAAAAGCGATTTTCTTTAAGTTTGCACCTATTTCACCTACTAGTCCTAGAACATTCCCAGTCGTCTTTATCTATCCCCAACCTTGGTCGGCCCCTTTCCAACGGCCCTTCCTTGACTTACACAACTGCTTCTCTTACACCAAATCACCAAGAGCTGGTGCTTCAGCCCAACTCCCAAATTGCGTCAGACTGTTGGATATTGCACCTAATTGATCACTCCCGGCATTCTCTGGTCCTTGGAGATCATCCAGAACACGCCGTATACAAGAAGCAGCCTGCATCTATTTCTACCGTCCTGCCCATTTGCTAGCCATACAACCTTTGTCCTGGCCTACACCGGACTCCCAAGTACTATCGACTCAAACACGGAGATCATGTCGGCCAGCTTTGAGGCTCCCGCCCAGTATGACCGAGACCTGCGAAGCGCCAACAAGGAGTGGAAGCGCGGCAAGGACGCGGCAACGAAGTGGTCTTTTGGCTCTCGGCCGCTGTCTGGCTGCCGCATGGACTGGGTAACTGGCGAGGCCGTCGGCGGCAGCGAGGCCCAGCGGGCCAAGACTCGCCCGCGCGGGAAAGCCAGTGATGAGTGAGTTCCCAAATTTCAGACCCTCCATGGCCTTGAGAACCTCTTATCTGACTCGACTCGTAGAGTCAAGCCTTACTTCAAGAAGGAGCACAACGTCACAAAGTTCAACCGCGGCAACTACACACTGCCCGCCGGTCGCGTCCGGACCAGGATGAGCGCACACGAGGAGATCAGCAGCGATGTGACCCGCTCCATTTCGGACCTGGTCCCGGGCTCCAGCCTAGCTCGGACGAAGTCCACGTCGGATAACTTCATGTACAGCTTCGACCGCACAGATAGCCCCGGCAGATCGCTGACCCTGGACGTCTTCATCAAGCCCGCCAATCCCCGCGACACGGAACGTTTCGTGGAGAAGGAGTACGAGATCCTCGATGCCAACGGCCAGGCACTCAGGGGCCACAAGGCGCGGCGGAACCTTCGAAAGGCGCCTTTGGATCCGCCACGGGACGACGCGGACGCGAACGAGGACGAGGGCTTCGAGCTGGTTTGAAAAGCCGGCTGAGCTCTTCCCTCTTCGCCGCTTTCTTTTTCTTCTCTTCTTCGCCCCTGGCTCCTTTGTAGGGCCTTCCTGATTGCTTACGGTGCAAAGTAATCCTCTATATGGCTTTGACTTTGGCTCTTGATCTCGTCGACCTGTGGAGTTCGCTCATGCCGGTTATTGGAGAGCACACGGTAGAGCGTGTGTCGCTTCGTCACACACACTTTTACATTACTATTTTGAGATGGTTGCGGCACCAGCGGATGGGACGGCGTCCCTGTGGAGCCCGGCCTGGTTCGAGCGTGGTATCAGCATGGGACTTTCCGACCATGGTCATGATCATGAGTCACATCACACGGTGACCGTCTGCTGCGAGGCAAGCATTCTTGGGACTTCGGGCGCTATTGTTGGAACTTGTACTTTTTGTAGGACGGTTGGAACATGGGACGTCTTGGCTTAACCCGGGCCATTGGAGTTGGGTTTGATCATGGCCAGGGAAGTATGGCTGGACGCCGCATGGAGTGCGCTCGACCTTTTTCCTCCTTGTAGAATCGAGATCCTCGGAGCACTGACAGCGTTCATGGCCTCCACACGATATAAGTAATGCATTTAACTCTACTTGTCAAATGGTTGCTAGCGCGTGGACTGTCTCCTACTACTAGTACACCAAACATTACGCCTGTCCAGAGACTTTAGTGACAAGGAGCCCGGTGATGGATGGTCCTTCTAACTCTTCGCTCTGGCAGAACAGACATCATGGGAAGAAGTAACAAAATAAAGGGATACTGGTATATTGCGGCCAAGACCCGGCGACTCATTCCATCATCACCAGAAACTAGGCGCCATTGCACCAACACATCAACGCCTTCTCCATAACCGCCATGCTCCCCGGGATCGCTGTGCCTTTAAAACCAATCAGTCCTCCCCCCCCCCCGGCTCCCGCCCCCGCCCTCCCTCCTCCACCGAAACACCCCTCATGAAGCCGACGACGCATCCCGCTGCTGCTGCTCCCAGGCGCGCCGGCAGGTCTCGGTCATGAGGCGCTTGGGCGCCATGCGGCCCGTCATCAGCTCAAAGGCCTCAATGGCCATCTCGCTGACGACCTCGAGCCCGTCGACGACCACCCACGAGGGCGACGCCCCGCCGCCCCCGCTGCCGCCGACGTCGCGGAAGGCCTGCATCTGCGCCACTAGTGGGGTCACTAGGGGTTCGTAGGCGAGCTGTTTATGTTTAGCAGGGGGAAACCAATTTCATTTTCCTGGGATTTGGGGAGTTTGGGTGGGTTGGGTCAAGAAGGGGGAATTGTCTTGAACTAACCTCGACGATGACGCCGCCGGTCGGGCTCTTCAGCCACTGCAGGGGCATCTCGAAATCCGCTGGCGGGCTGCCGTCCACGCTCGTGGCGGGGACACACGAGACGACCATGGTGGGGAGCTGGTAGTTCTGGGGCCAGGGCTGGGAGGTGGACGGGAGGACGTGGCATAGCTGGTGTTGTTGGCCTGCGGGCCCGGCGGAGCCGTTCACCTGCGGCTGCCCCTGACCGGGCCCGAAGACCTGGGTGGCGGCCCAGTCGTTGAAGTGTGCGGCGACGGCGTCGGCGTTGGCGACGGTGCGGTTGTAGACAAAGATGTTGCGGCAGCCGAGCTGGAAGAGGGCGTAGATGGCGGCGCGGGCCATGCCGCCGGCGCCGACGACGAGGGCCGTCGTCTTGGAGGGCTGGACGTAGTTGCGCGGGGTGATGGCGCGGCGCAGGCACGTGTGGATGGAGCGCCAGTCGGTGTTGTCGCCGTAGAACTCGCGGGCGGGGCCGGCCTTGTTGCGCGAGTTGGCGTGGTCGAGGATGAAGCTCGTGCGGCCGCGCAGCGGGAGCATGACGTTGACGGCCCCAATCACGCTGGCGTGGTGGCTCTTGATCTTGAGGTGCGGCATCATGGCCACCTTGAACGGCGCGGCGAGGCTGACGCCGCCGAAGCTGTCGCTCGTGCAGATCCGGTTCAGCTCGTCGAGCGTCGTGCACGTGTGCGGCTGGTACGTGTGAGGCATGCCCGAGAAGTCGTAGGCTGCGTGGTGCATCGTCGGCGACAGCGAGTACGACACGTTGGCGCCGGCCACGTAGAACTGCAGCGGGTCTAGCAGGAAGTTGTGGAAGAGCTGCTCGAAGGAGTTGCTGTAGGTGCATACCGTCGCCAGGTGGTCTCTCTCGTTCTCGACCGCCGGGTGCTTGACGGGGTTGAGAATGCGCGACTGCAGGGGCGTCCTGATGCCGAGCACGGAGAAGTCGTAGGCCACTAGGGGGGGTTTGGGGTCTGGGATGGTGTCTTGTATCCTCGATCGGAGTTCCTCCAGCCTCTCCACCGCGCTGTCGCCCGTGCAAAACCGGACCATGCGCACGATATCGCAGCCGAGTGCCTGCGCTCGCTGGTAGTTCTCCAGCTGCCGGTCGTCTGTCCAGGGCAGGGAGCCGAGCCCCATGTACCAGTAGTTGCCAATGATCTTGGATCTCCCCTTGTGCCGGAGGATACGGTTCACCAGAGTTGCGTCTCTCTGGAGATCAAGACTCAAGTAGTCCACGCCGAGCCGAAGTCCAAGCCCCAGCAGCTCGGTATCCATGCGATTTCTCTCCTCCTCCGTTCTGCGTCTCTCACCACGGGGGTTCTCTTCGACATGATAGATGATAGGGACGCCCAGCTTCCTCCTTATCAACGCGACCTGCTCCGCGACGATGGTTAGGAGATCGTCCGGCCAGGTGTCAATGATTAGCTCGACGCAGTCGCCCCGGGCCTCAAAGTCCTCCCATTCAAGGTCCATGTCGATGAGATACGAGAGCCGGAGCCGGAGTGCGTAAGAATATGACCTATACTCGGGTGGGATAGCGTCAAGGGAGAAAGGGGTTTCAAGCCAGGCGCGAGTACCGCCCTTGCCCGTGATTAGGTCGAGGAACTTTGTAAAATCCTGTCTTGCGGACAGAAGCTTTGAAGGCGGAGGTGGCTGGACGTCTGACGGGGTTGTCGTACCCGATACCGACCCAGCGCGACCGCTCGAGGAATCATAGAGGTTGAAGTATTCAAGGTTGGAACAACTCCTGTGGGTTTTGTCTGCCTCCAAGAGCGGCTCCGCCTCGGTGTCATCGAGGAGGCGCACTATAATCTCCGGTTCCCGGTGGATGTACACGACAGGATTGGCCTGGGAAAAGGATCTCAGAGCGGCTTGGGCCTCCTCGGTTAGGCTGGTCATGCCACACTCAATAATACACTTGGTCCGGTTGGAGTCCAGCATGTGCTTGAACACGTCGATGTTCCGGCTTGCAAAGGCGTCCTTGCCGTGCCTGGAGAGGTATTTGCCACGAGTAAGACCGGTGGCCTTCTCGAAATAGTGATCCTCGGTGACCAGCCGCCGTCTCAGATGCATGGCTCCCATGAAGCCCAGTGAGCGCTTCCCGGCCCCCCGGCAGCCGACCAGGACGATGGACGCATCGGGCCCAAAGAACCTCTCATTCTTCGGGACTTCCATGACGATGGTTGGAAATGGCCACTTCCTGGGCTTGCTCTCAGAAGACGACACTACAAGGACAGCCTCCCGATCGGAGGGCAGTTAGCACCAGAGACGGGGAGTAAACCAGCTTTCCGGGCCAGGTTCGGGAGGTTCGGAGTCTTCTCGATTCGGTGTCTGGGTCATCTCATCGATCCCATAACGTTTTTACAGAGATGCAACAGCGCCACGGAGAATGAGGGGAAGGGCAGGACCTTTGCGGGCTTCTTCATTGCCCGACAATCCAAGGTGCGAAGTCTGATATTGACGGCCGTCATTCATACATGTCTTCCGGTCGGCAGATCACTCGGGATTGGTGAGCGGGAAAATTGTAGACCCTCTGTTATAGACTGACTGATCCGACCCCGCCTGCTACTCCAGTTGACACCCAAGGTTATCCCGTTCGAGAAAAGGCTCGAAAAGAGATCTAGTGCCGCATTACTTGACTGGAGATGCCCGGATAGATGCACTGCGAATGAATTGAACTACTTCTAGACCTGGCATCCTTCAATCCATGTGAATATCCGATGCAAGGGCCGGTGCGCCGACGGACACCGGTCTAGGTAACTGCCGACATTCCCCGGTTAGGATAGCAGAGAAAAGAGAGAGCCAACCACACAAAGATCACACACTCCCTTGGCATTCCTATCTCACCTACCATGATAGACTTTTGCCTACCCTTCCACCATTATCTATCTGTAAATATCCCTGGGCGGCTGGGTTAGGTGGTTACCTTAGGTAGGTAGGAGCTGCTCGGCTTTTCTTCAAGCCCCGGCAGTGTGGGACCAGGGAAGCGAAGTCACCAAGCCCGCTAAGGTATGTACCTGGTTAGGTAGTTAGGTAAGGTAGGTACTGTACTGTGCATACATAAGTTAGCGTCGGAATTGGGTTCGTTACCTCCATCCCAAGGGCCGAGAACCTTGCGCGTGTGTGCCCCTCCAATTGGCATCCAATGGAATTGTTGACCACTACTATTTTGAGAACGGCAACCGACCTCGACCACAATTCCGTCGACATCCAGGCTCAACGACCCGCCCTCTGCTCTGAGCGGTTCCTCCTCGAGAAGGAACGCGCCTGCCTCCGAATTGGCCTGGGCCATGAGGCATTAAACCCGCATCTCGGAAAATGGAGCTCGATGCTGCGGAGATATTGGTGGCAGATGTGCCGCCGGCCCAACCGGCGATGCCGCCATCCACGAGCGACGCCGGAGCGGATGCCCGCAGTGAGACTCCCGTGAATCCCCGTAAACGGAAGAAAGCTTCCCGGGCGTAAGTTCCAGCTCAGCATGAGACTACCTTATCCGTTCATCCGTCGCTCAACCCGAGCCCATACACACAGTCCGGGATTCTGACTAAGACATAGCTGCGACTACTGCCATCTAAACCACCAGCCCTGTGACAATGGCAAGCCGCGGTGTGGCGTGTGCGAGAAGCATAACAAGCCGTGTAGTTATCTGCGACCCACCAAGCGGCGTGGGCCTCAGAAGGGTTACCGCACTGCGCTCAACACCTACAAGGAGAGCGCAGCCGCTTGGGGGGTTGTCCTGGGCGCCATCCCAGGTCTGGATGCCCTGATCGAGGGCCATCTCCGGAGCGAGAATGGCAGATTTCTCTTGAAGTCCGTCAAGGATCCTGCCCAACAAGACGCCCTGATTCAGAAATGGCAGCAGAGCACCGTTTTCAAGTCCTTCTTCCCTAGCAGCTCCACTACGGCCAGCATTGAGGGAGAAGAAGCAGAAGAGCCCAGGGACAGTGTGCTAGAAATGGACCCCTTTCCAGTACCCCGGGGGAAGCCATATGCTCCCAAATTTTCGCCTAGCCGGACCAGCCGCTCCTCCTTCGGTCCTGCCGATATAGACCTGACGAGGAGGAGGAGGAGCGTGACGGCTCCGCAGCAGCCTGTTATCAGGGAGCCTACCTCGCTCTCCGATATTGTGGCCAAGGATGCAGCTCGATCGTACGTCCCGTCTCGGCCCTTCTATACTCTGTGTCGCCCAACTAACCCAGAGGCAGATCGTCTCATGCCTCACAAACGCTGGCTCCCCTCGGTTTCGCTCCAAATGAGACAATTGCCGATTTTTACGATATTGGCTCTAATCCAGAACAAATCCTCCAGCCCCCTGACTTGGACCACGAGCTGGGCACGGATGCGGAGCAGAGAGTCTACTACGAGTTGCTCATGGGCCGCTCCTTTGATGACTCGTCCCAAAGGACCTAAACCAAGTCGGATTGTGATGATGTCCTTCACATTACGCCTGGGTCACTGAATTGGAACGAGTACTTCCCGTGGGCTGTTCATGGCGTCTTGAGATTATCTTACGGCCCACACACAGATCAGGCCTCTTTCCCGCCCCTTTTCCTCCAGCAACCACAAGATAACGCCATGGCACCAAAGACCATAACTTGCACCCGTCTTTAGACGTGGTGTGGTGCTGGCATGGTCGGATGTTGAGCCATTAGGTTAGGATATGATTCTGGAGCAGTCGCCATTGTCACTAACACCCCAACAGTGCCCCATCCACGCCTCAATGCGCGCCTCTGCGGTACATATTCGGAGAGTTACTAGTGCGATGTCCTGTCAAGTGTCTAGTCGGGGAACAGTGTAACGCAGCAGCGTCATCCCCTTTTAGAAGACTGTTTGGACAGTTGAATGGGAAAAGGAAAAGGGAAATCACGTACCGGCCATCATTGCTGCGACGGTGGGCAGTGAGGGCAGAAGATCCCCCAGTCTCGCATGGCTGCTGCTTAACTACCTAGGTGGCTGCCTGATGAACTAGGTACCTACCTAGGCACCGTCTATTGTACCCACCTACATAGGTTGGCTTTCATAGATAGGTACCTAGGCAGTGCTGATCACCCTCGTGGACTGCGGGCATGCCGAGGGTCAAAGAAATAGGTATCTGCATGTTCCTCAGTCCCATCCCATTCTCTAACTCGTGCCACCAGCAAACTAGAACGCATGGGAAGTCAAGTTATGCATTTACAGAAATATGGTATTAAGAAGGAGAGAAAGGCGTTTAGTAAGACAGATGCAACTAGATTCTATAATCTGATTGGACGTGCTGAGGTCGTCATCGGATATGTGCGGATTCGTAAGTCAGCGAGCTGTGCCCCACAGCTTCGTCAGGCCGATCTAGCCGTAGTCAGTATGATGCAGCGAGGCGCAAGAGCAAGATCTACGTAAGCTGCAGCCCCTGCTGAACCTATGAAGTCCCGTCAGCCCAACATTTGTTGGACTGGTGGAATCTTCTCTCAGAAAACGCTTTAGGATCTCAATTTCTCCAGCAGCTGAGGTCTCAATCTTGAAGAGTTCAATCCGGCGGGGGCCAGTCCTTTAGAGGCCAGCAAGTCCGAGGCGGACCTTTTTAAGCAGAGATGGACACACCGGGACACTCTGTCGCACTTGAAAAGGCTCAGCTGCAGCAACATTCCGAGGCCACTCGCCAGCAATCAGAACCGGCGCTGACACCGACACCGACACCGACGTCCCTGGGAGCCGCATCAGGGTTCAGCGGCGCCAACCAGATCCTGGATCTGGACATTGAACGGCACGCCGACGGCAACCATGACGCCAACGGCGTGCCCACCCCACCCCCATACTCAGGCCCATCCAGCAGCTCCCAGGTGACGCTGGCCACCCAGCGGGCCCCCCGGAGCGGGCCGCAGAAATACCCCGGCCTCCCGCTGCTGGACTACCGGCTATACTCGCCGCCGCTGTTCGAGCTCTCGGCGGACCGCACAACCATCAAGAGCACGGCGCCATACCTGTCCAGCAACGTCAGCGCGCTGGTGTCGCTGATGCGCGCGCAGTCGTCGGTGCCGCCCAAGCCGCAGGTGCACATCACGGGGCGGCGCGGCAGCCACAAGGTCGACTTCGCTGTCAGGCTGAACCTGATGAGCCTGCTGGTGCCCGAGGACCCGCGCCGGCGGATGGACTACATCCGCTGCGTGGGCGACGGCGAGGCCGCCATGCGCGGCGGCCTGAGGCCTGCGGCCGAGCCGTCGGTGGGGCCCGACGGCGGGCTCGAGGAGTGGGCGCGCCGGTTCATCGAGGACCCCGGACCCGTCAAGAGCTTTGCGCTCGAGCGCGTTGTCGCTAATATGGATGTTGGGTGGATCGAGGGCCAGATCAGGAGCATGATCGCGTCGACGGATTACAAGGGCGTCGTGTCAGTCTCGTTCCCTGTCACGCACGCAAAGGTGGTGGTGCAGAACCCGGATAAGGTGAACAAGTTCTTCACCTCGGTCACGACGCTCTTCTCGGGCAAGAGGAAGTACGAGGTCGCCAAGGCGGTGTGGCCGTTCGCGACGCACAGGAATGGGGAGCCAGACCGGCGGTGCATCGTCCAGAGCGAGGAGACGTGGTGGAAGGAGTGGAAGGACCCGATCAGGTATGCCATCGCCACCAAGCGCCACGGCTGGGTCACCAACGAGGACAAGCTCGAGGCTATAATGGAAGGTGTCGGGAAGGGCTTGTCTACTGTTGACTGGGGCCCGGAATACTGATGCGAGGATGTGGGCGCTTGGCTTGATCTTCACCCAGCGTATTTGCTTCGCATGGCGTGTTTGCTTCGCATGGCATATTTGCTTCATATGGCGTATTCTCTTTCCACACTGGACCTTGTAGGGCAACCATTTCACGGCGTTGGAGTTTGGTGGTGGGCGGGTTACTTGGTGAGGATTTCTGGCGGGCGAAGAGCTCATACATAACTTGGAAATCTCATCAAGTTGGCAGATTATAATTGTAAAACGAGGCTCAGCGGTCTCAGGAATGCCAATCATCTTCACAACTATCTTCGCCTATACTTGTGCCCAACTTCGTCTCTGATCAATTCCATCAACTGCGGGTCTATCCTCATGCCCCTGGCCGGCACAGCCCAGCATGGGAGGCTGGTGAGTCACCGGCCAATATTCCCAGGTAATTAGCTGGGCTTCATATGAATTGATTCAGTGTGATTCACCATAGCTGCTGGGAGTCACCCGCCGCAGTTGCTAGGCGTAATTTCAATTGAGCTTTGTCTGATACTGCAGAGGAAGTTGTATTTTAATAAGATCCCCAATCATCCCCATTCTCTGAGAGTGGTCATAGACAGTTTCTGTCTGCCAGCAAGCGTTGTCTTTTCTCATTGCTTCTTAATTCAAGACTTCATTACAAGCTGCCATCGCAAGGCAAACGGACTGCATAGCACGTCCACCAACTACCTCATCAAATCCGAAGAAGCTCACCTCAGGATCAACAAACAACGAAACCACGCCATGGCAGCTGCCGAGACTTTTTCAGACTCTGGAGCTATCTCCATCAACTCACACGACACGGCTCTATGCTTCATTCCTGATCAAGATGATTGGCCGTCCATTGATCGATTTCGGGCCCTCTACGACAAGGCATATGGGAACTGGCCGCCGCATGTTAACCTAGTCTACCCGTTTGTCCGCCCGGATAGTCTGTATCGGGCAGCCAAGCTTATCCAAGACGGACTGCAGCGTTGGAAAGAGGAGAGGGGAGAACCGTCGGTGCACATTTCGTTGAACGCCGCCGATGTCTTTACTCGTAGGCATGATAACACGCTCTTCCGATGCGACAGCGATAGCGAACGTACATCCGAGATCAACAAGTTGCGGCGGACTATCCTGCAGTCGTTGGGACATCCCGAGGGAAATTATCGTTTGCACATGACTGTTGCCCAGAGCGAGGATGTCAACTCAAGCGCCCACAAGTTCCTGCTGAACAAAATCGGCCTCATGCCCACTCTACAGTGGGATGCCGGCACAATATGCGTCCTCGTCCGGGAACGGATGCAGATAGACGGCAGTGCGGTGAGCCGGATGAAACTATGGGGCATAATCAACCTGTCCACGGGCTGCTCCCTCACACGCCACGCGGAGCCTCGAGGTTTCTACGAGACGGGATGGGCAGCTTCATCTTCGAGTAATGGGGGCGAGGCTGGAGAGAGAGACCAGCTCCAGACCAGGCCCCCTTATTATCTCGACGACGAGACCAGGTTGTGGCAGCCGTTTTCCTCTTCGAAGCTGGATTCCACTGAACCGCCCAAGGAGCTCGTTGTCTCCAGCTACAATGTCCTGGGTGAGTTCTCCTGGCCACCTTCGCAGGCCAGGTACCCCCTTATCATCAAGAACATCCTCTCGGCGCAGGCATCGGCCGACGTACTAGTGCTTCAGGAAGCGACCGACGATTTCCTGTCCTACCTCCTCAAGGACGAGGGTGTCCGCAAGCTGTATCCTTTCACGTCTCACGGACCTCCCGACCAAGCCGACATCGAGCCGCTCCCGAGCCACCTCAATATCCTCGTCCTGAGCAGGTGGGCGTTCGACTGGGAATGGGTGTCCTTCCGCCGAAAACACAAGGCCTCCATCGTTGCCAGGTTCAAGGACATCGGGAAGTGGGAGGGCCAGGTGTTCTTGCCCACCGTCCTCGCAGCCGTTCATCTGACCTGTGGCTTGACGGACGGCGCCATAGCTGACAAGAAGATTGACGTCCAGAGGATTCTGAAATATCTGTCCAAGTCATACCCGGAAAACCCATGGATCCTCACAGGTGATTTTAACCTTAGCACGTCCTCCTTCTCAATCGACGGGGCCTTGAGGAAGAAGGCGATCTCGGCTCACAGCGCCGGCGTCCTAGCCGGCTTCGAGCACATGTTCTCGCAGGCGAAACTTGCCGACGCCTGGGCTGTATCTCGGCTTGAGGACGGCGACCACTCCGGCGGGGAGCAGGGCCAGGTCCAGAACCAGGGATTGGCCCAGGACGTCGTCGACGGCGAGCAAGGCGCGACGTACGACCCGACCGTCAACGAGGTGGCGGCGGGTATCGTCGGAAGCGGCTACAACATGCGCCCGCAGAGATACGACAGGATTCTCGTGCGGGGAGAGGGCGCCCTGGCCATTTCGCGCTTCAACAGGTTCGGCTTTCTCAAGGAGAGAATCAGCAGCGACGAGGGCGCCGAGCCCACCTATGCCAGCGATCACTGGGGGGTCCGCTGCGTCATGACGGTCCGACCCGCCGAGTTGGATCGGCTCTCCGACGAGGTCAGCAGCCTGGTCGTCCCGGTGCACCCGATGCCTGCCTTGGGACGACTTTCGGGCGATGGGGCTGTAGAGGACTGCCTCGAGGAACTCGGCCTCTTCCCGTCCGAGGAAGAGGTTGAGAAGCGACAGTCGGTGCTCGATCTCCTAAAGCGAGTCTTGCTCGAGACGCAAGGGGGGGGGTCAGGGGACAACCCTTCCTATTCCAAGTCACGAGCATCCGTCATTATTGTCCCCGTCGGTTCGTACGGACTGGGCGTTTGGACCACATCATCGGATATCGACTGCCTCTGCATCGGGCCATTCAGCGCCAAGACGTTCTTCGCTCTCGCAAGCCAACGGCTGAGGAAAGCAAGCGGCGGAGGAGTCAAAGTCCTGCGAAGAGTCAGGGCGAACACCGGCACGATGCTGGAGCTTGAAATCCTGGGAATCAAGGTGGATCTGCAGTACTGCCCCGCGACCTCCATCGCCGAGAACTGGCCCCATGCCTTGAAGCTGCCCCTCTCGAACCCCATCTGGAGCCTGCCGGTCCCGACCTTGTCCAAGCTCAAGGCCATCCGCGACCTTGACTACCTCCGGCGGTCTGTCCCGGACCTAGACAAGTTCCGCGTCGCCCACCGGCTGATCCGGGCCTGGGCCGTGTCACGGGGCATCTTCTCTGCCAAGTTCGGCTTCCTCGGCGGCTTCCACATCTCGATCCTGCTCGCCCGCGTCTACAAGCTGCTCGCCCACGACGCCGGCTCCGCGGCCTCTCCCGCCCTCCCCGTCATCCTCGCCACCTTCTTCAACCACTACGCCTCCTTCGACTGGAAGAGCAAAATGGCCTTCGACCCCTTCTTCCACAGGCAGCGCCTCCCCTACACCCGCACGGCCCGCGAGCCCCTCGCCATTCTAGGCTACTTCCCCCCGAGCCTCAACACGGCCCACGCCGCCTCGGCGCTGACCGTGCGCACCATCGCCGAGGAGTTCAAGCTAGCCGACGAGCGCATCCGCCGCTCCCCCCGGGGCGGGACGTGGACGCAGTTCCTCCGCGACGGCGGGGGCGGCGGGGGCGGCGGGGGCGGCGTGGCCGACTTCCTTGCCTCCTACGGGACCTACGTCCGCGTCGACCTGCAGTACTGGGGCGCATCCCTCTCCAGGGGGATCCAGCTCGCCGGCTGGCTCGAGAGCCGCCTCGTTATGCTCCTCGTCGACCTCCACCGCCGCCTGCCGGCCGTCCACGCGCGCATCTGGCCCGCGCGCTTCGTCAGGGAGTCCGCCTCCGCCGCCGCAGCGGGGGAACAACAACACCAACAAGAACAACAGCAGCAGCATCAGGAATCTGCCGAAGCGGCCGGCTCCTGCGAGTACCAGGGCCACTACCTGATCGGGCTCGACCGGGCCGGCGGGGACGTACAACCAAGGATCTCCACCACCACCGCCGCCGCCGCCGACGTGGAGGGGGAGGGGGAGCTGCGGTCCGTCCTGCGGCGGTTCGAGGAGCAGATCCGCGGCGACGCGCGATACTTTGACGCCCGCAGCTGCTGGGTCGGTGCCGACCTCGTGGAGAGGGGCAACTTGGACGAGGACATGGTCGTCGACGCGCGCGAGTGGGGTGAGTACGCGCCCGGGGAGGAGGAGACGGATGACGACGATGACAATGACGAGGAGGGGGAGGAGGAGGAGGAGGAAGAGGATCGGATTTGGGGGACGGAAGGAGAAGAGGGGGACGGCGATGACGACTACGCGAGGAGAAAGAAGAACAAGAAGAACAAGGGCAGGAAGGGTGCGCAGACGCCGCCGCCCCTCCCGAGGATGGAGCCCGGGAAGAAGCTCCGCACGGCCGCGGACGTGATGAACCGGCTGAGGTGGGACCCGGGCCTGGACAGCGGCGACTACGTCGTCGGGTACGAGGACCGTTTCGTCGGGGCGCAGGAGAAGGCGCTCGACGCCTGGCGAACCGAGCAGACGGACGAGGAGTTCATCCCCCAGCACCGGATCCTCTACTTCAAGCGCAAGACCGACGGCGTCCTTGTGTGGGAGAAGCGGACGAGGAAGGACGACGTGTTTGGGAGTGGGATATAGATGGACGGGGGGGACTGATTGTATATATATGTGTGTGTATTGTATGACGTATATGCATATTTGTGTATACATAGATACACCAGAGAACATCATCCTCGCGTCCCACCTTGGATCCCCACGTTCCATACTTATCATGTCTCGAGCACCGATAGCCCATCGTCTCCATTCTGGAAGGCCAGTTGCTGCCTCAAGATCCGGGCCACTATCCCCTTGCAAGTCGAACCCTTCGGTCAACAGCCTGGTGCACACAAAGAGAGAGAAAGACCTTTGACCGAACCGGGGGTATCACATCGTATTTCGTCGAGACTGGATGTATCCTTTACATCTTGTGTGTTCATCACCCTCAATCAGCCCAACCAACCCTAATCCTTCGCGCCAACGCTCCCCCCTAATTCCCACTCCCACGCAATCTTCACTGGTACTTCCTTCCACCTCCAAACCAATCCACGAACAAACAAGAGACTGAAATGCCACCCTCCCATCCTTCTATCTCCGCACCGGGATCACTCCAACACCACCCGTCTTGCTTTTGGAATCTTAACCTGCATCTCTCCGGAGGCCAGGTTCAACGAAAGCGACAGTACTGAGGTGATATAAAAACTGGGAAACAGAAATGCAGCAGAACCGACGCCATGTATAGTATAGAGAGAAAGCACTGAGCACCCGACCTTGTTTCCTTTAGGTCTCGTTGACAAGATTCACCCACGTTTTTTGGTATAACGTCGCTTTTGGCCCGTTCTTGCATGCAGACTTGGACAAGTCATCCTCGCGCGTATCGGGCTGCTGACCTGCGTACATCAAGTCATGTTGCAGTTGAGGGTATAGAGAACGGACATCCATCGTGCAGGCGTGATGAATAAACACGTTCAGAACTGCAGAGGCAAAGAAAAGAGAAAAACAACAAGAGGCAGCAGAGTAGGAAACAGAAGCCAGAACAATCAAGGAAACGCGAGTACAAATAGCTGAGCAAATGCATCATCAAAGCAGCAACACCAGCACACAACCGGGGTATTGTACGCCAGGGTATATCCAGCCGTAGGGTATTTCTTTTTTTCGCTTACGTAGAATGGAGAAGGACGCCTCCGTCGTTCTAATACTCTTTGAAGCGGGGGGAGGGGAGAATGGAAATCTAACGGAAAGGTCCCAAATGGGGACCGGGGTATCCTGAATTCGTAGAATGAGACGTTGAAGGACGCCCGCTGTCGGCGGACTGTCGGGTATTGTGGCGAGGGGTGACATCGCCGGGTTGCGGGATGGCCAGCTTGTGGTCGGCGCCGTTGCCATTGCTGACAAAGGCGCGGGCCGGCCAGGGGTTATCCTCCTCGGGGAGGTTGACGCCGCTGTCGTTCCAAGGGTTTCGATCGGCATTGAAGCTGCGAGTGGATTCTATGGAAATAAGAGACGACTTGGACACGTTGCTCGAGCCCTTGAAAAGGGAGTTGTTGGCAGAATGAGAGCTATTCTTCCTTCGGTCCAGGAAGGACGAGATGGTCGACATGCTGCCTGGCTTGCGCAGCCTGTCAAAGATGGTGCTCCTCTCACGAGCGACATCGTCGAATGACGGCTTGGTGGGCGAGTCGGTAGCGATCGATGCCGGAGCGTGCTGTAGGAGCTTAGAATCGAAGAACGGCAGCGAGTCCTCAAACGTATCCGACTTTGGACGAGGGAGGGAGCCTCGAACAACGACCGGCTCAACGCCGCCAGTGGTGATCTGGGCCTGAAGGAAATCGATCGCATCGCGCAGCTCACCGGCGTGGTTGCGCGTGAAGGTCCACAGGAGGGTGACGGTTGGACCCCCCTCTTCGGTTCGTTCCTCTGCAATCTCATGGACCGTGACATCAACCTCATGCTGCTTCTTCAGCTTTGGAACAATGCTGTGAACAAACTCGGGAGACTCGAGGAATTTGATGAGAGGCGGAGACCGAGCGAGAACAAGCTCGTGGTTGTCAGGAACCATTCCCTGCGTAAGAAAAAGTCGTGCTGTTTAGCCACGGGTCTCGGCAACTGCTTTTGGATTGGACTTACCAGGAACTCATCGACGCACATGGGCACCTGCCACTGTGGGCCAGTAATAGTGACTTCGTCGCTGGCCTGCTCGGTGCTTGGGAAGACGATCTTGCAGTTCCACTTCTTCTCGAGCGCCTCAATCTCGGCAAGACGAGTAAGGAGTTGGCGATGGTACAATCGGTCAACATTGACAACCTGGGCCGTGACCTCGGAATCCTGCTCGGAAATCGACCGGTTAGACGCTGCTGTTTGCTCATGGGGTTGATGGCATGGGAACTCACAACTCGGTCCACCATTTCCAGAATCTCGGTCTTGACGAGCTCGAGATTCTGGGCGTTGCGAGCTGGCGTGCGGCAGATGACGTTGTCGACACGGTTGTCATCATCCTCGCGGCCCATACCACCTGCCGTCCATGTTAGCAAGGTGCCGAGACAGACCGAGAGACAGAGTCTCGGACAGGCGGGAAGGCGGCACTCACCACGATCCATGGCATTGGAGAATTTGACGAAGACGGAATGCTTCTTCATGATGCGCTGGATGTGCTGGCCGCCAATGCCAATGATACGCTTGTGGTACTGATCAGGCACGTGGAAGGAGATGGACGCGGGCATTTCCTGTTCAACCAGCCCCAAGCCCTGCTTCATGGATTCGTAGTTCTGGGCCACGACGTCGATGTTGAAGTTATACTCGCCAAAATTGTCGAACATGATCTGAACATTGCTCTGCCCCATGATCTTGTTGATCTTGCCGTTCTTCTTGCCACTCACAAATTCCTTGTGCTCGTTGGCCAGCTCGATTTTGACACGAATCTGGTACTGGGACTGCGCGACAAACTTGATGTGGGAAATGACCATCAGAGCGGACTTGACGGCCTCGTCGGAGCCGGTAATGGCAAAGGTTAGCTTATCGAAGCAAACATCGGCATCAGAGTTGGCACAAATATCGCCGAGCATCGTGCGGATGTCGTTCGGGCTTGGGAACTGTCGAGTCTCGGGCTGCGAGATCCACCAAGACGACGTGTAGAACTGACCAACCTACAAGTCCGAGGGTTAGCGGCGCATCTCTCTCACAATATATCCGGATCCCTTCCTTGGTTAATTCTTACCAAAGCCATCAATTCCCGAACCGTCCGTTCAGCGTGGAGGTTCTCGGTGGCCTGGACCCTAACGGCGGTCTGCCTCGAAGCCAGAGGCGGGAACAAAATAAAGGTGCCGTTAGCTTCGAGTATCTTCCGGACCTTGTCCATCCGGCTGAGCAGGATGTTATCGATCTTGGCCGACGGAAGCGCCACATCTTTTACATAGATACGCAGCTGGTTGAAGACCTCGCGCAACTTGATCTTGGCCATCTCGATACTCTGAGGGTTCTCTCCGGTGATGAATATCTCCTGGGGGTCTCGCCGCTTGGCATTCGGAGGGCAGTAGCGGTACATCTGAGAGAAAGGTGGCGGGAAGTAGATGGCAGTATTGGTGGTCGACTCGATGAGCTTGATGTTCTTCCTATTACGGCCGCACACCAGCTGATGGAGGGACAGCTCCAACTTCAGGCCATCGACAATCCTCCCAAGCTGTTCAGTGGTAAGCATCAATCTCGCTCGCCTGGGCAATTGTGGAACGGATATCCGCATACCAATCTGTCAATATGGATCAACACGCGAGTCTTCGCGTGCTCCGAGGACAAGAGGTCGCCATAGATGGCCACTCGCCAACGTTGGTCCCTTCGCAGTTCCACATCGCCATTCAGACCATCCACGACAGGGGTCAGCTTGGGGCCGAGCAGGAAGATGTCCACCCCGCAATACACAGATATGTCGTCGAGAACATCGGTCACCGGCTTCTTCAGCACGCCCGCAGCGAGGTCGCAGACGAGGTCCCCCTCGACATCGACTGTAGTGCAACGCTATTCGTCACACAAAGTTTTTAGCCACGGCAGAAGAGAGATAAAGAGACCACGAAAAAGCAGGGGAACCTACGAGAGAGAGAGGCGTCTCGTTCAAGATGGTCTCCCTGGTGTTGTGGACCATGTCGGGCGTGCCGGAGAGGCACACCGTGGTCACCTGTCCTCGGGCATGCTTGGGTACGGTTGAGAGAACATGGGCGTCGATGACGAGCTGTGTCTGGGATATCTCCTTGCATATCTTCCTCAGATGGGCAAGGTTATGGGCATGTACAGGCAGTTCGAAGACGGGTACGTCGTCGGGTGCGTCTTCCGGGTGCGTCCATCGCATGACGGCGTCGGCAGTGGCGTAGAGGATGTCCTCGGTGTCCGGGCCGGCAAGTTCGGACGCGAAGGGCACGTTGAACGAGTAGTGGATGGAGGTATCGACGGGTTGGGTGGGGGTTATCGGAGGGGCGCCCTGGGGGGTAATCTTCTGGTGAGGGTTTATGCCTGGCATGCCCATATTCGGTCGCGACATGCCGAAGTTGGGGCTCATCCTCTCGGACCAGTGACGCATGTTTGCCAGCTTATTCATGGTGGACGATAAGGGACGAAGGAGGGACTGAGGAAGACCCAATCAAGATACGGGGAGCATTCGAAGGAGAGAAGAGAAGACAGAGGGGAAAAGGCAAGGGGTATCTCAAGGTCAGAATATGAAGAAGCCACAGAGAAGGGGAAAGGAAAGGCGTTGTCGTGTGCTCTTTTCCTCCGTGGGACCTGTAGGTGCGCAGAGGAGGGGGTAAAGTTGGAGGAGCGGCAGCAGTGGGAAGAGAGCGAGAAGGTTAAGAACTGGATGGCCGACTAACCAAGTTTGGTGGAGAAGAGGGAATGCAGTGAAGCAGGGAGAGAGGGTGGGCTGGTCCGTGCTGATTTCTAGTACGTGAGGGATGTACTGTGCATTACGTGACTCCTCGAGGTCGAGGATCGGGCTGTGCTGGAATCCATCAGAAGCTAAGAAGTAACGATGGTCCAAACCTGGCGGCAGCGGTACTTCTGGCCCTGCGGAAGAGGCCGGGCTAGTCCCAGTTACCTCCCACATACATATATATAGAGTTAGACCCTTTACAATCCCAGCTGGCCGCGAATTTGCGAATAGGTATGTACCCTACCTACGCATAGATGGAGCGCTGCCCTAGTACGTATGTAGCATAATTGTCGAATGATGCTCGAGCGATGAGATCATGTTGTCGCCCTCTGGGGGAAGAAAGGCGACGGTGGACGCATTTCTGACTAGGTTCAGGGGACATTAATGGATTACTTGCTATCTACAGTACTCTAATTGATGAGATAGCAGGTAGCTAGCTATTTCGTGGGTTAGAGTTGCAGAGACGAAACAAAACTGCCCCATCACAATTCCCAATACGGGGCCGCGAAATGCATGGTGTGATGCTTCTCAGGAGTCAGGGTTGTTCGCTTGGGGTGCATCGGCCTTCCATCTTTTATGGTCCTCTCTGCATGCAACATTTGAGCTCCTGTCCTTTCGTGCCTGTTTATGAGGTGGAGCCAGCTACCTCGGAAGGCAGCTCCCTACTAAAGCTCCATGCAAGTCGAGTCCCGCACCATCCGGCCCTTCATATCATAGATACATAATACGTAGGTAACTGGGCTGCTCGAGCCTTCGAGGTATCCGTACTTTCTAGTGTCCGGGTTGGCAGTGAGGGGATCTTGTATCTTGGACTACGTGGCGATCCAGCTCTCCGTGGCCGTGATCGACACCGTTCCACGTTCCACATTTCTCAGGAAAGGATACTTGACGCGAACAGTCTGCTCCTCCTTAAAACAAATACCTTGGCGTGCTTGGGGTTGGTGCGAGCTCAGCTATCTTAAGCAGCTTCGGATAGCAGTGTCTACCTACGTGTACCTCAGTTATGGTGTGCTCCACAGATGCACGTCAGCAGCGACGTATCGGAAGTTCTGCCAGCACAGTGTGTTGCACCACCTGCGCACCAAGTCTAAGATAACCACTTAATAAGATACCTAGGTAGGTAGGTACCTCCGTTCCATGGAATTCGACCAGTAGCTGTATAGAGGAAAAGTAGCTTATTCAAGAGGTGAGATCCCTTAAGTCTCGGGTTCTCGACTGACAAGGCCGTATGGATCTCAGCTGCCTTGCTCCTTAGCTATATGGGTATTCTAGTGTAAAATATTCACTGCTTGCAGCAAGTTAAGCAAGGGGCAGAGAGCGGCAACGGGAGATTCCTCAAAGTCTCAACCCTAACCAGGACCAAAGTGAGACACAGCAATTACAGGCCGGAACACGAAAATAAATAAAAATAAAGCACAGTAAAAAAAGCACCTCCCCGAAACGTTGAGCAGGTCTCTCCGTTCTGTTGTTATCAGACCAACAGGAAACGTTCGAGGTGCCAGGAATTCTCCGGAGCTGTCACTCTGTGCCGGTCTGCGCGCCGTGATTCGACACAGCCGCCGAGATCTCCATTTCCACGGATCCTCGGTGCACCTCGGACAGGGATCCCGAGAGTTGGCCTGGCTATCCAGCCTATCGGCCAGTTGCGGAGCTGCTCCTTCTGACAGCATACTGTGCTACCGTTCCGATCTGAAAAGGTGATGGATCGTAAACTTTTTGCTCAATTGAAGGGGTTGCCTTGGCAAAGCTTTGAGGTGCTCCGAAAACGAACGACGAAGGTTCTCAGCACTAGGGACGCCAGCCCGATGCTTTGTCTTCTTTACCTGATTCTCCACAATCTCTAGATGAGCAAGCCCCATCACGGGGAGTCCCTGAGAGCCCACACATTTTCCCTTTCACCCTATTATTAGGCACTTCATACACAGCTTCGTAACCCCCCCACATGAGCTATTAGAGTTACCACAACTCGATTAATGCTTCATACACAATCCCAAGCCGCCCACACAATAGCTCCCATCCTGGGATCCTGCAACCGGAATTCGCCAGTAGCAGGCCCTTCCTAGTCTTACAACTCCCAATATGGCGACGAGAAGGATGGTCCGTCATGGGACGCTGAGATACTCTCATTTCGAAGACCCCGACTATGGATGGCCCCGCTATGCTTGATGGTATGCATCCGGACGGGGAGCATGGTCCACATAGATGACCTCCTCCTCTCCTCGCACCAACGGCCGCTCGTAGTACGACTCTGCGCGGCGAAGCCGGTACTCGGGGCGACCGACCGGTAGGCCGGCGTCGCCTGGCCGCACGCTGAATGCGCGGCCCTCGGCCGGCGGCGCCATGACCTCGCTTCGCGTCTCGGGGTGGACGGTCGCAGCGTACTCGCGACCGTCGATATCCGGGCGAATGCTTCCGATCCCTGGCCTGTACCCTCTTGCAAACTCGTATCGCACGGGCTCACTTGGCCGGGCGCTCCCAGTCCGTAGATAGTCACCACGAGAGTCTACCACTCGTCGCTCGTATCCCTGCGGCGCTTCGTACCGGAGTGCCTCAGCTGGTCGCACAGATACAGCCCTGGCAGGCAAGTTACGATCAAACTCGCCACCAACTCTTGTGTCGTAACCTCCAGCAACCTCGTAGCGAATGCCCTCACCAACCGGCCGAACGCTGGATGCTCTCGCGACATACTCTCGGGGTGGTTCCGCGATCAGGCGGCTCTCTGGGTGAACGCGAGACGGTGCATATCCATTCCCTGGAGGTGCCATCAAGCGTGCCGAATACTCACGCTCCCTGTAGGCACGGTAATCGGGCCCAGCAAGTTCCGGCTGCGTGACCACTCGTCTCTGCGGGATATACGGCGGCGACGCCCTGCGGTACACGATGCCGTTCTCCTCAAAGGTTTCGGGCCGGCGCGAGGCAGGGTGAGGGGGTGCTGGGCGTCCATACTGGACGTCTGACTCGACAGCCCGGACAGCTGGCGCACCCGGACCGACCGATTGACGGACCACGGGCACGGGCCGGGGAGGTTCTATGTACTCTCGCCCAAAATCATCGACGAAGATGCGTGTTGGCGCGGCTCGGGGAGGAGGCATGACTGACACAGGTCTCTCGTAGATAACTGGCGGCGACCTGGATCGCTCCCGATCCATTCCTGGTCGAACGCTCATCCGTGGATCCTCACGCATGTTGCGGTACTGCGCCGGAACATCCCTGTGGTAGGGCTGTTCTACACCGTCGTAGGGAACGGGCTGTTGCACTACTCGTCCTTCTCCTGGACCGTACTCCACACGGTACGCTGTTTGGGATGGCGGTCGAGCAAATTGAGCGGGAGGTGGCGGGCGCTCCTCGTAGTAATCCATGTCGTATCTCGCCGCTTCAGCGGCGACGGGCTGAGCTTCGTGGCGGGGCTGCAAATCGACTAGTCTATCGTTTTGCGCCAGGCCTCGCTCCTCCCTGAAGCTCCTTGGCTGATAACGATGTCCGTAGCCATCGTCTATTGGTATAGGCTGCTCATACCTTGGCTCATCATAGTGGAGCCCGTCCTGTGGTCTCAGGGCCTGTCTCTGCCGCTTGGCTGGCCTCACATCGTGAGGACCCGAGAGGGGAGATGGTGAGCGCGGCTCGGGCTTGATAAACGGAGAAGCAGCAGCACCTTCAACCGCCTGTCTCTCGGCTTTTCTCTTCTTCTTTTTCGGCTTCTTCTTATCGGCTCCCTTATTCCCTTGCGTCGAGCTTTCCGGACTCGTGGCGGCAGAGGGCCCCTTCCGTAAGGCAGCAACTTGGGGAGGAGTGGCTCTGCGAGTTTCAGGTTCTTGTTGCTGAGCTACCGGTGGCTCACGCGCAAGGGCTAGAGGAGACACGTGAGCTGGCTGTGGAGCTATGGGAGAGAGGTTATGAGCCCGGATATATCTGGCGTCCCCAAAAGCATTGTCCAGCACCTGTTGGTTGGCCTGGTGGGGCCGACGCGGCTCGCTCTGCTTCTTCCCCGTACTTGGAGGTGCTTTAGAGCGGCTAGCTTCGCCACTGTCCCGCGAGTCAGCCGTGCCAGTGCCCTGTATTGTCTGCAAGCCTGGTATCCTGGTGATACTGCTTTGCTCTTTCTCCGTGTTCGGTCTGAGGTTCGCTCCTAGGTGAGAGTTCTGGGGGTAGGCAGCAGAGGGTGGGTTCCTCTGGAGGAGGGAGTTGGCATCAAGTTGGCTTGAGACATTCGTCTCGGATATCTGGGCAGCTAGGCCTAGGGCAACAGGTTGGGGATCAAGTTCGGGCTCGTAGGGCGAACTGTCTCTCATCTGCTCTCCCTCGGATTCACTGGGCATGCGGCCTTGGGCTGGCTCCGAGGGTGGCTCCGGTGTGTCGTGCTGACTGGAATAGAAGGTGTTGTCATCGAATGAATCACTCGAGGCTGACGCATTAGCAGCTGTTTCGTCAGTGGACTGAGCAGCAGTCGATTGAACAAGTGCCAACGCTCGCGACAAAACATCAGCGAGGTCGAAGTCAGCCAGGGGTTCTGGCGCCTGCAGAGAGGCCTTTGCAACAGCGCGTCGCTGTTCAAACTGCTCCCTGAGGCCACGCTCGAGCCTGACTCTCTGGAGTTGAATCTCGGCCTTTATCAAATCATCCGACTTCTCTAGTAGGATCGGGTCGATCTCAGTCTTGCCCGACCCGAACAGGCGGGGCAAGGAGGAGGCGGGAGTCGCAGAGCTGACGCCTGAGGACGGGACCCCCAGCCCCTGCAGAGACGCAGATACTGAGGGTCGCTGTAGATTCGCCTGAAAAGAGCGCATATTGTCCACTACATGACTACTCCTCCCATTCGTGTTGGCTTCTTGCGAGGGTTGGGTGGCGGCAGGGATAGTGGGATTGGAGGTCGGGATATTGGACGACGAGGAGGGTGTTCTCTGTTTTGCAACCAGGTGCGCTGGCTTGATGCGAGGATGGATGCCAGAGAGCACCTCATCACGGAAGTGAAGAAGTTTCTCGCATTGTTGAATCTGCCGAATCTCCTCGGCCGTGGGTGTGTCGCCTGCCCCCATGCAAGGCTTCGCAGGCAGCTGCCCTTGAGCCATTATGCGAACCTTTGACTGAAGCTGTGTTGCTGCTCATCGATGGACGACAATAGCTCCTGAATTTTAGATTAACAGTATTCCGTATAAAGATATAGATCCAAGGCCAAAATGAAATATTCGGCAGAAGGAATACCGACGATGGCACAGATCGACACAGAAGGCTGAATGGCCCAGCCAAATCATGAGGCTTTGTTTCTTTTCTTGGGATAAAGAGACGTGGACCAACTCGCGACCAAAACTAACCCATGCTTTCCAAGCTCGGGCCAATCCTGACAATTGCATTCTTCACCCCAGAAAATGCACGTGCCACATATAGCCAAGCAGAGCCACCACCAGCCCGTATTATATCTAAAAGGTAGGTACCTAGGTAGTGTAACAATGATTGGCGATTATAAGTAGCCTACCTAGTTGCGTTGAGATGGTTACGTCTAATCATTATGTAGGCAAGGTGCTTCTACAGGCCCTTCGATAGTTGATATCTCATGCCAAATCTCGTCTGTCTGTGCTAATACAAGTATGGCATGCACACTGTTCCACTCAGTGCAACTACTTCGCCCAACCTCTCGCCTCTCCCGATATCGGAAACTCTCTATGTCCATGAGCTATCAAAAGATCGAATCGTTTCCTACGACTCTGCGTTCCAAAATGGAGACGAGCACAAATGGGAAACAGGTGTTCTTCTTGTATGTGTGCTCCTCTGAGTTTAGCTGTTGCAACTGCGATCTGACCGTGGTTGCAGTGACATCGACAACTGCCTTTATCCTAAGAGTGACTCCCCCAGAAATTCTGCTTCGGGTGACAGTAACTAACCAGGGGTTCCCCTCAGGCGCAAAGGTACATGATCTCATGGCAGAGCTGATTGACAACTACTTCGCTACACACCTGAACCTCTCGTGGGATGATGCTGTGAGGCTTCACAGGGAGTACTATCAGAACTACGGTTTGGCTATCGAGGGCTTGGTTAGGCATCACCAGATCGACCCAATAGAGTATAACTCCAAGGTTGACGATGCCCTGCCCTTGGAAGGAGTTATCAAGCCCAGTCAGCAGCTCAAAGCTCTTCTGGCGGACATCGACAGGAGCAAAGTCAAGCTGTGGCTGTTGACCAATGCTTACATCAACCACGCAAAGCGGGTGATACGTCTTCTGGAAATTGAAGACATCTTCGAGGGAATCACGTACTGTGACTATGGTTCTAGCCCCCTTGTGTGCAAGCCACACCCGGACATGTACACCAAGGCAATGAAGGAGGCCGGCGCTGGGAAGGTTGAAGATTGTTTCTTTGTCGGTGAGCATCCCGTTACCACTGACTTGAATCGACTAAATTGCTCACCATCTGGTCAGACGATTCGTACATCAACTGCCAGAAAGCCCAGGAGATAGGCTGGAGAGTCGCTCATCTAGTCGAAGAAGGATACCCCCTTCCGAATACTCCGGCATGCAACTGCCAGATCCGACACTTAGAAGAGTTACGAACCACATTCCCCCAATTTTTCAAGTCCACACAGACAGGGACGCAAGGCCTGGAGTTATGAGGCCGCGAGGCCAAACTGGGGCGATGCTGGAGCTGATGAAAGAGGACAGTCCAATGCGCTAGACCACCATGAGTAGATGCGATAGAAACTGGCTATGGAGTTTGGATTAATATCAGACCTCTACCCAGGGTTCCCCCTCCAGACCCTTTTTCCTGCCGGTTCCCCCATTTCGAGTGGTATCATAAAAATCATTTGCCAACCCCCCAAACGCCGTTCAAAACATCCCCGCGTCATCACGTCGTTATTCAACAAGGCGTCCCTTTTCCATTGCCGTCGCATGTGCTAGGCATGTGTCTGTCAGGGCCGGCGAATGCTGCGAAGTACCTGGTCCAACCTGGCAAGAACCTCGTCCTTCTCCTTGACGGCGTCTAATCTTTGCGCCTCAGCCACCCTGAGTTCCTCCTCCAAGTCCTTGATGGACTGCTCCTGATCCTTCTCGCTGTTATCGAGGCCAGGGAGACTCGAAATCAGGTACTCGATCTGTTGCTCCTTGATGATGAGATCGCGCGCGAGTTCGAGTTGCCCTGCTTGGAAGACATCGGAGGGAAGAGTCTCGACTAGGAGGCGTCAGTGACGGTCTGCAACAAGCCAGGGCCAGGAATTGGCGAGTTGGGCGAACCTTCTGTCTGCTCTTGTTTGATCTCCCTCACCTCATCCTTCGGTCCTAGTGTCTCGAGGTCGTGGTGTCTTTCGATATAATAGAACGACGCGACAAATTGTTGCGCTAGCTATCGGAGGAGACACCAATCAGCAACGCCTAGGTATCCTATCAAGGGGAATAACCTAAAATAGGAGAAGCCTCACTTGGTCGACTGCGTCTTGCAGCTGCGTAAGTCGATCACCCATCTTGCACTACTCCAAGCTGTCTTTGCTCGGTGGGAGTATTATTGGAAGGGGGATGCGGTTGCAAGCTGAACGTGGCTGAAGTGGGGTATTTTTGGGGAAGCTGGATAAGAAGCTTGGGCCAACAAAGGACAGGAGCAGGTAGGTGCAGCAGAACTGTCCTTCCCCGTGCAATGCATACTTCAACACCTCCCATGCTGCAACAAAACTTCCGTGGCATAAGCTACTGCCCTCGGTGATGAGTGTCCTTGCTAGATGCCTAGTCCACAGGACTCAGCTCGTCAGCACTCGAGCTTCCTCTAACTTGGAAGCTCAGCTTCACCGACGCTTTCATTCCGCTACCCCTGGAGAAGAGGGCCCCGGTCCGCGAAGACCAGTTACGGAAGAGCTGATCTATCCCGAGCCGCCAGCGTCGAACCACCGTGACCTCCCTACCTTCCTCCAGTACGCAGAACGCTCGGGGCTCGACACCAAGTCGACCACTTTCGTTGGGACTCACTTCGAGTACGTCGTAGCAAACAGCCTCACCGAGCTCGGCTTTTCCCTGCGGAGGATAGGCGGGAGTTCGGATTGCGGAATCGACCTCCTGGGGACGTGGTCGGTCCCGTCCTCGGACAAGCCTCTCAGGGTGCTCGTGCAATGCAAATCCGTGCAGAGGCCGGGCCCGCACCTCATCCGGGAGCTAGAAGGCGCCTTTATCGGTGCTCCTCCAGGCTGGAGGAGATCCGGAGTCCTGGGCCTGCTAGCGACCGAAAAGCCGGCTACGAAGGGCATTCGCGACGCGCTCGGCAGGAGTCGGTGGCCCATGGGATTCATCTCGTGCTCCAGGACTGGCCAGTTACAGCAGCTTTTGTGGAATCACCGTGCTGAGCAGGAAGGCTTAGAGGGTATGGGAGTCGGCTTGAAGTATCCGCGTGACGGTGGGGAAAGACAGCTTGCTCTAATGTGGCAGGGCAAGCACCTGCCTCAGCTCGAAGAAGCCCCCGATGGATGAAGCTGGACCGCGTTTATTCGATCGACCTTTGTCCTCAGGGGTTAGGAGATACCATCCATGTCCTCCAGTCGCTGATCAACAAGAAATGGCTTGACCCCCATTGCCCCGACGTTGGATTCCTACGGGGCCAGTGTCAATTATTCCTCGGTCCTTTTGCCCTCTAGACCCAGTCGAAAATCTTTTACCATGGATGCCTGGGGAGGGGCTAGGACGTGAGCGATGCATGGAAGCGCCAGCTGCCCTAAGAAAGCCTACAGATTAAAGCGTCTTCAAGGCGCAACATATCCCAGGAATAGCCAAGCGGGCAACACCAAGTCTACAGAACCTTGAGGATCTCAATTGACCTCCTGCGCGGTATGTTGTGGGTGGTCTTGCCCTCGCTGCCGATTGGTGTCCCGAGGATGCCAACCAGCCTCATGGAGAAGCATACGCCGGAGCACTAGATTGACATTACAAAGGAAGTAAGGTGGCTGGAACCACCTGCTATGTAATTTAATCAGAAAATATGTCAATTTGCACGCCTCGGCGTGAGCCCCCATCTTATCATTGCGCACCCGGCCTGGCGGACAGTGTTCGTTCTACTGCCAAAACAAGGTTGCCTTTGCAATTTATGTTCTAAAAACATAGCATTTCCCACCTCCTGGCACACACCGTTCCTCCCAGGAGTATCCAAGAACGTCTAATCGTGTAGTCATATATCATCAACCAGGGCACTCGCCCCAATAGATTTATGTTGGAGAAAAATAACGTGAAAAGGAAGAGCCAAAAAAAGACCCCCCCGAAAAGATCCTTAATTCCAAAAACCAAAAAAGAGCGACGCCCGGCAGTTCTCCTTTCGTCCATTCCAGTATCCTTTCTGGGAGCGGCGTCATAGGATGGCAGTGTCGTCCCAGAAAAAGATCGGCCAAACACGTTCTATGCGCGCCATATAGCTGGAGGAAGTCACCGGCCCTTATACAAGGCGATGAGCCAATCAGTCCTCCCAAGCGGACTGCTTCGCCTTCTCAGCCTCGATTTGCCTCCGTCTCTCCTTCTCCTGCTCCTCCTCCCGGCGCTTGCGCTCTTTTTCACGCACGGCTTTGTCGTACGCCCGCTGCTCCTCGCTCAGCTTCGGTACCTTCATGCCCAGCGCACCGGCAATCATACGGCGAGCCACGGCATCCGTCTTCTCGGGCCGCTTGGGAGACCCGGAACTGGAGGCACTATCTTCGTCGATGCCCGGAAGGTAGGTCGGAGAGGTGACTCCAGCAGGGGAGATAGAACGGATGCCGGAAATATTGTAGGTGGGCGACATGGGAGTTGGAGGCGGGGCTTGGGTTCCGGCGTTCCCATTATCAGTACCACGACCGCGGCCCGTGTCTGGCTCGGTATCTGAGTCAGATGTCGCTTGGTCGTCCTCGTCCTCGTCCTCCCAGCTATCGGCAACCGGCGCAGCCTTCTTGGTAGTACGGGCCTTGTCCCCTTTGTTACCCGCGAGTGCCGTTGGTTTGAGTGACAGTCCAGAGATACCAGAGGTAATCCGGCTTGAAGAATCTGCCGAAGCCATAGCGACAGACGACAACGTCGCTGACGAGCAGCAGTCAAGGGGATTGACAATGTGAGATCAATTATCAAATATCAGGAGTCTCGCCCAAAGAAATAGGTGCTACCGAGAGGGTGTAGAGTCGAAAGACACTAGAATCGGGGAACTCGAATCTAGACTTCCAACTGAGGAGAAAAAGCGGACCAGGACAAACAGATATTAAAGGCGGGGACAACTATCTATAAGCCTCATTACCAACAACTTAAGGGTTCGGCTGATCTGGCCTCACTCCGCGTGAAGTTACCGGAACTAAACTGTAACTCGAAACCTTACCTACCCTCTAAGCATCTGTTCGTTCGTTCGTTGCGGGATGATTCCCCCGCATGAGACCTACAGGGGGTTTCCTATTGGATTGGGCAATTTGTGGCTGAAGCTTCTGGGACCCGGTTCATCACGGACCCCATGGCGATCATCCATGTCATCAGTGTGGCTGGTAATTCAAGCTCTTTTTTTTTCCCTCCCGTGAGATGCGAGGTAAACTCCGTCCGAGCTCGCCTCTCTCATTACGCATTATTAAGACATGATGGCCAATTTCTAGAGCCTCATCTGCCACCCTCCTCGCCCTCTTTAGAAGCCAGAATAGAGTAATTGTCAAGATCAGGAGGCATTTCCCTTTCTTGCTGCATTTTGTGGGGCCCCCTTTTACCCCTTTGCCCCTTTGCACCTTTCACTTGTGCATACACCCATCTTTTACTCATCTACCTCGGTCAACGCCCACTGAGCTTCTGGGCCGTCATTTACCTCGAATCCCGGATCTTTTATAGCCCCTTCGACACGATGCTCCTTCGGCAACGCGTTCCCCGGCCTGCCGGCTTGGGAAACGCCAATCTCCGTCGCCTGAATCCGTGCTGCCGGGCATCGGCTGTTAGATCCTACTTGGTGAATGCGCCGGGACGGCCCAGAAACGCCGTTGCGCCCCATCCACGGATCTCGAGGCAGTTGCCTTATACTGCACTCTCCATATCGAATTTCTCTACTTCAAGCACGTTGCAGAAACAAAAGGACAAAGGATTCTTCGACGGACTAACAGAACCGTTATCGGAGGAGGAGGAAAAGGCGAACCTCGAGAAAAACGAAGCCGAAAGCAAGGACGTCGACGAGGCAAAAGCCTCCACTTCCGACCCTTCATCTCCAGCGGGAAGCAAAGGGAATAACGAACCTCCAGATGGAAAGGGCAGCATTGCTTCAGGAGGGTCCGGGTCCGGGTCCGGCACCAGCGGCGATGGGTCCGGCGACGGAGGCAGACGGGGGCGGAGGTCAGGAGAGCGCGCACTCCAGAAGCCTATAGTGCCCGAAGTCTACCCTCAAGTCATGGCGATCCCGATAGCAAAACGACCGCTCTTCCCGGGCTTTTACAAGGCCATCACCATCAAAGACCCCAACGTCGCTGCCGCCATCACGGAGATGATAAAGCGTGGCCAGCCGTATATTGGCGCCTTCCTTTTCAAGGACGAGAACGCAGACGACGATGTTATACACAATCCAGAAGACGTTCACGATGTCGGTGTCTTTGCTCAGATCACAAGCGCCTTCCCTGTTTCCGGCGGGGAACACAACAGTCTCACTGCCATCTTATACCCCCACCGAAGGATACGACTGTCGACCTTGATACCCCCCAGTGCCCATGATGCGAAGAAAACGGATTCCGACGTGGAGCCTGCACCGGAACCTATCCCTCCCAAGGTATCCGACGAGGAGGCCCAGATGCAGAAGAAGGGAGACGTGGTAGCTAGTTTCGAAGAAAGCGCCGTCGCACCGAAACCCGACCCGGCACAACCGCATTACGAACCTACGTCGTTCCTACGGAAATACCCCGTCAGTCTCGTTAATGTCGAGAATCTGACGGAGGAGCCTCACGACCCCAAAAGCCCAGTGATACGTGCCGTGACCAACGAAATCGTGAACGTCTTCAAGGAGGTCGCTAGCATGAATTCGCTGTTCAGGGATCAGATTTCGACCTTCTCTATCAGCCAGTCAACCGGAAACGTCACAGCTGACCCGGCAAAACTAGCCGACTTCGCCGCCGCCGTGTCCGCTGGAGAGCCGGAAGAGCTCCAAGATGTTCTCTCGAGCTTGAACGTGGAGGAGCGGATGCAGAAATCCCTCGCCGTGCTGAAGAAAGAGCTCATGAATGCTCAGTTACAATCCAAGATCACAAAGGACGTGGAAAGCAAAATCACAAAGCGCCAACGGGAATACTGGCTTATGGAGCAGATGAAGGGCATCCGCCGGGAACTTGGCATCGAGTCGGACGGCAAGGACAAGCTGGTGGAGAAGTTCAAGGAGAAGGCGGACAAGCTGGCGATGCCCGAGGCAGTCCGCAAGGTATTTGACGACGAGATCAACAAGCTTGCGCATCTAGAGCCTGCCGCCTCCGAGTTCAACGTCACCAGGAATTACCTCGACTGGCTTACACAGATCCCCTGGGGTCAGCGAAGCGCGGAGAATTTCGGCATCCAGAACGCCATGAAGGTCCTGGACGAGGATCACTACGGGCTGAAGGATGTCAAGGACCGCATCTTGGAGTTCATTGCCGTGGGCAAGCTCCGGGGCACGGTCGAGGGCAAAATACTTTGCTTTGTCGGGCCGCCCGGAGTGGGCAAGACCAGTATCGGCAAGTCAATTGCACGAGCCCTCAACCGCCAGTACTACAGGTTCAGCGTCGGCGGTCTCACCGATGTCGCGGAGATCAAGGGCCACAGGAGGACGTATGTCGGCGCCTTGCCCGGGCGTGTCATCCAGGCGCTGAAGAAATGTCAAACCGAAAACCCCCTGATATTGATTGATGAGATTGACAAGATCGGCAAGGGCTACCAAGGGGACCCCTCGTCGGCTCTACTTGAGCTCCTGGATCCGGAGCAGAACAACTCTTTCTTGGATCATTACATGGATGTGCCTGTTGATCTCTCCAAGGTCCTGTTCGTCTGCACAGCAAACATGACGGACACAATTCCAAGGCCTCTCCTCGACAGAATGGAAGTAATCCGGCTGTCTGGATATGTCTCGGACGAGAAAATGGCTATTGCCGAGCGATACCTAGCCCCAGCAGCCAAAGAACTGGCCGGGTTGAAAGATGCAGACGTCCAGCTGACCGAGGCCGCAATCGAGGAGCTCATCAAATCTTACTGTCGCGAATCGGGAGTCAGAAACCTGAAGAAGCAGATCGAGAAGGTTTACCGGAAGTCGGCACTGAAGATTGTGCAGGACTTGGGCGAGGATGCCTTGCCCGAATCCGAGGCCCTGACCGACGAGGGCAAGGCTGCGCTTCACGAGTCCGAACACCAACAAGAAAGCAAAGATAGGGGGACTAGGGCACCGTCAGAGGCCGGCGAGAAGGAGACGACAGAACAGCCGCGAGTCGCTCTCAAAGTCCCCGACAGCGTCCATGTCACCATCGACCAGGACCGCCTCAAGGACTATGTTGGGCCGCCGATCTTCACGTCGGACAGGCTTTACGACGTAACCCCGCCGGGCGTGGCCATGGGCCTGGCCTGGACACAAATGGGCGGTGCTGCCATGTACGTCGAGACGATACTCCAGACGGCGCTGAGACCAAGCAGCCGGCCGGCTCTCGAGATTACGGGCAATATCAAGACCGTGATGAAGGAATCGTCCAGCATCGCCTATTCGTTTGCCAAGTCGGTAATGGCCAAGGAATTCCCCGATAACCACTTCTTCGACAAGGCAAAGATACACGTGCACGTCCCGGAGGGGGCGGTGCAGAAGGACGGCCCCTCGGCCGGCATCACCATGGCCACGTCGCTGCTGTCGCTGGCACTAGACGCGCCGGTCGATCCCACCCTCGCTATGACGGGCGAGCTGACCTTGACCGGCAAGGTACTCCGGATAGGGGGTCTGAGGGAGAAGACGGTGGCGGCACGGCGGGCGGGCTGCAAGATGATCATCTTCCCCGATGATAACATGTCAGACTGGTTGGAGCTTCCGGAGGTAAGTTTCAGCGACACGATCCACTCCCAATTCTTTTTAGAAAGGGGGGCTGACCGCATCCGCAGAACATCAAGGAGGGCATAGAAGGCCGGCCAGCGAGCTGGTACTCGGAGGTTTTCGACCTCGTCTTCCCGAACCTGGATAGGGAACAAGCCAGCAAGTGCAAGATTTGCGAATGGAAGAAGGCTCACGAGTCCAAGTCGACGGAGAGCGAGGGCGAGAATGACGACTAGACAAACCCGGGGGGCCTGGCTTTGCCCAAAGAATGCCGGATCTGCCTCACCCAAAACGCAAGGCCAGCTTGAAAAGGTAGTAGCGCATAGGGATGGACGTACATATTCACTCACACGCTTCTGTCGCCGCATATTTCGGGGAAGTTTACTTTCTTGGTCCTTTGCTCTTGGACTTGCGCATACCTCTCTGCCAATAGAACATCGGGAGCATTCGTGAGCGCGGGGGAGGAAAAAAGGAGGGGGCGCGCGGTTTAATCCAACAAACAACAGGGCAGGCGTTACAAAGGCGGGATCTGGCCATGACTAGACGAATCTTTCAGATCAACAGTGTACATACAACAGCATCCCACCTCCCTCCCTCCCTCGTGTCGATTGGCTTCATTTGTATACTTTGTACCTATGATTTTAACAGCAGAGGCTGTGTGTATGGTGTATGACTAGCAGGATAAAAGACAAAAGTAGGCAAGAGAGCGAGGCGTGCGCCGTCCATTCGTCCTTGGGTCTCCTCGCAGATAGGGATAGGATAGGATGGGGAGCTTCGCCTGGCCGGTCCCAGGAACAAATACAGGCCTGGGATGGTGCTTATTGCGACGTGTCAGTCTGACCAAGCCTGACTGACGACATCAACCCATTCTTAGCCGTTTTCGAGACGGATGATGTGCGCGGCAGCATCTCCTGAGGTAGCATGGGTGAAGAATGAGGAAGTGATAAAAAAAGGCCGCAACACGTCCGACTCCGGCTTTTCCCAGCGTTCGACAGCGAATGGGACTCTGCCCGCCCCACGGCTTCTCCCGTAACTTGGGGGGATGGACGGGCTGTGGCCAGAAGCTTGATGTTGGGAGGTGGTTTAATGCAGGCGACGATGATGCTCTTCCTTTAAGGCCCAACCGTGCCTAAGAAGTCCCAGCCCAACGGCGCAATTGGGAAGGGATTGCTGCTCCCGGTCCGGTTCCGCAGTAGCGACTGCGATCTGCTGATAGCCCAGGGATCCATGGAGCTAAAGGTTTGCCAATTGCATATACGACTTGCCTCCTTGCTTCTCAATTTATCAAGAGAGTTACCTACTACACAGTAGGTAGTTGCCTACCTACTTCCTCTCTGGAAATCTTTACCAACCTCACCCTAGCAAATCTGGGGTTAAGAGATCTCAGATATAAGCGGGGTACAGGGGTAGGGGAGCTGGATAGGTACCTAGGTAGGTAGGTAGCTACCTAGGTCTTCAAATCTAGGTTTTCTAATAAGCGTCCCCGGCCGGCTGGGAGGGGGAAGATATGACATGCCTGTCGAATCGAGAATCACTTCGGGGCGAAGCTGCTGCCGTGCAAGGCAGATCTCCCAGAATATCGGTGCGTGTCCTCCAAGCACCCTGCTAATCACCTGCAACATACCTAGTTACCTAGACTCAATTGGAGGTAGTCAACTTTATCTAGGTACACTACTGCGTCCGTGGCTATAACGTGACACTTTATGCAAGAGCTGAGCAAGCGGGGAATCATCAACGACCACTGCTTTGTTACCAGCCTCGGTTTCGTTACGCAACCAAGCAAGTGCGGGGCTCTTGGGCATCAATAGGAGGTATATCGTGGTGCGTCTAAAACATCCAGCCGCAGGCCAAACAGAACTGGCCGGCTCGGACAATGTGTCCGGGTGGACGCGAAGTTGGCTGCGTTGCAGTTTGACGAACCCTGCTGGGTCTCTGCCGCCGTGATTGCTGTCCTCGGAGCGTATGGAACTCAAGACCGGATATGCTAGGGAGGTATAACTGTGGGCAAACATCGATCGAACCTGTTCGCATCAAACGGTTTCTGACAAGTCAGGTGTTATTTGGGCATCTACCACTGGCTCTCCCCCTACAATTGCATCTCCTTGCAGGGGGCCCGGAGAAGGGGGGAATGGCCTGTCAGCACTCCAGTTCGTAATTGGGTGCTTGACGTTGTGTTGATGCGTTGTCCAGTGGCTTGAGACCGGTGGGCAGTTTTGAAGAGATGCCGCATTAAGGGGCCTGCAGCCGTTCTTGCGCAGCTACTAGTGAAGCTACATCTGCCAAAAGGCACGTGGGGGCCTGGTCACCGATGGGTACCCATATGACAGCTTAAGTTGTCGTGAAAAGAGAGACAGAGAGCGGTGAGGCTGACGGAGTTTAGTGGAACAGGGGCCTCAAAGAAACAACTCGGAAGTTTGATGGCCGTGGGTTGGGGCTCATGCCCCAAGACTTGGGCAAGAATTCTAGGTACCTCTGTAGCTACCTTGTATTGGTACTGTTCAGTAGTAGGTGGATGACATCCGGTGGGCGAGGGCGAGGGCGTGGACGTGGGTGTGTAGGCGGTGCGTGTCACTGTTACTTTGGTACGGCGTGTATTGTTTCCCACTCCCGCTCATCCATTTATATCGGTGCAGAAACAGTGTCCGGACATTGGGTTGCCTGATAGTGGCTTTCTACACTTTGGATCTTGATTGAACTTTTGAATTTAATTCTACCTTATCTTCCATTCCTGCACCCCTGTTTCCCGCCGCTAGGAGGGACGGCTCGAACAGGTACCCCGGTCCACCCGCCCCAAGCTCCAGCTCTGATCCCGGCGTCAATCCCCACCGCCTCAAAAATTGAAGGAATCCATCAAAGGCAGCAGCAATTATCGCCCTGTTAGCTCAATTTGTAGTTATCCGCCTGGGGAAGGTGGTCAGACATACCTAGGCAGAAAGTAGAGACGCTAAATGGCAGCTAGCAGACCACAATTCCAGACCCATGGGAGCATTGAACTTATGCCTACGATATCACATCTAAGTCCATAGCACAGCTTACACGTGTGCGGCCCCACAAACAAGGCCCTGTCCCATCCCAACCCAGCCTCCTCCCTCCCCCCCAATTCCCACCCTACCATGTACAGAAACTTCTCAGTCCAAGGCGAAACCCTCCCTCGACATGCAGCCGCTGAGTGCAGAACAGACGAACGGGAGACAAGCTTTACCACCTCCATGAGCCTGAGCAGTTTTGCTGCATTGCTGCCCCTGGCCCTCTTAAGGCAAATCACTCACTCAAATCCCTCGCTGGCCTCGTTTCGAGCTATGAACATCCGACGTGGGAGGAACAAAAGAACGCGATTCACTGCCAACGGCCCCAGCCAATTGCCTTCCCTTCGCCTCTATTCCGTCTGCCCCTTCGCCTCGGAACCATAACGAAGAGCCCAAACTCGTACAGCCGGTCATAGTGTCATTTGACTGTGCGGATGGACTGCGATGAACCTCCCCCGCCTTCGAACATCTGTCTGATGCCTCTGCCATCGGCTGCCTGCATAGTTACTCCCGCTTGATGTGAGCCCGGCTAGACACATTGCCTCTCTTCCCCGCCCCCTCTATAACTCTTCGCCAGCCTAGCTTTTGAAGCTTATCAGCGACTCCAGATAGCCCAGGGAAAGCAAATACCGAACGAAGCGAGGAAGGGTCCTGCCTTCTGCGTCAAGCCTCGATCCTGCCAGGACCCCTGGTAGCCTTGGCCGACTGTGGCTCGTGGCCTCGAGGCTGGTTGACCGAGAACAACAAACATCCTGACCCGTTCTCAGACCTGCCGACACCGCCTCGTCCTCACCGCTCTCGCCAAGTCGAGCCACGGCACTTGAAATACCCCCCCTCCTCAGAACCCCCCTTCCAAAGCCTCATGGCTCAAAGCGATCGTCCTGCGCAAGAGCCAGCCTCGACGACGGACCATGCCGCCAATTTGCAAAGCCTGTGGCGGAGACTCTTTGGGAGGGACAATGGCGCCCCTGTACCTACGGACGCCTCGTCTAAGCAGGGCTCTCAGCAAGTTGACGATCCCAAACCTGGTCTCATACGTCGAGTCTCGAGAAAGGTTGTGCCCGGTCTACCGAGGGCCCAAACGTTTAAGAGGCAGCAGTCGGAGCTGCGGGACAAGCTAGAACCTGTGCAACCAACCCCCGCAGAACGAAGGGCCGTATCTGTCGATAGAAGACTACAGGCTTCACAGAATGGGTCTCTGAACCAGTCCAATCCTCGAAGCAGCGCCCCGGACTTCATCATCCACTCATTTGGTGTGGCGCCCTCAATACCCTCGATATCCTCTGTCCCCTCGTTACCTACCAGTCCCCTGGAAGAGAAGATGCTTGATGCCATCGAACCACAACCCGAACCACCCGCCCAACCCGACGCGCCTGTGAAGGAGCCGGAGGTTGAAGATCTGCCGCATGTCCCAGACGCTGTTTCGATCGCAGATGCCCACTCCGTCACCACCTCGCAATACGATGCCATGATCCACGATGAGCTGGAACGGGTGTGGATCCTCAACCTGTCCATGCACTTCCGGGATAAGTCTAAGCGGGAGAAGTTCTTCGTCACCTACCGGGAGCGGCCCACCCTCTGGCGTCGCGTCACCGTCTCCCTGGACTATCGCAATGCCCCAGAAAACTCGTTGGAGTTGGAGCTCGCCCATACCAAGTTTCAACGCGATAAAAGTGCCAAGATCTATGAGGCGATCCGAGAAAGCCTTGTGGACATACAATTCTATGACACGGTGACCAACCTCAAACTGCAGACAACCGAAGGCAGGCTCCATGTCCATGTGGTAGAGGACGTCAATGTGAGTGTACTCATCTTGCACTTGACCGCCCGTCGCCAATCTGACTCGTTTTCATTAGGAAATCATCCACTACCCGAGCGCCCGCACGATTCAGCACATGAGGTGCAATCGGGTAAAAGAGCGAGACATCGAGTTTGACTCTCACATGTCCGGCTTCGTGTATAAGGTGAGAGTCAACGATGAGGTCCTCATCAAAAAGGAAATCCCCGGCCCGGACACGGTAGATGAGTTCTTGTACGAGATCAACGCTCTCAGCCGGCTCAAGCACTCCAACAGCGTCATCAAATTCTACGGTGTCATCGTCGACGACCGCCAGGAGTACGTCAAGGGCCTGCTCATCAGCTACGCCGAACAGGGGGCGCTCGTCGATCTCATATACGACAGCGACCACGGCCTGCCGTGGCCGACACGCGAGAGATGGGCCAGGCAGATCGTGCAGGGCCTCTCGGAGATCCACGAGGCAGGATTTGTGCAGGGCGACTTTACCCTCTCCAATATCGTCGTTGACGGCGAAGGTGATGCTAAAATTATAGACATCAACAGACGAGGCTGCCCTGTCGGCTGGGAGCCTCCGGAGGCAACTCCACTAATCGAAAACAATCAGCGCATTTCCATGTACATTGGCGTAAAATCCGATCTGTATCAACTCGGCATGGTGTTGTGGGCTCTTGCAACCCAGGAGGATGAGCCCGAGGCCCATGGTCGACCGTTGCGCATCGGCCCCGACCCCCTGGTTCCAATCTGGTATCGAAGAATAGTTGAGATATGTCTCAGCGAAGACCCACGGATGCGGATGCAGGCTCTTCACCTGCTGTCGATGATGCCCGAACCCGAGATGCAGGACCCGTCTAAACTCGACCCCCAGTATAGCCATCACAGTATTCCCTCCATCTCGGTTGACGATGACATTTCCAGGCACGAATATCTGGTTGACGATTATCATTCCCCGTCTTACCCGTGGGTCCGACCCGTCCATCCGCCGACCGATTGGTCATACGTTAGTTGGGGACCGTCCTATGTGAACCCGACCACAGTCATGTCTGACGACGCATACTTCTACCCGACCAGAGGCAGGTCACCTCCGTCACCTCTTCCGAGTACTCACGGCGAGTGCCCGGAACCAAGATTTGGACGCCGGTGGCCTGCGAGTTACGATGCCTCTCAGACAACACCGTCCGTGGACGACACAGCGCCAGTTGAAGTCGAGGAAGGCCGGAAGAGCGTTACGCCTCGTACCAGTAAAGGTTCTTTGCCCGCCGCGCAGGACTCAACCGAAGCTGAGCGGGTTTCCGGGTTGAGTCAGGTGGGCGACGTTGATGGACCAGTGAGAGATATTGCAGAGAAAAACCTAGAGACATCAGTGGAGGTCACGCTGCCCAATGGATCGACCCGACCAGACGCCGAGGTTGATATTGACCAACGCTCCGACAACATGACAACACCAGTACAGGAACCTGGGAAGCCCCATGATGAGGTGACGGAGGTTGACTTGGCCAGTCAACTGGAAGGAATCGGCGAACATGAGTTGGCAGCGCCAGGCCTGGGGCTACCGGAGTCGGGGAGGACAGAACCCGAACAGGAGCGACAGAGGAGCGAGGAATCATTCATACCATCTCGTGGTAGTCACCCGGAGCCGGACCCTGCGAGTCTTGTACCGGCAAGAGAAACAGATGGCGAGACCGAGGCAGGATTAAACACCGTGGATCCTGGAGCTCATTCTTTTGCCAAGCAGCTGGATCCAGGAGGTCAAGCTCAGCCCATACCAGAAATTGAAATCAACGGGCGGGCCGATGACGAGGCTGGAGGTATAATAACAGTAGGGGAGGCCGGCTCCCCGACAGATATCCGCCCCCACTCGGCATCTTCCCCGTCTAGGGACCCGATACCAAACCCATACTCGAGGATACGCCGGACTATTTGAAGGGGGTGGGCTCTGTGTACGACCGTGCAAGCGCTTGGCGGCAGGATTCAACCATTGACGACGACTTTCGGGGGCTGGCAGACACGGAAACTGTCCTTGATGGCAGCATCGCAACGGCGGACGACGTAAAGAGACGACAGGAATCATGACATGTACAGATTTTTCATCAGCAGAACAAGCTCTGCTACAAGAAAGCGGCGCAAGCTACTATCGACTTGGCGTGTATTTTGTGGGTATTTGTATTTTTTGGCGTATTTTGGACTGGTTTTAAGGGTTCATAACCTTATGATGAATGGATCTTTGCGACGGTAGGATGTCAATTGTATGTCAAATTATCAATGGGTTAGGAAATCAATGTTTGTACGACACAATTAGCGGATATTCGAGATATATATATACCTAGAGGTAGGTATATAACTCTAGGTACCTGCCTAAGGTAACGGAACCTAGTACTCTCTTGGTCATACTTCGCATTGTATTTATGGAAGCTCTTGACTTTCTCATCAGTTGGTTGATAAGAGCGAGGTGACACACAACGGGTGTGGCGTTATGACGCATGTAAGAAAGACCCTTGAGCGGAAACGGACTAGCTTTCCCGTCAGCCTTCGTCTTTCCAGAAGCATTCTAGTGTACCTACATACATTTGCGGAAACGGAAAAGGCACACAGCTCTCGGGCGGATGGAATCTCGGCCAGCTTGACATGGAATTCACATGCTTGCATACCTGCGAACATAGTAGATATGGGTTGGGATATGAAGTACTCTGGCAGCATGATGATCTACATGCGTAGCTTGGTGAATGTTGAGAAACAACCTATCTACGAGTGGAATGTTGTTGCCAGGGATCTGGATGGAAGGAGGGTCCGTCCGAACAGCCTTGTGAGCTTGCAGAGTACATACATAGTACATCCGTACAGGAACCTGAGACAGCCCGGAAGGCAAGATCTTGCCTCCCCCGTGCTAGCATTTTTCGTGGATACCTCCACTGGGAGTCCCATACAAAATACGCGTTCAATGGATTGTTTGCCACACCGAGGGCAACGGAAACCAGGTCGGTTCTAGCGTCCCGGTCACACATAAGTTTGCCTTGGGTATTTTGGAGAAGAGCCTGAAGCTGCATGGTGAATCCCCACATTTATGTAGTGCAATGTACCCACACTGGGTGTTTGGCAGGTACCACCAACCCCGATCCGCAAGGCAGGGGAGCTAGGCGACCAATCATACAAGGCATTGGAGCTTTCCCCCCAAAGTTTCCCCAACATTTTGTCTCAACAAAAGATGCACGGCAAAATGGAGGGGGGTGCGACGCGGCGACGAAGGCTCGTTCGTTATCCTCGGCTGCGTCTGTTGTTCTGTGGGCTGAGAAACTTGTGAAAGGCGTATGATAGTGAGCTTCCTCTAGAGAGGAATGGCCCGTTTATCGTCCGTCTAATCTACCTAGGTTGTTGGCATAATCCCAACATACTGAAGATTCTATTTGGTTGTCTACAGATTTGCTATGCGTAGATAGTTCCTCGCGCCACCCACCCCTTGCTTGCTACCAAGCTTGGCCAGCTGTGCCTGTCTCTTTGAAAAGGTACCTCGTGGTTACCCATTGCCTGGGTCCTCACTCGCCCACCCATGCACCTGCCCTAATAAAATCCCATATCTGGGGCACTGTCCTGCGACTTCATTCCATATAAATCTAGCTCCCCAACCGCACACCTGTCCCTCTCCCACCTCACTTGTTAAACAACATCTTCACCTTCACCTACCAACAACAAGAGGCGGCAAACATCGTCGACTCCACCCCTTGTTGCCAACCCAATATGGCCTCCTCTTCCTCCTCTGGCCCAGTCCAGGCTGAGGCGTTCCCGGACGGTACTAGCGACTATGTTCCGTTGAGAAAGAAGAACTACGACCCGAAAAAACCTCGTAAGTACTGTCAATAGACAACTCGATGTCTCCTGGAAGCCACCTGGGCTAACAAGAAAACTTCCCAGACATCTCGGATCAGCCGATAACCTTATCCAACTGGCACAAGCACGTCAACTGGCTGAACACAACCCTGATCGTCTTCGTTCCCATTTGCGGTCTCGTCGGCGCCTATTGGGTGCCTCTCTATTTGAAGACGCTCATCTTTGCGGTCGTGTATTACTTCTACACGGGATTGGGTATCACAGCCGGTATGTTGACAGCTCTTTACAGACTTTCCATTTGTTCTGTGACTGGATAATAACACATAACCACAGGCTACCACAGACTCTGGGCCCATCGATCCTACAAGGCGAGACTCCCGCTCAAAATCTTCTTGGCCGCCGCTGGAGCTGGAGCAGTCGAGGGCAGCGCGAGGTGGTGGAGCTCCGGGCACCGCAGTCATCATCGGTACACCGACACAGACAAGGACCCGTACTCGGTTCGTAAGGGTCTTCTCTATTCGCATATCGGATGGATGGTGTAAGTATCCTTTCAGAGCGCCTCGCTCAAGGTTGGATCTAGCCTAACACCACAACCCTAGTTTCAAGCAGAATCCGAAGCGAATCGGCCGAACCGACATTACGGACTTGAACGAAGACCCAGTGGTCATCTGGCAACATAGAAACTACCTTGTCCGTCCCCCCCCGCTTCTTCTGCCTGGCCGGCACCTCCAAGCATGAAGGGCAGGCTTTCAAAGTGTGCACTCCTCGCTAACCCCTTCCAGAAATGCGTCATCTCAATGGGTCTCGTCTTCCCAACCCTCGTCTGTGGATTCGGCTGGAATGATTGGATGGGCGGTTTCGTACGTAACCCGGCCACCCTCACCTCTGGAATGAGAATTAACGAGTCGCACAGGTCTATGCCGGAATCCTGAGAATCTTCTTCATCCAGCAAGCTACATTCTGCGTGAACAGCTTGGCTCACTGGCTCGGCGACCAGCCTTTCGACGACCGAAACAGCCCCCGCGATCATGTCATCACCGCCCTCGTAACTCTTGGTGAAGGCTATCACAATTTCCACCACGAATTCCCCAGCGACTACCGAAATGCGATTGTAAGTTGTCAGGCTCAGCTGGCGACGTTTCCATGATGACTGACGTTTAAACAGCAATGGTATCAGTATGATCCGACGAAGGCCTTCATCTACATCATGAGCCTGTTTGGACTGGCGTATGACCTGAACACATTCAGATCGAATGAAATCGAGAAAGGGTACGTTGCCTCCAGCCCAAGATGAGATGCGAGACTGTTGAAGCTAACACGGGGTCCAAAGTCGTCTTCAGCAAGAACAGAAGAAGTTGGATCAGAAGCGAGTCCGCCTGGATTGGGGCATTCCTTTGGAGCAGCTGCCCGTCATATCCTGGGACGATTACGTTGCCCAAGCCAAGGGTGGTCGCGCTCTCGTCGCCGTGGCCGGAGTGATCCACGATGTCTCGGACTTCATTAATAGCCACCCCGGAGGCAAGGCATTGATTACCAGCGCGATCGGCAAGGACGCTACCTCGATTTTCAACGGTGGTGTCTACCTGCATAGCAATGCGGCCCACAACCTACTTTCGACCATGCGCGTGGGTGTCATCCGTGGCGGTTGCGAGGTCGAGATCTGGAAGCGGGCCCAGCTCGAGAACAAGGACGCCACCATCGTCAACGACTCCTCCGGCCAGCGAATCGTCCGTGCTGGGCTTCAAGTCACGCGTGTGGCCCAACCGATTGCTAGCGCAGATGCGGCATGAGCTATGATTATGAACTTGGCCGCAACCGAGGCGGTTGCTTTGCATAACAGGGAAAATGGGGAACGCGGAGTTTAGAGACGAGTCGTGGCTTCGGTCCGATCAATAATGAGTTGCAGAGGGACTCGCACCACTCGCCACGACACCCAACTGGCAGTCAAGGCAGCCGGTTCCTGACTTTGCTCATACACGAGGAAGATTACTCGGTGTTTATATCATTCACTGGCGTTCATTGATGATACAGTATCGGCGCCTTTGAGGGACCTTCCATGCAGCAGGTCTAGATTTTTAACCTGTCACGAATAGCGCTGACTCAGAAAGATTCAGGGGTACGAAAAGGGGTTAGACATGCTTGGTCAGATTATGGAAAACCAGATGTCTATGTTGTGCCGGATACCAAATCCTTGCATTGTAAATCGAAAAATGGACTTGCCTTCCCAACCTTGGAATGAATGTTGTGACGTTTGTTAATCAGTTGGTGCCACGTTTTTACTGGTGTCCTTCACATGTCATGGTTTCCCTTCGGGATTCGTGCTGATAAAAAAGGGTTGAGGCTCAACATCTTCACATGCCTTCGAAATACCGGCAATTTCGACCCTCCCTTATTGGACATACATAATAGATGGGTCCATATAATCATACGAGGGAATATGATGTTATGATGTTATCAGCAAGCAGCCCTTGCAAATTGGATTACATCCCGCAAAGTTGTCAGGAGAGTTCCAGGTATATTTCTATGTGTGCATATCTTCCTACCACACAGGTCCTTCCACCCTGCCACGCAACCCCCCCTTACACCCCTGATCATGAGTGCATTCTGCACGTCGAAGTCTCCGAGGGCTGTTCCATCCCCCGCCACCGATTCCCGCACTCGGCTTCCGTGTCTCTCTCGTGAGGCGTATTTAACTCAATATGCACTCGCAAACCGCTCTAGCCTACCAAAAAGCTAGACGAGGGGGGAAAACTCGAGGGTATCTAAGTTTTGGTGGTAAAAAAAACTGAGCAAGAGGAACCCTGGACGAAGGAACCCATCATCGAACTGCCGTACTTCTTTCTCCCCTCTAAAAACCAGTAGTGTATTTCAGCTCGCGGGAGGTTCGAGTGTAGAAACAAACGCCTTGCGAGAAAATTCAGCCAGGGGATAGAGCAAACTCTGTATATGGCCCGCTGGCTGCGCGGACGTCCCGTCATGACTTCTAGATGCAAGGTAAAGCACACCGTCTTTCTCCCCCATCCACCCCGAGTCCCGATACCGCGCTCGCTATGCATTCACGAAGCAAGAACCCAGCCCGTCTCAAAATCATAATCCCGTAAAAACCCAGCTCCCATAATGCCCCCTTGCGTGGCCGTGTATCATATCGGCAGCGGCCTTCTGTGGCAGACGCCCTAGCTTGCTATTTTGGCTCGAAATATCAGAGACCAAGAACTATCTAGCTTTTAGGTCGGGCGAGACAGATGGCCCTGGGGTGTTGCCCCAAGGACAGAAAGGGCCGAAAATCAGGTCCCGGTGGCGGCCACCGAGGTGGCAAGATGTAAAAGCTGAAATAAAATACCAACCAAACGCGAAGCATCGTTCATTATGTTCCCAGCCCGGTTATGCACCGCTATTCCGCGTCTGAGAAAAGACGGAAAGGAAAGGAAAGGGAAAAAAAAGAAAAGAAAAGAAAAGAGGGAGAGATCCCATCCGCTCCCTCACTTGAAGAGGCTCCTCAAGTCCATCAAACGCTGCCTTGCAGCCTCCGTCCGGTCCATGACCTTCTCCTTGTCGCGGCCGTCCATGCTGAGACTGGCCAACTTCATCTTCTTGTCCTGCAGCTCGAGCATCTTCTCCTCGAAACTGCCGCCCATGATGTACCGGACAGTCCGCACAGGTCGCTTCTGGCCCAGCCTGTGCACTCGGTCGATAGCCTGTGCCTCGGCCGCGGGATTGTACTGGGGCTCCATGACGTACACGCTATTGGCAGTCGTGAGGTTAAGGCCCAGCCCGCCAGCCATGATGGACACGAGGATGACCTGCACGGCCGGGTCGTCGCGGAAGGCGTCCATCGCGGCCGTGCGGGCGATGCGCGTCATTTTGCCATCTAGCCGAGTGTAGGTTATCCCTGCCTCGTCGAGGGCGACCTGGATGAGATCGAGATGCGAAGTCCAGCCCGAGAACACGACGGACTTGTATGGGGGCTGGTCTGGTTCCTTCTCGCTCCTCGCCTTGCACGCAAGCAGTTCCTCAACCAGGGCGCGGGTCTTGGTGTGAGGGCCGCCGTAACGTTCGTCCTGCACCATCTTTCCCTTCATGGCGTTCTTAGGGCGCGAATGGGACTCGTGCTCAACATCGGCGCGTGTGTGGCGGAGCTCCACGCAAGAGAACTTGACATGGATGTTGCAAATGGGGCATTGCCCGTAGCCATGGCTGTCGTGAGCAGCGCCGGACATGTCATCTCGGAAAGAGCTGATGCAGGTGGTGCAGAAGATGTGGAAGCACGGCGTCATGTAGCCTAGAATGTCCTCTTGGCGCTCCGACTCAATGTCTGCGGCTTCGTTGACCCCCAACTTGCGACCGCATTTGACACAGTTGTCGTTATTGGTCTCCTTCATGAGGTCGAGGAGCTCGTATGCCTTCGCCTCTTGGAGAGCCGGTTTGTCTTCCTCGTCGTCGCTGTCAAGGTCGATAGGTGCATCCGCAGTCATTCCCTGGAGCAGCCTAAAGTCATCTTCGCCGAGAAGCTCTTTCCCATGGGCGCATATCAAGCGAAGTCGGAGGATGGATTGCAGAATGTGGATATACGACTTGCCACCCAGGATCTTATCCCGGCCCTGGCCAGTAAGAACCTGCACTCTGTCTTGGGCGTTCTTGGCGAATAGGTCGTAGATGCGCTGCTCCTCGGGAGAGAAGTTGAGGCGGATGATGTGGTCCGTCCTTGGAGGCAGATTGATTTTGTCCTTCAGACGGCGAAGTGTGATGGTATCGACCAGTACGCGGAGCTTGGGGACGATCTCTGGATCGGCGTTCTTGAATGGGACGACGATGTATTGCAAGAACTTGCTCTTATCATCAAAGGGCTTCAAGCGCAGGAATGCGAGCAGAGCAGCCAGATCGTCCAGTCGATTCTGAATTGGCGTCCCAGTCACTGCCCACCGGCGACTCGCTTGCAGGCGGCATACTGCTTTGAATTGCAAGGTGCTCTGCTCTCGGATCATGTGTGCCTCGTCGAGCACGATCCGGAACCATCCGATCTCCTCGAGCGGAAACGGACCTTTCTTCCCACGATGGCGGCTGGTGAGCTCGCTTGAGACAGACCCGTAGGTGGTGATGACTAGATCAAACTGCGACAGCTGGTCAACATCCTTGATGCGGTTCGCGCCATGGTAAATGTGATGGGTCAACGAGCCCGGTTTAATATGCTGCTTCAGCTGCTCCTCCCAGTTGGCGATGGTGCTCAACGGGCAGATCAGGAGAGTGGCTTTTCCGTTCTGGCGCAGACGAGTAAGGCCCAATCCCTGAGCCTTGGGCATATCGAACTGCTTTGAGGGATGCGGCTGCTTCTTCTCAGGAGGCTTGGGCTGCAATGGTGGGAGGCCAGCCCATTCCGACGCACTTGTAAGGGTCCTGGTGACGACAGAAAGCACACTGAGAGTCTTGCCCAGTCCCATCATATCTGCCAGAATCCCTCCTCTGGTCGGCGGTGGCGGTTCCCGTTGCGTTTGGCTGGTGATGACGTTGTAATAGAAATCCTCCCCGTTTCTGCCCTTCTTGCGCTGCCAGCTTGAGCTGATGATGGACGTGTTCTCGGAAAGGAGCGGCGTATTTCCCTCCTCCCTGTTCGTCATGAAATAAAGAGCCTGCTTTTGGTGCTTGAGCAGCTCTGTCTGCACGCGATCATCCGGTTCGAGTTCCGGAAGATCTTCCGATTTTGTCAGAGAGTCGAAAACACCCATGATTTCAGACCGGATCTCTTCCGCCGTACGCATCGCGGGGGGTGGCTGAGTGTACGTATAGCCGTCTGCACTAGAAACGCTATAGCGCGGAGTTGGTGGCGGTCCCTTGGCCTCCTTGGAATGGGGATTGAAGACCTTAACTCCAGCATCCACTCGTGGAGGGCTGATCAGGGATAGCATCCTACTAGCCAGGTGTCTCCCGATTTGTCTGGCATACTTTCGAGGGCTGTATACCATCAACTCGAACTTATATTGGCGGGATGTGGGCTGGCCCAGTTGTTCGTCCGGCTGCCTTCGCCGCGAGGGGATGCGGCAGTCGGTGCGGATCTGCAAGGGAGAATCCAGGAGGGCTGCAAGGCCGCTGGACGTCTTGGGGTCGACCAGTCCGAATACTTGCCGGGTGTAGTCGTAGACCTGTATCTTGGTGGTGACTTCGTCCGTCTTCCTCCTCAGCACAACCTTGACCTGTGGCCAGTAGTCACTACCGCCTATGGACATCATGCCCGGCTTCGGCGCCGGAACTTTGTGGCAGTTGATCATTGCTCCCTCGATCATGCCAAGGCAGACCTCCTCGTCCTTCTCTTGCTCCTTCACCTTGTCGACGTTGTTGAGGTTCTCGTCACCTTCAGTTAGGTCAACTGTCTCAATGCGCCTAGCTGTCGACGCGACTCTGCCTTCGATCTGCTTTTCCTGGACATACTGGCTGAGTGCCCCAGCGCCACCACCCTGAAAGCCTGGAGTCGCGTTAGGCATGTCATCCTCGTTTTCGGTCTTCCTGCGCTTCGGCTGGGGCACATCGCTTCGGTCCTGAACATTATTCATTCGTTCAACGAAGTTCCCCAAGCCGGGCCTCGCGCCGAGAACCGGAACGGTATCTCGAAACTGATATTGACCATGGTAAGGCAAGCCGAAATTATTGGGACCGGCGGCAGGACCGGCACTCGGGAAACGAAACTCGAGCGGCGCGGTCGAGGCTGAGCCGCTCGCCATTGGACTTGTCAGGGAAGTGAGTGGCTGCGGCCTCGAAGATGTAAAGTTGGCACTCTTCGGGTTCAATAGCGCTGCGGGGTTCCATTCTGGAGTGTGAGTTGCGGGAAGTGGTGATCCGTCTGCACCTTGACGGAAAAGTCAGCTACGGCCGGCCGAAGGACATTAAAGGTAAGAAAGAGCGGGAGGACAGCCGGAGACACAGCAGCGGCCAGACAAGGCCGCCGGCTGGTCTCACGGACTGGAGGAAGGAACCACTGACCATTTGCATGGTTATTTGACGTCATTTTTACCGAGCGCTCCCGTTCCCAGATGGGCTCTCTGATAACGTGCAGACAGGACCTGTAAGAGTTATTGTGTTGGTGTTGGCGGAGCCTTCATGACAAGAGCAAGAAGGCCGATTTGTTGGATGAATGGTGGGGCATTTATGGCATGCACGGCGGCTTTCGGCGACAAAGGGCAGTTGCATGGGGGCCTTGACGAGGGCACGTATCGCTCCTTCCAGTGGCAGGTAGTCAGAGACGGGTATCGACTCTGGTATCTTCCTCTGCCGGTTGACTGCCTGAAATGGTTGCGAGAAGGTGAGGTGCGGGTCAAGGCTTGCAAGACGATGCGGAAAGCCACACAAGGCTTGATCGCGATTCGCGAAGTAGATAAGATTCAAACTGGTCCACGGGACCCTGCACAGACCGCGGTCGAGCCATGGCACGTGCCCTTACTTACGTAACATATGTACCTAGGTATCTCCACCAGTGCCGCCAACTCCCCTATCGGGCAACCTCTTCGCCCGGTACTAGGTCAGGAAATGAGCACTAGCAGCGAACCGGAAACTCGTCACATGTTGTATGATGTAATGATTGTAAACGCCCAACATCTAGATACCTAGAAACTCCAGCACGCCCGGGCAGGTCGGTGGTTACCTACCTCCTACCTACCTTGCCTTAGCAGATACATAAAAGGAGACCTGATCAGACCCGTTTGATTTCTGATTTTACTGTCCCAGTAGGTATACATTTATTCCCCAGTACATAGGTACTCCTGCCCCCTCCAGGACCCAGACTCCCAAGTTCACGTACCTCGACAGAGTACCTAACAGAAACCCGCACCATAAAGAGGTAACCCAGCAATGTGTAGTTGTCCAAATATCATCACGTAACTCCTCCACGCCCGCGGGTATGAAGATTGGGAAGGGCGGGAAACGGAAAGAAGAGAGGAAGAGATGGACCTCTGCCGTGTCGCCGTGTCTGGTATCTCATAGGTCTATGTCACTTGTCCTTCTCATGCCTTCTCTGAGGACCAATTACAACCTCGAGTTGAATTCGTGAATCAATATCGAGTGTCTGGAACGACGTGTCTCGGTGGTCCCGGCGCCGGCTCCTCGTCCTTTGCCGTCGCCTCCTTGGCGGGTCCGTAGCGTTTGGGGAGCGGGAGCGGGAGGGGCTTGCGCTCCGACGACGCTCAAGCTGCGAGGGTCGGAAGAGTCGCTTCCGGGAGGGCGAGTACGACGAGTCTCTGAAGCTGCGAGATGGGTTCCGCGAGGATAGTGTCGACATGGCCATTACAGACGTCGACCGATGGCGTCGGCGGCCGCGGAGCGTAGCAGATTCTCCAGATAAGGTCTTTGTTGTGGCAACGAGGACGAATGAGGCAGGGCTTCTCCTTCTTTTACGACCTCTTTGAATTTCTGGTTCAGGCGACAACATAGTCTTGGTACTCGTGGCTTCATCGGCGGCCCCCGCGGTGGCTTCTGTGTTTGTGGCCATTGTGAGCTACCTATTGAGCTCTGGACCCGGACGTTTGCTGTTGTGCCCTTCGGCACAAAGAAGTCGAGTGCTCCGGTGCTGGAAGCAAGAAAGGGAAAGAGAGAAGGGAAGGTGGAAACTCGGGCTGGGGAACTCCAACCCCAACCTAAAAGCCAGACGGTCTGAGGGGTATGCCCGTTTAAGTAAGGTAAAGCAGGTTGACCGAGGTATGGCCAATGAGGAGAGCCTGGCAGCAAAATTGAGGGGTTGCTGGCACCGATCTGGGACTGACCGAGACGAACGCTGCGGGACGAGGCTAGCTGCCTGGCCGTGAGAACGTGGGTGCTAACGGTGACGTGGTGACGTGCGATCCAGGACTTCGACATAAAATGAGCGGACTATAGCTGAGTGCCCCCTGATTACCTAGGTGTAGTGATGCTTTTCCCCACGGTTACATGACCATTATCCCTTCAAGCATGCGAGTCACACATATATAGGTCCTTACTATGCATACCGAACGGATTTCTTCTAGATGAAGGGTGGCTCAATTAACTGATTCATGGCTCGCATTACCAAGCAAAGCAACCCAATGCGGAACTTCCCGTCCTACCCATGGATAGGTAATTGGAGATGATTATACACAACAATTGGACAGATATCATACACCTCGCCACTAGGTCTCCTTTCACTCCCTTGTCGGCAAGCCCCTCTCCTTATTCTGGGGTTCTACTCCTTGATAATCCTCACTACGTCGGCCTTCTCCACATCTTTCCCGTCTAGCGGACCGCCGGGGGCGAGGAGCCTCTTCATGGCCTCGCCCGTTGCAGCCTTGCCGGTGATTCCCTCCGAAACTAGCTCTGCCTTGACAGCTTCGACCATGTTCCGCAGCTCCTCCTCGCCCACACTCTCGATGCCGCTGCCATCGGCGTATTCCCGTAACACTCTGAGCTGAGCCTCCTCCTTCTCGACCAGGTCTTCCCTCCCGGCATCACGAAACTCGTCAGCCGCTTCCTGCGAGGACCGCGCTTGTTTCCGTAGGAGCGCCACGAGCTGCGCGTTTGTCCTGATTGGCGAGGCCGTCTTGCTAGCGTTGAGGGTTGCCGCGATCACGGAGCGTAGGACAGTGAGGCGTGCGGCGTCTTTTGCCTTCATGGCCGTCTTTAAGTCGCCCTTGAGCTTGGAAAGAAGGGCCGGTGGTGCAGGTTCTGATGAGTAGCATCTGGAAAGCTGGAGGCATCGCGAGCTGAGGCTTGTTGTAGCAGTGATCTGACGGGGAACTAGTTGGTTGAAACTCCCGACCACACGCGCTGGGAGAAGTCTGGTCGTCATCGTTGCAAGATTCTGGTCTGCGTCGTCGGAAATTGAGATAGATCGGCAGTTGTTCGCCTCTAAGCTCCTTGCTTTGGGATCGTTTCTCGCAGGGTAGATGCGTTTACCTGGCTATGAAAGCTGGGGACAAAACGTGAAAAAAGACAATTCCTAATTGGGGCAGGAGGATCCCCACTCCAATTGGAGATTGTCATATGCAGCCTGGCTAGGTAGGTGCAGTGCGCTAATAAACCCCGGTCGCTTGTTCCATGTCCCGAGAGACCCGTTACAGCCTACCTGGCTTGCCTAGTTACATACCGTAGGCACGGAATAATAGCGTTCTGGCGCTTGAAGCGACTACGATTTCCGGGGCTGAAGGCAGACTGGTTCATATACCATCCTACACGGAGGACGGCTCTTCAGCTTCAGAGGATTCGGTGAAAGAGCGACTTCACAAGGACCGGAAACCATATCATCATTTGCAGTCACCTGACCATCCGACTATCAGGGGTACCTAGCAAAAGCTTGGGGCCTGACAAGGATCGGGGCGTTACCCGAGCCCAGTAAGCCAAGATGCAATTACACGTGTCGGTCAATAAGCTGTTGTCCAGGTAAGGGCCAGTCCAAGCAATCTTTTGATGAAAGAGCCGCGTTGGGTTCTTGGACGTCAAGGTCCTAGTTCGTAGACAGGTTTCTCGGCTAGGCCAACAGCCTCTGGAGGGCGTTGTGTGTTGAGATGTGGATGGAAAGGCACTGGAAATGAGAAACAGGCTTGTTGGCCATCAGCAGGGCGCAGGGAGCAGGGAGCAGGGAAAGGAGCTCAATGGGGAATGCAATATGGGACTCGGATGTGATTCAGGTGTGATGAACGGCGTCGAATCCACCCTGTAATAACCGAACCCAAACTGCCGGGACAGACGATAGTAGGGAACAAAGCGCATAACAACTGACCCTATCCCCCTTTTTGCTCTCCCCTTTTTATTCTTCTTGTACCTGCCAAACCTACCTACCTGCCTAACGGAAGGTATCTCTAGTGATGATGAGTGGACACATAGCAAGTTGGTCCTTCCTAACCAAGTTTCTTAAGTAGGTCCTAAAGCACCTACTATGTCATGGAACTTACTCGTGCCTGCCCGTCTTAGCTTGGTTAGTTAAGGAACTCGCCTCCTCCTGACTCCCATCCACACCTCTACCTTTGTCCCCATCTAAACTCGCCGCGAGCTCCTTATTATCAGTCTTGGTTATAAGCCCAGAGCTCTATCCTCCATTCCGGCAAAGTGATGGCCTCGCTGGTGTTCTACCTATTCGCCAACGACGCGGACCGGCTCGCTCGTCTGTACTGCTCAATCATGAATTGCAAAATGGAATCTACCTACAGCCTTTGAGGACGGGGGAGAGAGGAAATATGGATTGCGGTAACAAGCCATTGCGAGGGCTAAGCAACATCCCGCAATCAACTGTCAACAACAATCTACCGGAATGGATTGGCAAAGCTGTGCTTCGACATGGATATCAAATTGCTGAGAACCGCCAAACGAAACACTCATCGTCGTCATTGCCATCATCGGCATCATCGTCTATCGTCGCCATCGTCGTCGGCGCCTGGGCCCATCAAACTTACCCAGCCCAGCCATACACTAGGAACACCACACCATGCCATGACCAAACGAGAATGCCACCGCATCAGGTTCTCGCACGCTTCCTCGTATCGCCATTCCGTCCACTGCGGTGGCTGTGATGGTGGCGAGAGCCTTTCGAGTGTCCGCTACCGCCCGGCTTGCGACCAATACACACATATCTGCCGGTCATGTGGTTAGACTTGCATAAGGACGGGACCGCCCATGCGGCTTCCTCAACAGGGCAACAACGGTTGGACTCACACGGGGAAGTACGCCTGCCGGGCACCGTCCAAGTCAGCCATTGCAACGAATAGAAATCAAAGCCTCGCTGATCCCCGAAAGAGGGTTGCCATTGGGTTTCCATACCTTAAAAGCCGGATTATCAGCCTCAATTCGAGCCTGCGCCACAAGGAGCTGGACATCTGCTGGAGTCATCCTTAACCTGGAGTCAGCGTCGTTCTTTGCTGGGTTTATGTCCGTTCTTTCTCACGTACCCGAGGCGTTCGGTGAAGGGGTATATTGCCAGCGATGCGAGGAGTCGGTGTACATTGTCCCGATTTGCTACCCCCAAATCGTGGTCTCGGGGATCTGCCGTCATTTAGAAACGAGCTCTTTGAATATCTCTCGGGGCTCGGGTTCCGTACCGCTTGACCAGCCGCTCAGGGGCAAAATTATTAATCTGCGTTCAACCTCGACGAAGCCCGCATCCGTCATCCAGTTCTGCAGTTGCAACGCAGCTCGCGGGTCCTTGTACGGCTGCAGGCTTTGCAAGTATCTGCTGGACCAGGTTCGCAGCGCATGATCTATAAAGGATCACAATGGGTCAGCCTTGCGACATCCGTCGGCGGGAAGTTTGAATCCTTACTGTCAGTCAAGGTGCCGTTATCCGACTGGGCGTTGAAATATATCTCCACCATCTGGCACCATCCGCCGGGGCGCAAAACCCGGAGGATGTCGGCCATATAGTTCCCCCATCTATTAGAATGAATGCCGCCGGCCATCAGTCGGCTATTGACGAGGTCGAAGTGGTTCGAGGCGAAAGTCGACCTGTCACACCTGTCAGTGGTTCTAAAGGAGGCCATGGGAAGGGCTGCGCTGCCTCACGGACGGTTGAGGTCATCCACTTGGAGATTCAGGTTGGGAGGGATGATTTCCGGCGCCATATTGGGATAAATATCGATCCCGATAACCTAAATCGCGGAGGAGTCAGCCGCGGACAAGATCGAAACTCTTTGGCGTCCCCGGGACCGAGGACCCTGGGCAAGTATAGTGCTCTTTTTGGGCGCAAGCTGGAACCTCCAGGCTCGACTAAGGAGTTGGCATCGGTCAAGACGACGATAGTTCCAAGGCTATCGTGCGGAATGGGAGCATTTAACGGAGAGCGAGGCATGGGGAGGACTTCACGAACCTCACAGGTCGGGTACTGCTCAGCGACGTCGATGGCCCACGACGCAGAGCCGAAACCGCATTCGAGCACCCTTCTGAGTTGCGGCATTGGTGGGAAGATCAATCTGCCTTCGAACATTCTGTTGAATACGTTGTGTATGATGCGCAGGCGCTCGGCTTCGTCCTAGAGGATCATGGATAAGGGCCATGGGTGGAGAGGGGCGTGCCGGTGCCAGCAGATACTTACCTCGTCGACTGGGGCGAAATAAACGCCGTTATCGAGAGCATATCGTTGAAACTCTCGGTCGTGATGCACAACCGTCTCGACGTACGTGTTGTCGAGCGGGACGGTCTGCAAGTCGCTATCGACGGCTTAGCGATCCCACGCTGCTCGCAGCCACCAAACACCTAACAGGATGCATACCTGTCGTCCATCGTGGAGAGGTGTTCCTACGTCCACCAAACAAGAGGTGTCGCAATTCTGGCCGGCCTAGGAACTGATAAAAAGGATGTGGTGGTATCAAGTGTTGCTACATCAAGGGACGGGCACTACGGGTATGGCGTTCGGCTTCGCGAGGGCTTACATGGCGCTGGGGCGGCCTACGGAGACGGGCTGGGTGCCACGCTCTTTAACCCCTTGTTTTTCGGGACAGTTGTCAGGCATGATGTCTGGCCACATGCCTCCCCAAGCAACGGTACTGGGTAGTGTCTGGCACACCTTTAAATGAGAGAACGCGCTTGCTACGGGCATTTGTGGATCCGTTTCCCGGTCAGGGAATGCAGATTGGCCGCCGGGAGACTTTGCACCCCACGATACTGATGCCGATCATGGGCTCTTCTGACACTCGAGGCGGGACGGCCTGGCTGCCTACGCCAGGGCCGACCAGGGCCTCGCTATATGGAGAGGGCAGACGGGGCCTGGGGAGGGCCCGTCAAGTCACGGACTCACGGGCCAAAGAGAGACTTTGGTGGGCGAAGAAGGCTGGTCGCCCACACATAACGCTCCGAAAACACAACGCTAGGGGGTTCGAGTGGTGGATATTGATGCCCAAGGTCAGCAGGCAAGGCCGACCACCTGGTCGCTTGGATGTTTGCCAACAATGGTGGCAGGGGATGGAGGGGGGGGCGCAATCTGAGCGAAATATGACCCGCCTAGGGTTCGATGGCTACTAGCCTCGGACGAGGACCCTGCTTGGGATCTGATTGGAGAGGCGTGGCTATGAGTGGCCGTTCGTCGTGTTTCCATCAAGAAGTCTGCAGCCCCCAAGAGAGCGTTAACCTGTTGAAGCAACGTTGGACGATTACTGCACCCCATCCTGGTGGCCTGCGGGTCCCTCATTTTCGTCAGTGGGTTGCTCGGGCTGTTGTCGGGGCTTTCAGCTCAGCCGATGCCGCGAGTAGCGTTTCCCAGATAATAGGATGGGGTGTTAAGGACACTCGCATATACGCCAACCATACAAGACATTCAGGGTTATGCAAGAGCAAAAACCAGGTCATGATGGAAAACACTGGGCCGTTTTAAGGGTCGCCCCGTGAAAGTAACCTCAAGCTAGCCCTAGGACCCTCCCCCTGCTCCGGATCCCAGAGAGCATCCCTTGTTGTTCTTTTCCGTCCTTCGCCCCCGGCGTCAGACAAGCCTGACGTCAAACGAGTCCCTACCGGCCAAGGAGATACATACAGTGGTGACGGGGGGAGAGAGAGAATGAACCCAAGGACATGGACTTGGGACTTCACTGAGGGGGGTTAACGCCCGCCACCGCCCCGCCCGGGATGCCGCTCTGAAACATGTTTAGGCGGTATTAGGAAGGATGATCGAAAAATCTGGAAATTATGGAAAATTCCCTCCCGCTTTCCTCCCCAGGCAGAACCCGTCGTATGACTCGTCTCAGCCAACCAAGACCCCCCACCCCCCGTGCAGACATATTGCAGATCTCGCCATGTCTCTCCAGGAGCCCGGGCACCATGTCCTTGTTCCCGGCTAGACTGTTTCGTATCATTCCTTTGCTCATAGGTCTGGAAACAATCTTGACAACGCACACGACATTGGGACCAAATCCATGCCCCATGGCTCAGCCTCGCAAAGAGAGCCAGCCTTCTACGATCCCCTCTGTCTGTCACACTCCCATCCTCTTTCGTTTGTGCGGTTGCAGTTGGGGTTGAAAAGAAACAGGAGAAAAAAAAAAGTGTGTCTATCTGTGCTGGAGCTATTCATCCGGTGCGCAATTATTCGCAACACGCCCGGCCTGGAACAGGCTGGGATGTACAGCATTGGGCGAGCATGTTGGACGACATATAATATGCCGGCACTTGCTGAGAACTGACACTGTCTAGGGAGGTCGTCACCTTCACCCTGACTCGTAACCGCAGGTGTGTGCAGCGGCAAGCAGGATCGATCATGACCAGTGGGATCTCGCGGCTAAAATCCGGGTTCTGGAAGTTATACTGCCAGCTTGTACACCCAGCTTGCACCTGGATAACCTGGGGAGGGGCTCAACGGGCCGCTGCAGCGGTTTGGCCGCTTTGTCCGTTCATTTGGGGGCTTGAGCTAGCGTACATGGTGCCGGGTGGAACACGGGGAGGCCTTGAGATGGGATTCGGGTATCACCACGCTACGGACGAGAGCGAGAGCGAGAGGAATGGCGACAGGGAGCACCATCCATGGATGGCGACAGGGAACCAAGCAACATCCTTGATGCTATGCTACTTATAATATATATGGGTGTCTTGGCGCGCCGCCTCTTCCGTGATTTTCTTGAGTAGGCGAGCGACCCAAGTTGGTGTTAGAGGCCGCAGCGCCAGTGAAGAGACCAACAACAAGTCTCCAACTAGCCACCCCTTCTCAGACCGACATGATGCATCTCATCATCCATGATTGCTCGCGAGAACAGGCCACGCCTCCTGTTCACACACAGGGGAAGAATATAAAGGTTGACTACCAGTGACTACCTAGTTAATAAAGGCGAAAACAAAAGTAATCACGGAATGGCCGAGTGAGAGCTGGGACAAGGTCTGCTTATTATGACAGAGGCTGCCGCAATAATCCAAAAGATAACATGGAAACAACTCCGTCTGGCGATACGTCCGTATTGTGGGTTCCATAGGTATCATTAGGTTGCCTTCAACCCTGCTTAACTCCATCACATAGGGGGGGTACCTTGGTACCTCACCGTCCCAACGAGTTACCTGGGTACCTGACACTACGACCAAACTCGCGAATGGGGATCGCGGGTTGGCTCCACAGCAGAGGCTCCCGCACCAAAGTGGGTCCCCTTCCGCCTTTTTTTCCTTCTTTTCGCCCTTTCTGCTTTTGCGTGCTTTTAAGTTCCGAGTGGTTGGCCAGGGCCTCCTGGCGCTCTACCAGTGTGCCGGGACCGGCAAAGCCGTGTGTGTGTTGGTGTATGTTTTCGATCCCAGCAAACCAGACGCCCGGGCTGACTTGGGCTCGTTTGCTCTTCAATAGCGCAGATTGATGGCTCTCTCTCTCCCGTCGCTTGGCACTCATAGCTACGTACCACAGTATTCGTCCCTCTGAAGAGAAGATTAGGTACCTATCTACAGAGTCTTGTCCCGTTTGCTGACGGCATTCCGCGATCCGTAACAGCCAAAAGGGGAGGGGGGTTGTTGGGCGTGCGTTGTTGGTCCTCAGTTCCCTTCCCCAGGCCGCGGGATATTGACGCAGAGTCTCGAAGCAAGCCATTTTCTTGCGTATTATGTACACGGAGGCCTTCAAAAGTCCGGTAATCCGAGCATTCTGGCCTGTACAACTTGACATATCACTTTGCAACAACCAACCCCCACCCCCTTCCTTCCTCTTTCACTACACGTAGATCTCTCGCTCTGCCTCGCGGCGTCTTCTCAAGCCACAGAGAGCGTCGATCCCCTTGTTTTCGACAGGATGGATCTACGTACGTACTCATAACACAACCTGGTAGGTACCTCTAGATATCTGCCTTACCATTGATGGGCTCTGCGGGAAAGGGGCCCATGTCAGGGGTGTATGTGGTGTGTGTGACGTGTGTATGCGAGTCTCTGTGTTTGTGTGACCAAGTGTCCCAGCCTTCCCATTGCCCCGGTACCGTGGAGAAACTATCACCTGCAGGGTATGGGCGAGGCTTGCAGAAGCGCAGCAAATCACCCCCAGGGTAGCCTGGGGACACCTTTTTTCGGTCTTCTTTCCCTATCTGCCTTACCGGTTGACCCAGGAAGAAAAAAAATTGATCAAGGCTGCGCCCGTGAATGTGATGCGTGACCAGCATATGCACTTTCCCAACTAATAACTACCCCCCCCTTAGCCCCGTCTGGGCGTTTGATCCCATGCACCTCTTTTCCTTTCCAGTCTAGTCAGTTAATGCGTGAGAAAATGAGTTGTTTCCCTCCCGCCGGACGCGGTCCTCCTGTAAGTTGTCTCCTTTGCTTTTGGGGCAGCCCCTATTGGCGGCGAGGCTCCGCTACCAACCTTGTCTGCCCCTTTCCCCAATCCCACACACCACTCACGCGCACCCATACGCGACGCAAACATACAACGCAGGCGCCCCCCTGCGCGTATATCAGCCCTGTAGTTGCAACCTGAAGACAAAATAAGAAAAGAAAAAGAAAAAAAAGAATAGGGGGAGGAAATAGGGGAAATCTAAGAGCTAAAAGTACAGTTTGGGAAGGAGATCGTCGTCTCAGCACCACGTAAACACAGGGTTCTTGCTCTTGACCGCCTCCAGCCTCTCGACGATGACTTTGCGCCGGTTGCCCTCCATGCCCTCCGCGGCGGCGTAGCCGAGGTCCCCCTCGAGCTCGTCGTCGTCATCGTGGTCGCCAAAGTCGTGGCTGTACCGCCGGCCGCCCCCCGCTGTGCCGCCGCCACCCGGCCCGTAGAGCTGCTGCGCGATGCTGTTGCTGCTCCGCCGCGCCGTCGCCGTCGCGAACGAGAACCGCCGCTGGTGCTCGCGCGTCCGCTCCGGCGCGTACATGTTCAGGCTGCGCGGCGGGGCCCCGTAGCTGAGGCTGGCGCGCGGGAGCGCCTGCCGGGTGACCTTCTTGCTGCCGCTGCTGTTGCTGTTGCCGCTGCTGCCTCCGCCTGCGCCGCCGTGGGGTGACCCGTTCAGCATCATCGAGTTCTGTATCGACGACTCTGGCGACTGCGCGGCCGCGACTTCGTCTCCAGCCACGCCTGCTGCTGCTGCTGCTGCTACTGTTATGGAGCCCGAGTCGGAGAGCTCGAAGCGGCCAGGGTGCGGGAGCTCGGCGGGCGGGCTGGCCAGGCCAAGGAGGTCCGCGACGGGCGCGCTGGTGGACGCGTTGGAGGCGCCGATGTCCATCTCCTCGTCGATGGCGCCGCTCCTGGCAAAGGCCAACTCGGTGCGGCGGCGTATCTCGGCGCTGGTGACCCTCATGGGCACGGCGACCGGCACGTCGACCAGGTCGTCCCACACGCAGACCTTGGCCCGCCTTGTGAGCTCGAGGGGTCCATGGTCTGGCGTCTTGAGCGTCTCGACGACGTTCCATGCCTGGCCCTTCATGACGGCCATCTGGCGGGCGAACATGCGCTCTTGGAAGTCCGGATCGACCTGGAATACTCTGCGGAGCGCCATCTGGGTCTGGCTCCACCACTGGGTGGACGTCAGGAGTGGGAGGAAGTGGTCACGGGTCTTCTGGGAGAAGGGCCGGCCGATCAAGTCGACGGGGAGGAAAAGCCAGCCGAAGGGAAAGCTGAAAGAGGAAGCAAAGGGGGTGCCTTTGGTTAGCCTTAACTCGCATCATCTGTGGCACGGTATGGGCAATGTCTCTCACCTTCTCCAGGCATCCGGATGCTTCCAGGGCCAAGACAGGGAGTTGTCGATAGCCCCAATTGTGATCTTCGGGTCCGGAGTGCTTGGCACGGGTGTTGATGCGTCCATCGGCTTCTGCGTCCTATAGGGATAGGAAGCGCGGGGGGTGGGTGACGACCTCTGCGACAAGTCGACGGGTCGTGGGCCTAGCTCAACGTTCGGCTCGTCCACGTTCAAGTACATCGGCTCGGATGCAATGGATACCTCCTGGGTCTGCCAGTCAACCTTGATCATCCAATTGTCCAACCCTCGGTCTGTATTCCGCATGATGTAGTCCAGGATGACCAACTTCTCCAACTCCTCCCGGAACGATTGTTTTAGTGATTCTGTCCACAGGAAGTTGCCCGGCCCGGGCGTCTGTGATTGGGGGCTGTCTTGACAGTCGTCGCTGTCTCCGTCGTCGTCTGCTCGCGCCCTAGTTGGTCTGCAGTTATCTGCCCACCTCCTCTTTCGTTTCCGGTGTGGGTCGTTCGTTCGAAAACCTGACAGGTACTGGTCTGGCCAGGGATGTTCCCGCAAAAAAAGGTTGGCGTCCTTGAAGCCCTTTAGGAACACTTGGAAACTGCCGGGCTTTGCGGGTAGGGGCTTCTTATTCCTCGAGTAGTTATAGCGGTCCCAGAAGGGGTAGTGGAAAGATTTCGAGGAGAGGTTCACGATGTCCGTGTAGGGGACCATGTGCGTACGTAGTTGGGCATCGAGGACGTAAGCTGCGGCCTCGCTCACGTATGAAAGGTTCGGAATCAGGCTAGATGGGTGCGTATGTGTTAGAGCAGAGCCTCATTGGTAAAAGAGGGGTCCAGAGTATCGCCTACCAAGCTCGGCCAAAGCAGCAGGGAAATAGATTCCTGTGAATCCACTTGTTCCACTTCGGATTGCCCGCCGCATACGGCTCTTCGTCCTTGGGCTTGAATACTCCAACAACCTTGCCTTCCGGACTCCTCGCAAAGTAGCTCCCTGAGCTGCCCTGAGAAATCATCCTAGGATGTACGCCCTGCTCGATTGCTATCCTGACACTGTCCACGATGACTTCGAACTCGGCCTTGGTCATGTAACCCGGCTCCGGCGTAGCAAGCGTCTCAGCAGTGGCAGGCCGGACTCCCTCGGGCGCCTGGAATACCGAGTGGTGGATCTCGAGCTGTTCCTCCTCCCCGGTTTTCTTGCCCTTCCCGCGCTTGAATTTGCTGGCGATCTCGTCGGCCCACCGCTCGAGGCGGGCGTTGATGGCCTTCAGGTCGACGCCAGAGTTGCTGCGCACGCGCCGCCGGTTCCTGTGGTTGGACCGGAGGGCGGCGGAGGCGGCCTTGGGGCTCGTCATGCCCGAATGCGGGCGCGGCTGGGAGGTCGAGGCATGCTGCGCGGCCGAGACCGAGGCCGGTTGTAGGGAGGTGGTGCTGTATGCGAGCAAATCGTCGTCCGAGTCGTCACTGAATTGTTCGGCTTGGGCGAGACGCTCGTAGCCCGTTGTGGCGGGACGGCTGCGCGCCATCGGTTGGGCTGTTCACTTCTGGCTGCCTTGAGGATGTCTATCAACACAAGGGAGCAGGGAGGTAGCACCGGGCCTTCGGATTATGTCATGATTTAATTCAGGGGAAGGCGTTGATGAGAGGCAGAACAGACAGGGGGTGAGGATGGCCAGGGAGATGGAACAAAAAGAGGCAAAGAAGATAATAATAATAATAATAATAATACAATCAGTTAGAGTTGCACAGCAAGTAGCAAAAGACAACCGTGACGAGTCAAGAATCAAGGTTGGCCAGGAACGACAGTCTATAGAGGGTCCATTTCCATGACGGGATGATGGACAATAACGGTTTCCGCTTCCGTGAACTGAGTGGAGCCCGGGGGGTCCGTGTATGGATTTATGATTTGCCGTAACGCCAATGGATGAACCTCCTTTCAACGTCCAACCTTGCTCGATAGGCACAATCAGATATTACTTTTAGACTATTTAGAGAGTGCGGAGCGAACTCCATTCTCAACTTCACATCATAATGGCTTTGAGGGCTTGGAAATGAGTTTCGCAAGACCTTCCTGTTTTTGACCGAGCATCTCGTCAGCATGCTACATGCTCGGTAAAACGGAGCTCCAATGGACCTGTCTAGAGCTTTTCAGCACCCAATAACCGACGAACAAGGCCACCATTTTTTGGAGCTCTTGCAGTGTGCCTTACTTGTAGGCTGGCCATCGGAACAACGGAGATGTCGAGTCACTGCTCACTGCATACAATGATTCACAGCCGCGCTTTTTGTTGGTGTCAGATTCCCTTGGTCTTCTTTTCGCGCCTCAAGATTTTCTTCCCGCCCTCTATAATAACAGCCCGTTAACACTTGCATGAAAACGGCTGTTCTCATCATTTTGCAATTCAATGCCTAGAGCTTGACAGAGAGCCTTCCCCTCTTTTGCCCATCGAACACACTCATAACTCCCAATATCACGCGTTTGCTCTCCTCGAAACACTCACTTCAACGCACACCAACCAGCCCGGCCCGGCCCTGTAACCCAGTAACCATGCCTGCGCAAGAGAACCAGGCATACTGCTGGATACTCCGGCTGACTTACCGCTGTGGTTGTGTCGAAGAAACCGAGGTCGACCACAACTGTGGCGGCGAGAAGTCCAGGTGTGCTGTCTGGAGACGCAGCCAGAAGATTGCCAGAGATTGCGCCAAACACCGGGAGAGCGGCTTGCAGAGTGAATCTGCCCAAGCGTCTCTGTGACAAAACAAACCTACTGGCAAGTTCCGGCCGTTCTTCTTGTAGGCTAGGGGGGTTGTCGAGCCCTCGGGGCAAACCTGATCTCGTGTACCTCGTCCTCTTCGGACCTACCCATCCTGACTGACCGTTCGTAGCTCGGCGAGAGGAGTTGTCAAGCGGGGACAGTTCCTGCCTGGGAGACAAATGACATGGTGGTAATAATCTGTTAATGAGGGGAGGGGTTCTTACGAAGCACCGATGATGGGCCAGGTGGTACAGTCTTGGAGAAGACTGCGTATGGGACACACCCGACTCGCAATAATGCTTGCATTTATTTTTGGTAATCCATAATTCTGGTACGGGGCCCCTGACATATTAAGATGGGTATAGCTTGGTAATTGACATTCCTTGCCCCTGACACCCTCATCGTCATCTATCCTGCCTCAACCTTGAAACCGGGAATGTCTTCCCCAAAGTGAACGTCCCAGCCCAGTGGAAGTAACAAACCCAGGCTACCATCAGCATCAATAGACGGAAAACCACCTAGGAGGTTGTACTATGGATTCATCGAGTCCCGATCCGGCATCCCTCTCTCTCTCTAGAATCTGCGTCAAAACCACGTCATCGTGGAGGGTGCCTAGCTGAGGAGCCGAGCGGTGTACCATGGAGCTCCGAGTCTATAAGATAGGGCCAACAGAAACTGTTTCTCGAAGCGACCTCTCCCTGATCTTTTCCAAATTGAGGTCCTGGCGCTCCTTGCGCCTCTTGCCAGCTTCATAATTCGCGAAGCGCCCGCGAGCCCCGTGCTTGAGCTTGGTGATCATATCGGCGGCGCTGCCCTTCGTGACGTTTTCGGTCGTCAGCGGCTCCGCTTTACCCCTGAGTTTGTTCAAGAAGTCCAGCTGCCCGGCCGTCGGCGGGCCGTCTCTCCACCTCATCCTCCTCGAGATGAAGGTATGCGGAAATATTTCGGACGCATATTTATCGCAGCCGTGCACTGCGCTCTCAAAGGTCATCGCTCTTAGTATTTCGCGTGGGGCGGCGAAGGGTGACTTTGACACGCCGGGAGGTAATGCGCGAACTTCCCACGCCGTAAACAGTTTTGGAGTTGTGCCGGACGTCCCATGATCGGCGGCCTCCAGCTTTAGATAAGTGCCTGTCGGCCCACAGAGCACATATCGATCTGGTCCAACTTGAACCCATGCATTCTGACTGATGGCGCGAACATGCCTCTCCACCGATGTGTCAGAGATGAGGTCAAACACAGAGTCATAGTCGGTGAAGACGACCTTGCGAGGCGTATCATCCGGCCTTGGGTGGGGCACATCATGATATGCTTGCTCATTCCTAGCCCCCTCCGCGTCTTTGCGGGCTCGCAGTTCCCGCATTTCTGACAGCGATGCATCATCGACGATTTCGCTGGGGTCGAGGCCGAAGAGCGTTGGGGCAGTGACAATCCCGGTCTCAAGACTCGATACCATGTCTATGACGTGACAGTTCTCTTTCCCGGGGTGAAGTCTCATTCCTCTCCCAATCATCTGCACCAGGAGATTCCGTGACCGGGTTGGCCTAGCTAACAGGACACAATCTATATTCGGAATGTCGGTGCCCTCGGTAAAGACATTACAGTTGACTAGCACGGGGAATTCGCCCCTCCGGAAGGCCTCCAGAAGCTCACTCCTCTCGACAACTGGGGTGTCTCCGGTCACAAACCGGGCATCGACGCCGTACTGGCGGAACTTTTGCGTCAGCCCTACGACGTGGCTGAGGTCGACGCAGAATACCAGGGTCGACTTTCTTCCCGCAGCTTTGGCAAGCCATGTACGGACGGTGAGTTCGTTGGTGTTATCGTTGTTGACCGCTCGTGAGAGCGCTCGAATTTCAAAGTCACCGCCCTGCTTGCTCTTGACCTTGGACAGGTCAGCGGAGGACTCAACCGTCGTGAAAATGACGCCAGACAGCCATTTGTCTTCGATCATATCGATATAGTCTTTGTGATAGACTATCTCGTCGAACGCCGCACCCAGCTTTAGACCGTCAAATCGAGAGAAAGTTGCCGAGACTCCCACCAGATGGGGAGAGTCTTTGCGCTTCGTGGCCAGGCGAAGATGGGCGAGGACGTTCATGTAACCGCGAGCAGCGACATGATGAGCTTCGTCGACAAGCACCAACTTGAACGTGCTCGGGTCAAACTTTGACAGGCGATCCCCGGACGTTATGCTCTGGAGGCTCGCGACGGTGATGTCTGCCACGCCAGAGGCGTGGAGCTTACCCATCTCGATCTCGATGGATTTGTCTGGATAGGCATTTGTGCAATGCTTAGCAGCCTGTTCAACTAGCTCGCGCCGATGTGCTAGAATTAGAGTCCGGGTAGCTAAATCGGAAAGGGGCTGAACACGGTCGATCAACTGAGTGAAGATGACCTTTGAGAAGTTGTTAGATACGAATCGTGAACACAGGAAGCGAACATCTGCGCACCGTCTTGCCGCTGCCTGTAGCCAGCGAGATGCCCAACCGCTTCTCGCCATTACTCAGAGAAGTCAAGACAGATTGGATACATTCCTCCTGATAGTCGCGGAGGCGGATAGGCACAGGCAGAGCCTTTGCGTTGGCGGGGGCCGCGAAGGAGATGGACCTGAGAGGCACAGAACTTCCTCGTCTGACAAGAGGGCTACAGGTCCTTAAGTGAAACTCCAAGTTACGACTCCCCAAGAGTCGCAACATGGCACATTCTGCGCTTCGTTGAGGGTGAGATGTCCAGTAATTACATGACTGGCGAAGCTCTGTGGATAGAATAGGATTTAGGCACCAAGGTTGATTGGCTGATGCAATGGTGGATCATACAGTGTGACCCAGAGCCCCGGGGCCTAGGCACTAGGTGCTAGGCACTAGGCCTACAGGGGCAACAAACGGCTTGCAGGCAGGCGGCTGCATCCCGTCGTCTCTAAATTTTAGGTTAACCCTCATCGTCAAATCGGTCTCATGCATCCATCTCGTAATTCACATCCATCTCATCTAAGAAAGAAAATTTGCCTCCAGTGCTACTATATGAGTCTCACCGCCTCACCTTCTATTTCCCAGGATCCCAAACATGTTGAATTGGCACTCTTCACATATCGCCCGGACACTGCTTGACCATGGATTCAGACGGATCTTCAAACGGCCCTGATGAGGGTGATGAGCCCATTCTTTCTGGCGGACAAGCCGACGATTCTCAAGCCGGCGAAAGCGCCGATAGCGATGAATATGGCCTCCCCGAGTACGATGAGCGTCGCCGCCGCGAGGTAGACTCGGACGACAGCATCTACGAGCCAGAGCCAACAGACGAGGAGGACGAGGACGGTAATCCGCTGTCAGACCTGGAACCCGAGCCGGGGGTGGGCTTGCCCTTCAGGTCCGTCAAGCCCGAGGCTGGCGAAGATCCCATCTCGCTGGCTCGCATTCCAGCGTCCAGTCCGCCCTGGCATCCCTTTAAGCGCCCGGCCGACTCTTCGGCCATTGATCTCCGCCCCTTCAAGCGGACAAGGGGGGATTTCAACCGCGGCTATCTCGACCTACTCAACATCGACATCGAGGACGCCGCAGCCCACTACGTGCCTCATGATGGACCGGAACTCCCCTCCTCCCAAATCGGGCTCACCATCTGGACGCCGCTCGAGAAAGAAATGTTCTTCGAGGCTCTGTCCAGGCTAGGCAGGGACGGCGTCCCGGGGATATCCCGGCGAATCGGATCCAAGAGCGATTTGGAGGTCCAGCAGTACCTGCGAGTCCTGGACGACGCTATCGCCGCGAGGAAACAGAGCGGGAACCTCGAGCCGTCGTACCCTGTCGACTTCCCCGCCGCCGTGGAGATCAGCCCCAAGTGCTGCAAACTCCTGGAGGGCGCCGCGGATGTGATCTCGCTGAGGCAGGAGCAGCACGAGGAAGCGCGCGAGGAGGAGAGGTGGGGCAAGGGCTGGCTCGTTACCCCCTTCAACTACAGGGACATTGAGGCGACCAGGTCGGCTGGGATGCCGTCCGTCCAGCTGTTCAGGGTGGCCTCGTGGTTGCGGCTGTCTGAGCGGGTCTTCATGAACGCGTCGTACCCCGAAAATAACTGGCAGCACGTCTCGGAGGACAACCCGTCCATCCGAGCTACGGCCCTTGAAGATTTCTACTCCCTCGCGGTTTCCATTACGAGGCGTCTTGTTTCCGCCACTATCTACGTCAGCACGTCACGTATTCGGGCGAAGCAGTCTGTCTATCCCGAGACGAGGGGTCTGGTCTGGCCGAAGGATGTCGAGGCTGCTGCATTGTCCATCGGTCTAAAGACCAACAGTAAGAAGTTTTGGGCTGGCTGTGCAAGACGACTGAGACTGGCTGTGTTCGATGACGACGACGACGACGACGCCGATGACGATGTCGAAGCCGAGCATGGCGACAAGGCTCGGGGCATCCTATCCTTCGATGAAGTGGAGGCAGCCCTCGGCGGGCATGACAGCATGCCAGAAGCCGAGCCGGTAGACGAAGAATCGGACGAGCTCATGTCCCTATCGGAAACGCCCTCCCTCGACGACCTTTCCGACCTCGAGGCAGAGGAAGATGCCGGCCCCGCAGTCACGCCCGACATCGAGCTCCCAGACGAGCAGTATGCCGAGGTCGACGAGGACGAGGTGCGCGCCGAGTCGAGGGAGCTGCTGCTGCACACGGCCTTTGACCACCCGCGGACGACGCGGACCAGGGAGGCGCTGGAGTCGCGCATCGCCGCCGAGCTCAGGCACGTCGCGCACGCGGACACGATGGACGCCCGCGCCACCTACTTGGAGGAGAAGCGGCTGTGGAACGTGCTCGGGCGCGCAGCCCCCGACGAGCTCGTCAGGGTCGAGCAGCCCGCCGCCCCGCCGAGGCTGTCGCACACCGTCAACGACTTGTGCCCGGCCGGGGAGGACGGTAGGACTGGAGGGCGAGGTTGAGTTATGTCGGCGAGTGGGAACGGCCTCTTGGCCAGGGTGATCAAGACGGTTGAGGTACCAGCACAAGTGATGAGAACAGGATATGATACCCATTTCCTTTTTCTGTCCTTTTTTTTCCGTTTGGAAATAGTAATTATACTATATTCTGCCATTGTACAACTACCGCTAGCCCACTTCATCACAAATGTTCCGTCATACAGAGGTGTGATAAGATAGAACGGTGTGCTGGACACCGTATTTTGCAGCAACTGGTTCCTCTCCCTACTAGCTATCACTAAGATGAAGGCGACTTGCTCCCCGAACAATGACATAGGACCTAGATTCATGCTACGTGCGCCTCGCCAGCAAGCCATGCCTTTTCCCCATCTGTGGGCCTTCCTCCCTTGCCCCTGTCGAACGTGGTATAATATTTCCCCTCCCCCCTTTTTCCCAAGTCTGTACAAAACAGTGCCCCATGCACACATGCAGACCTGACTAGAGATCCGCGTATTTTAAAATACCGGACCTAATCCTTCATATTCCGGATGGGCGAAAATACGAGAGCCATTGCAGCAATTACTGATCCCCCCTTAAAACGCCCCCAAACTTCCCCTAAACCCCCGAAACAGCTCTATCAAGAGGCAACGTCCTCATCCGCCCTCGGTCCCGCGTGCTCCGTCCCCTGGTTGGCGGTACTCAGCCTGGCGCACAGGCTTAACAGGACGACCGTCTCGGTGGCGGCGTAGTGGTTGAGCGCGTCGAGCAGGATCTGCAGGTGCCGGCTGAAGTTGGTCTCCCACTTCCTGATCACGTCGAAGAGCTCGGCCACGCGCGCCTCCTCGCCCTTGGCGGCCGCGTCCTTACCGCCGCCGTGCGAGGCCGTCGAGTCGCCGTGCCCGCTACCGCCGCCCGCTTGCCGCTGGGACCTGACGGCTTGGAACTGCCTCCAGTGGTCGTCCGTCATGTTCCGGGGCTTAGTTGTGCCGCTGAGGTCCGGGTCGGACTTCTCGAGCTCCCGGGACAGCCAGTTGGTGTAGGTGGCGAAGATGGTGCAGGTTTGCATCAGCTTAGAGTGGATCTACCGCCAGGAGACATTAGTGATACGGTGTGCTACGCCAATTATATGGGTGTGTTTGGAGTTGACAATACCCTGAGAAGTTTGCTGTTCGTCAGCATGCACTCCTTCAAGCAAGTGTCGAGGAAGTCCACATGGTCCTGCATCAGCTCGTCTACCGTGCGCGTTGGGCCTTTTGTTCCGGGCCCTCCTCCGTCCTGGCCGCCGTCTTTGGCGTCCCTTTCCGCCACCCGCGACATCAAGGCTTGCCAGTTCGGCTCGATAACCTCGGCCGTGCAAAAGTAGAGTAGCTGCTGGACAAACACCAGCATGCGTGCGCGCAGTGTCCAGACACGTCGTTTCCATATCTCCAGGTTGCGCGAACTGCTCTTGTGTGACCATGAGATGCCACTCCCGTGTGTCTGCCAGGTGGCCGCTAGTTGCGACTCAAGGTACCGAAGGGAGAGGAGATAGCGGAACAGGGCCTGGTACCGCCAGACGGTTTTCCTGCTGATGACGAGCGAAACCGGAAAGGGGACGGCGTAATCCAGCTGCAGGGAGGTGAAGCCAATGGCGTTCTTGTCGTTCTCTATCGGCTGGTTGGACAGGGGCTGAAGCGTCTCTCCTTGCTCTATGCCGGTGATATTAACGACCCGTTGCAAAGACTTGATGAGAGTAATCTCGTTCATTTCCACCTTCACGTCCTCCTTGAAAGGGTCAAGAGAAACGAGACTGCCGGGCTGGCGGAGTACTAGATCCAACAACGACTGCAGCTTGCTGGTGTTGACAGACTTAACCGGCTTCCGTAATTCGGAGGAGCCAAGTTCGAGGAAGTAGGAGAAATAATCCGAAGGGTCGAGGAAGAAGTAGTGCTTCAGCGACCTCAACCTGTCAGGCAAGGCATGTGTCGTCAGTAGCAGCTGCATCAGCGACTCGTTCGCGTGAGCGTAGGCGTTATTAACGTTGTCCAGGAAACGATTGTCGTCGAATGAGATTGGGACGTCCTTCACCTCCTTGCTGACGTCGACCCCCCCACATTCTCGGACAACATTCAGGTACTTTCCAGCAAGCAGCACCTTGCCCTTCACCCCTTCTAGTTGTGGCGGGACGTCATGATCTCGTATCGTATATCGCCTCTCCCAGTACTCATCCGTGTAGTCCTGTTCCAACCTGTCTCTCCGGATGCTCTTCTGTTCCTTGACCAGGAACTCGGAATGCGGGTCGTTGATCCCGCCGTGATGTAACCATTCATTCAGCATGACCATATAAGGACGGCTGGCGTCCCTGAGTAGGGATGTGAGCAGAGCCCTGGCCGAGGGGTCGCCAGACATGGACTCCAGCCTCTTAGTTATGAGCCCGAGCACGACTCCTCCTTTGCAGATCTTCTTCCCGGTCATATTTCCAGGCACAAGGTCTCCCCCATCCCGCAGCTGCTCCAGGATATGGTCGTAGTCGTCTGCGCTGTCACTCGATTCATCTGTTTCGTCGTCGAGCAATGCGTTTCTCTTTAGAAGCTCATGCGCTAGGGCATATAGCTGAAACATCATTTGGCTGGTGGGAAGGATGTGGATATTGAGCACATGTAAGGTGAAAGTATTATTGGTGAGAAATTGCGTCTCGAGCTGCGCGATCATGACGAGATAGTCCTGGAGGAGCTTCCGTATCGATGCACACAACGCATGGTTCACAGACCCAAACTCTTCCCTGCTCTGGACATCGACGAATGTCTCCAATGCCGAGTAATGGGAGGCCATCTTCAACATCGAGTTGGTGAGGTCCTGTAGACTTGGGTCGAGTCCGGGAAGAATCCGAAATACCGGCCCAGAGAGCCTGTCCCTCTCCTCGTACGGGTTATAACCTTTCGCGAACCGGATATATTGGCCTTCGAAGCCCATAAAGACGAAGAGTAGGTCCTCCAGAACGGCTGCCTCCTGGGCGGCCAAGGACAGTTCCTGGAGCGGCGTTGGCTGCAGCATCTGTGGCGCCGAAGATGCCAGCGGCGGGATCGATATGCGCGATGCTAGCGGAGCGGAAGTGTGCGGCAGTAACGTAGCCTCGGGCTCCCAGGGAGCTATTTGCGTCAGCAACACTGCTATGACCGGGCTTTACCCTGGCCCGCGAACTGGATTACCTGGAGGTGCTGGCTCGACCCTAGTTTCCCTCGACCTCGTCTCGGCTGCCCTCTGCTTTGACGCTTCCACATTCCGCGGCTTGTCGCTCGGCGCTCCTCGCCGTTCCGGGCTCCTAGTCCGAGATACCAAGGTCTCCTTCGTAGTCACTTGGACCCTCTCCGTCCTCCTTTCCTCGACCGTCCGACTCGAGGGCCTGGGATTCCCCGATGCCGTCCGCTTGTGGGATGTCAGAGAAGGGGCGGCCTGCGGGGACGGGACATGTCTTCTCGAGTCGGACCGCTCGCTCTTGAAGCTATCGTGGGCACTCATGCGGGGTGGCCGTGGGGCCGCCTTGTCTTGGGCATTGCCGTTCACTCCATACGCAGAGCTTCGGGAGGCGGAGGCAGAGGCGGAAGACATTGTTTCTTTGTCGTCGTCTGCATTTGTGAAACTGTTTTATCACCTGCCGGTTCGTGAAGAGAGATCGCAAGGCGGAAACGCATGTGGGTGTCAAATCAAATGTTTACAGCGCCTGAATTTACGCAGCGACACGCGATTTGCTGGGCAGAGGGGGAACGCGGTTCTGCGGCGGGGCGCGCCTGAACGGGGATGTCGGTGTAGCTTGAGTTCACCTTGATTCCAAAATGGGATTAGTGCGGAGATCTGTGCGGGATGAGGCTGTCCGACCCACCTCAGGTTGACAGGGGTTCGTTTCTGTTGCTGGTAGCTGTGAGCTGCGTAGACCAAGTGCTTGCCTGGAGCTTCCGCAACTTCTCTTTTCCCATCTCCCACGCCCACCTACCATTGCAACCCGACGTAGAGACGACGAGCTCAGCCAGATTCCTCAATTAGACCTGGCTGTAGTGGCATAACAACACCAACACCGCCACAACTTCAACCCCCACGACACCGCGAAGATGTTTATGGCAAGATCTGAATATGGTGAGCTCCTACCTACCATAGCTGCCCGCCAAGGGAGAAGTCCAACTAACGAGACAAACAGACCGGGGCATTAAGTACACCCTCCCTACCAGCCGGGGCCTCTCTCACCACTCCCCACCACTGTCGTCCCCCGTTTTGCAACCCCCCCCCGACTGACCCCTAACCCGTGTCTCAGCACCTTCTCCCCCGAGGGCCGCCTCTTCCAAGTCGAGTACTCCCTCGAGGCCATCAAGCTCGGCAGCACCGCCATTGGGGTAGCCACGTCGGAGGGCGTGATCCTGGGCGTCGAGAAGCGGGTGACGTCGACGCTGCTCGAGACGTCGTCCGTCGAGAAAATCGTCGAGATTGACCGGCACATCGGCTGCGCTATGAGCGGCCTGCAGGCCGACGCGCGCAGCATGGTCGAGCACGCGCGCGTCGAGTGCCAGAGCCACGCCTTCAACTACAACGAGAACCTGCGCGTCGAGAGCTGCACCCAGGCCATCTGCGACCTGGCCCTGCGCTTCGGCGAGTCCGCCGACGGCGAGGAGTCCATCATGAGCCGCCCCTTTGGCGTCGCCCTGCTCATCGCCGGCTACGACGAGGACGGCCCCAGCCTCTACCACGCCGAGCCCAGCGGCACCTTCTACCGATATGATGCGAAGGCCATTGGGAGCGGGAGCGAGGGCGCCCAGGCGGAGCTGCAGAACGAGTATCACAAGGTGAGGAGGACACGGAATTCCTGTCCCATGACGACGACTATTTTGGGCTAATTTCTCTCCCAATCCCATCTAGTCTCTCACCATCACCGATGCCGAGACTCTAGTGTTGAAGACCCTCAAGCAGGTCATGGAGGAGAAGCTGGATTCGAAGAACGTCCAGCTGGCAAGCGTCACGAAGGACCGCGGTTTCAGAATATACACGGACGAGGAGATGGCAGCGGTTGTAGATCGGCTCCCGGCGAACTAGAGAAGGCTTACTTTGTCAGGCGAGCGGACATTTGGCTGCAGTACGTCTTGAAAAAGAATAGATCACGATGGAATCGGAGGCCAAGAGACAAAATCGACAAGGGTCGTGACTTCGAACTCAGATGCGTCACAACTATTCACCAAGTAATATGGATGTACCAGTAGTTAGGGAAGTGTATGACTACTACAACGACAGGTAGACCTTTTTTCCGCCAATCCAGAAGAGTGTTGGGGTTGATCCAAAAGCTCGTTCGGCAGCTGCCCTGCCTGGTATCACAAATACAAGAAGTCCGTAGCTATCTCACCTATACTATACTCGAGTTCTCTCTCATCCAACTCGCCCCCTATACAAAACTGGCTCGGCCAGTTTTGCTCATCCTCCGTCTCCGAGCTCCAGCCTGTCGAGGTCCTGTTCCACGCTGAGCAGGCCAAGAGCGTAGTGCGCCTGTTCGGATTTTGTCAATACAAATCTTCCTTCGTCAGTATCCAGCTCTTTTATGCGGCGATCGATCCTCCGAGGGTTTGTCCAGACGGATTCCGGAACAATGTGCTGCAACTCGGGAGCTCTCTCGTAGGGGGCGCCGCGGCCAAACTGTGCTGCCTTTGTCCAGGCGGATTCGCAACCGTCGGCGATTTGCCTTGCCGACTGCCACCCCGTCAGGCGTGCAATGTCATGCAGTCGCTTTATTGTCCAATGCCTCTGGACGGTATCCTGGTACTGCATTGTTGCATTAGCTTCAGGCCACGATCGGGAAACGTTGTATGGGAGGAGAAGTCTCCTTACCTGAACACCGGCGACGAAGAGGCAGAAGCAGCACTCGATAAATGCCGCCCCCAGGCTGGTGGTCACTTCGGTCATGTTGTCACAGTCCTCCGCCAAGCCTGCTGCAATCCTTCCGACATCGTTGGCAAGACGGCCGGTATGTTGCGCAGCCATTCCTGCGGCCATCATGGCTACGGGGGGCATTGACGGGTGCGCTCTGTGGAGCACAATTAGGCCCATATAGTAGCTCATCCAGATACCAGCAATGCTGTACGTCCGATACGTTATTGCGGGACCAAAAGGGGTCAGTTGTGGGGGCCCTAGATCAGGGCCCATCGGGTCAAAGTCGGGTCCAAGATTGGAGCGGAAGATGTCGAATGCCTGTCGTATAGCTTCCCACTCTCGAAGCGCGGTCGCAGTGGTCTCCTCAAGGTCCACATCTTCAGAGCCCTCGCTTTGCGGTGTGGTGTCACGCGGAGGGCTGAAGCCGGTTGGCACTGTAAACTTACCCTTGGAAGGCATAAGCCCAGGGAACATTGGTGGGGATGGATTCTGTCCCCTGCCTGCAGACTCTGATTTCCGAGCTTGTCGTTTCCGTGCCAGATCGAGCGAGGCAAAGTTGGCCAATCGTCCTAGTAGGAGCATGAGATGGTCGTATGTCCCGAATCTGCGTCTTTATAAGTCTGTTGTCCATTACGGGACGAAACCACTGGCGCGCAAGACTTACATGGCGTCAATCCTCCCAATGGGCCCTCTAGGCACGCACTGTGTCCATAGGTGGTATTCCATGCTGTCAAGCTTAGCAAGTCAGGCGCGATATGAGGCTCTTGAACAAGACTTACAATAGGCGGGTGCCTCCCAAGACGCTCTGGTAAACGTCCATCTTGCAGTACCACCAGTACAAGTCGCTGAGATTTTCATAAACCTCAACATCACGTTTCGTATACCACCCCGCAGGCCGATGGCGACCCTCACCATGCACGTAACCGTAATCCCCATAAGTGACGGTGCTGCCCGTGAGCTGGCTGAGCAGGTCGGTATTTACCTCCGTGATGTCGGGCTCGCCTTCCTGAAATTCGGGGAAGAAGGCATCGGATTCGTGTGCAACCTTCTGTCGCCGCCTCCACTTCAGATCGAGCATCGCCCTCGTCATGTCCAGAAGTGGGATTTCTTTCAGAATGGCTCTTGCGCCCCACATGTGTTTACACCACTTGGCATGATCCGAGTTCCAGATTTCATAGAAGCCGAGAAGCAAGGTGGCAGCCAACGTGGCCGCCTGGGTTCGCCTATGGGGGCTCCGGTAGTTCTTGGCAATCCTCCGGAGGCTGAGATGATAGTGTTTCATTGAGGCAGTGGCTGGCATGCCCTGAAGTTTGGCCATCTGGAGGCTACCGAGGGCCAAAATGGCCTGAAGCAATGCTGGGTGGTTCATGGATATTATGGGGAAGGTGTCTTACGAAAAGGGGTTAGCCACAGACTCGTTACATCAGTCCAGTTCCTACTTACAGGTCCAAATATGTTGGCGAACTTTAGCCACAGGCTGGCCCTGGAACATGGGCGAGGGATTGAACGGATGCCGCTCGTAGAGAGACATGCTCGGCCCGGTCACGTTCACAAAATACCAGAAAACAGCCGCCGTTTGACTATCATTCAGCGGAGAGTTCGTTGAGGAGGGAGTATAAGTTGCCAGAATGTTGTTGGCATCAACGAACCCGGTGAAAGTCCGCAGTTGAGTGCCATAGAAGTCAACAGGTGCGTTCGCACGGCGGGCGACCCGGATGCCAAGGTCATTTGATTCAAGGTGCGCAGTCTGACTTTGAAACAATGAATCCTCATCAACGTCATCATCGGAATCGGCCATGGATGCCTCATCATCAGTGTGCCAGTACCCAGATTCATGTGACATGGTATGTGCCAGCTGGGCACCACCGTCGTCCATCGATGGAGGGGCATATCTCCCGCCGGCTGACAGTGGCTGTATGCGGTCATTGGGCGAAGAGCCCTTTTCGAGAACGACGTTGGTGTCTCGGGGGCTAACCGCGGACAGGCTATGGAAGAAACCCTCCACCTCCGGCTGCGAATGAGCCGAGGTCGGCGAGGTTGGGGAGGGCTGGAACGGAGAGGACGGCTGCCCATGATGGAGAATAGGTCGGGTCGAGCTTAAGTTGAGGGCCGGACCAGGAGCTAATGGTGTCGGTTGACCTTGGTAGATCTGCCCAAATTGGAAAGGTGCGGATCCGGCAAAGTCTATGGAAGGAGGTTTCGGGGCGATTGCAGGGAGTGGCCCCTGAGAGGAAGAAGATTTGTGATGGGAAGCTGGCAATTGGGAATTGACCGACGCGTCGGAAGCCTGATGGTGGTAGACAGGGTGCCCGAAGAGAGTTGCGTGATGGAAGGCGCCGAGAGGCTCTTTGAAGGTGAGGCGCTGATTATAGCCCTCGCATTGCCTCTTGGACTTGATGCAGTTGTTGCAGGTTGGTTTCCCTTCGTCGCACTTTATGCGTCGCCTTCGGCAAGCTTAAGCAAAACATGTTAGTTAGTCAGTCCGAGGAACCGTTGAGGGTGGCCGGGAGCCGATATATGATTTGACTTACTAAGGCAGCCTGTCTTCGTTCTTTTCCGAACATTAGTCCTCCTCGGTGGCTCATCCTCCTGCTTGATAGCAGCTGCGGTGGGTGACTGTTCACCTGCCCGAGAATCATCGGGCGAACCATAGTCGGCGACTCCTTCGGCTGGATCCATCCTCACGGGCGCGGTCGGCTGTCAGAAAGGGTTTCAGCAGCAGTCCAGGCGGTAGAGCTGATTCCTCCCAAAGAGGGGCGCAATTCTTTGCATGCCCTGTAGCTCTCGCGGGATGTGGGGCAGTGAGTTGAGACGAAAGGCAGGCCGGCGAGTGTTATAAGAATGGGACGGATACAGGTCTCACCGGCAAGCCGGTAGCTGTTATGATGTTCGGCCGAGACAAGATCGACGAGAATGAGGACAAGGGGGGGAGATTGGCAGGACAAATAAAAAATCGCGGCCACCTTACGCACTTGCGGATCGAGGATTGGACGGGGGCCACGGAAGGGTGGTCATGGGCTTTAAAGGACCTCATAGAAATTACTGACACAAATCGGTGTAACTCGAAGAACTTGGATATGTGGCCAAGCGCGTTCCCGGGCGGACTTGGTGCTCCCCAAGACGGAAGCAGCCTGTGATACTGGCTTCTTTGCGACGGGCGGAGGCCGAGGTAGGGAGAGGCAAGCGCAGAGGGAGATTGATGTCCCATGAATGGAACGAAGAAGCTATCGGGTCGGACGCTCCAGCGATGACGTCCCACAGAGACTCTTCCAAGGGCTGTCCGGTTGGAGGGACAGGCCGGTGTGAAAGACGATGGCGTCAACAAATGAGAGGCAGGTAGATCGTCGATCGGCGGCAGAGCTACTGCTTCACTTGGTAGCTCGACCTACAGCACTGGTGCAGTCGGAGAAACGGAGATGGCGATCCGAACATGGCCAATGATACTGTGCGACATTAGGGCTGGCTTTCCCCGCTGGTTTAGAAGAAGGATCTGTCCAGAAGGCGAGCCTTGGACGGGGTGAGGTTGGAGTTGAGCCGGTCGGACATTTGCATGTAGGCAGGGATGTTTGCGGCCGGTTGCAGGCCTTGGGAATTGAGTTGCAGCAAGTGGGTTGATCGATAACGCCGCTTGACAGGGCTCAAGGGACTTGACTTGATGCCAAAAAGGGGGGGTGGGTGAGGGGTGAGTGGGTGAGGTGGCCCGTGGGGAGATCCACTGCCGGCTGGAGACGAGGAGCTACCTGGGAGAGAGTGGGGGGCTGGTGAATGCTATTATTCCTAGCTCGTAGGTTCCTGGTTCCCTGTCTACCAGTATCCGTATATTTCGCCCGCCCGTCCTCCTCCTCCTGCCACCTCACACACACAAGACACTGGTTTCCTCAACGGACCGAGACTAGGCGGCCGGACGACATGGCTGCGCGACTAGAGTAGTGTCGACAACTGCCTACGGATTGTTAGTGTGCACCCCAGGTCATCTTGATGGGGCGGTTGTGGATGCTGCGAGACCTCAGCCAATCACCAGAAACGAACTAGACCTGGTCTGCGGTGTCCACCATGGCTTGGTCGTGGCACACAGACCGTGCAACACAAACGATAGGGGATCTGGAGGCTCATGGGCTCTAGCGGCTTGGCCTTGAAAGGGGATTTAGCCATTTGCCACAATGCGTCAGGTCTGGAAAAGGGCCGAGATGGCTTCGTAGAACCCCCGGCACGGCAAGGGCTTGCCCGATGCCGGTGAAAAGACGATGGGGGAGCACATCGACAGGAAGTTACAGAGGTAGGAGCTAAAGTACAGTACAGCTCCAGCTACCTACAGCTACCTACAGCTACCTACAGCCACCTACAGCTACCATCGAGCTGCACCGGAGATGCGTGCCGCGCATTGGCTCATGTACTGCACCTGTATCCGCACATACCTCAGCAACGACCTAGACCAGAATTTCTGTTGCAGCAGTCCTCTTTGGCCTAGCACATTTAACTGGCTGTTAATACGTCCGTATCCCACCCAGCAAGGAATGAGGTCGGAAACCTGCGGTGATGGGACGGACTCATTTATTCTGCTTCTCGAAGCGGGGCCAGCGTTTTGTGCGTACGGAAAGCCACATAACCAGGTATGCGCAAGGTTGGATGGATTGAGTCGACCGCTGCCGGTGCCCATCAACCTTGCATACCGGGCCTTCAGGGCTTCGAGCACATCGTGGCGCGAACTTGGGCTTTGCGTGCGTATGCCAAATTATATGACACTGCTGGCGGTTACTGTGTTAGTCGGCCGTCGAACGGACTGCCAACCGGAGTTAATACCCACCTACGGAGGATGCCGCTGGCCGATATGCCCCACTTTACTTTCCTGTGCTTCCCCACTAAAATTTATTTTCGAGATGAATTGGATGCGACGAACCTGCCTCAACAGCCATCTTACCTAGACATAGGCATAGACGTACCAGCAAGAGTCTGGTCCATTGTCATTGACCCTAGTGACCATCATGTTTGCCGTGACTGGCTGGTCGGTATCAGCCGCCAGCATCAAGCCTGAGGGAGCCGGCCCAACCACCACGTCTGAGCCTGGCAAGACGAGGAAGCGGAAGAGGCCCAACTCCAACAACAAACTGAATGTCACAAATGACAATGTTGCCGACCTTTGGGAGAAGATTATCGAGCAAAAGGGATCTGATCCTCATGCCGGAAAGAAGAATCCCAAGTCTCAGCCTTCCGACGGAAAATCCGAGAAGCCAAAGAGGGAGCGGAAGAAGGCAAAGCGTGAAGCAGCCGTCGCAGACTCATCCACACCATCCGATAGTAAGCTGGCTGGGGGCGAGGATGAGGAGTGGGGCGGCTTCGAAGACGATATAAGCGATGAGGACCAATCCAAGGCAGGGAAGTCCAACAAAAAGGACAAGAAGCCAAGCGACCGAGTCGTTGACAGCGCAAATGTCCATGCAGCAGAGAAGAGCCCAATGCCCAAAAAGGAGAAAGCCATCAACCGCCGAGAGTCCGGAGACAAGAAACAGGGAGATGACAAGTCTCCAGATGTCGGACAGGAGAGAGCGAGAGAGGCCTCTGCTGAACAATCCAAGTCCAAGCCCAAGCCCAAGTCAGAGAGCACTGCGCAACCCTCGCCAGCAACGACGGCCACCCCACCTACCGCTCCGAAGCTCACGCCTCTCCAGGCGTCGATGCGCGAGAAGCTGATATCGGCCCGATTCCGCCACCTCAATGAGACCCTGTACACGCGGCCGTCCGCCGACGCCTTAAAGCTGTTCAAGGACTCGCCCGAGATGTTCGCCGAGTACCACGAGGGCTTCCGCCGCCAGGTCGGCGTCTGGCCCGAGAACCCCGTGGAGAGCTACATCGCCGAGATCCAGGCGCGCGGCCGCGTCAAGCCCAGCAGCAATCGCCGATCCTACGGGCCGCCCGCCGCCCACTCCGGGCCCGTCCCGCTCCCGCGCACCGACAGCACCTGCACCATCGCCGACCTCGGGTGCGGCGACGCCGCCCTCGCCGCCGCCCTGCAGCCGCTGCGGCGCAAGCTGCGCCTCGACATCCGCTCCTTCGACCTGCAGTCGCCGTCGACCCTCGTCACCCGCGCCGACATAGCCGCCCTGCCCCTCACCGATGGCGCCGTCGACGTCGCCATCTTCTGCCTCGCCCTCATGGGCACCAACTGGCTCGACTTTGTCGAGGAGGCCTACCGCGTCCTGCGCTGGAAGGGCGAGCTCTGGGTCGCCGAGATCAAGAGCCGGTTCGCCGCCGGAGCCAAGGGCAAGAGGCCCGGGGGAGGCGCCATGGTGGAACACAGCGTGGGGAACCGGAAGAAGAATGCCACTGCCACCGCCGCCGGCAAGAAGGCCAAGTCCGCCGCCGTCGAGGCCGCCGGCGTCGCGGCGGATGCGCAGCTGGCCGTCGAGGTGGACGGGGCCGAGGACAGGAGGCAGGACACGGACGTGTCGGCGTTCGTCGAGGCGCTGGCGAAGAGGGGATTCGTGCTGCGCGGCGAGCCGAGCGAGGCCGTCGACCTGGACAACAAGATGTTCGTCAAGATGTACTTCGTCAAGGCCGCCACGCCGACCAAGGGCAAGGGGGCGGTGGCTGTCCGACCTGGTCGGGACGGAGGCTTCGCGAGGCCGGCGAAGAAGAAGTTCATCCCCGCGGACGGGGAGGAGGCGGCAGCGAACGAATCGGCCATCTTGAAGCCATGTGTCTACAAGCTGCGCTAGATTTGCCTCCTGTCCTGTTGCTGGTGAGCTATGCCTCTCTGCAGATCTTATCTATGGCTTACTAGTCGGAGGCATCGAGGCTTGGACGAAGGTCCGCCCTATTTGCCCGCCGAATATCATACTGTGTAATTTGATGGGTTGGCAATGTCCCGTCAAGGACGACATGACTAAATCAGGCCAACTCTGCTTCCATCTGGCACTCCCATCTAGCACATATTGTCGCGGTTAACGACCACGTTGCCTAAATACCACCCCGTATCTAGCTAGGTAGAGTGGCAGTCAAAGCTGTATGCAACTAGTCATGAGCGATGTAAGCCTTCCGATGCCATGTCCGGGACTCCAGTGATGTCCCTCAAACAGAATCTTTCAGTACCTATGGCGCCTTTCTAGTTACGTGTAGACCAATCCCTCCCATTTACCGATTCCAAATCACTACCGAGACTGCGCGCACCGTGCCATGTTTATGTAGAATCGGTGGGACTAGCGAATACCATGTACCCGACTCCTTTCCTCTATACCCTGGAAGTTCACCGGTCAATCCTCGAAGATCGAGGCGGCCGCGTATTCCACGTTCCCCCCCGTCTGCCGTAACGCCTGGATCGCCCTCTCCCTCCCCGCCCCAAGTGCCATGAGTTGCTGGATGTGCTCCTCCGGAAACTCAGGCTGGGCAGCAGCAGCAGGCTGAGTGCCCTGAGGGGGGTGCGGGCCGGGATGTACAGCTGTCGAAGGTCCCGACGGTGCCGACACGGCGCCGGATCGCTGGCCAATGGTCATGCCTCCGGGTCCAGGCACCTTCGGCTCTTCGTCCAGAGCCTCTTCCGCCTCCTTCGGGATGTCTGCCTCCCCCAAGAATGGTATCTCGAACCCTTGGATAATGAGCTTGTCCTTAGCAAGATCGATGCTTGCCTGGTGACGCTTGAGCATGTCTAGGCCGAGAAGGAGCTCCACCGACTTGCCCTCCATCACAGTGAAGCTACAGGGCAGGAAAAGAGCGCCGATCTTGATCTGGGCCGAGTGCACACGACCGATAATGGTAGCTGTGCCAACACCACGTGCTACGCCCGCAAACCGTTTGTCCACAAGGCGCATGATGCCGCAGGCCTCGGCGCAGTTCCGGCTCATGATGGTTGCCTGGGCGCCCGAATCAACCAAGGCCTTCACCTTGTGTCCATTGACTTCCACATCGACGCAGAGCATGTGGACCCGGCCGAAGACTAAGAGCTGTCAGTGATGGGCCCGATCGCTATACTACGTAATCAAATGGACACCAAAAGCCAGAGTGAGCCTATAGTTTACGCACCTTCAGGGTTGTGCTCCATGGCGTTCTGCAGGTTCTCCATGACACGCTCCTGACGAATCATCTCCTCAATCCTAGCCTGAGCCTCGACATCAAACGGGTCTTCGTTCAGCCGGTTGATCATCTGCTGCCGCTCGTACCGCTCCCTCCGCTCGCGCTCGTAGCTCGCGTTAAACAGCTGTGCAAACCGTTGGGGGTCCTCCAGCGCCGCGCTGAGCTCGGGCTGCTGCCTCTGGATCTCGGCCCTCAGGCGCGGGTCGCCCAATATTTGCAGCCGGACCAGCTCCGGGTCCTGCTCCACGCCGGGCCTCCGGCCAGCCGACGACGACGACGACGACTGGTCCGGGCGGGCCCTGCTGGCCCCGGGGGTGGGGATGCCCGTGGAGCCCCGCATGTCACGGACGTGGAGAGCCAGCATGTCGCCATCACCAATGTTCAGTTCCGCCATGGTCTTGGAGTCGTCGGTGATGAGCTGGCCATTGTGGTACAGGTGCTGGGCGGTCGTGTCGATGCGGGTCTCGGCTTGGATTGAGCCACGCAGGGTGTCGACGGTCATGTCGGGGTACACATCGAGAGAGAGGAGATCGCCCTCGTGGCCCTCGATTTCGGGGTTGGCGATACTTAGTGTGATGCGCCTGCGAAAATAGAGTTGGTAAGTTGATAAGCTCCCAAACACTGCCAAGGCTGTTTGAAACGACACCTACATCTTATGGGGTCTACGATGTTTGCCCGTCGGCAAAGGGTCCTAAGGAAGGCAGGGTTTGGTGAAGAGGGAAAAAGAAAACGCAGACCAGGGTGAGATCTTAAGAGAAGGGAAACGAGGCTCAGATGTTGGGGGGTGGAAGGGTGAGATCGATTTATTAGTCAATCCCCGCTGGTCATTTAAGCTCGTGATGGAAGTTCGGAAGAAGGTCAGCTCCAACCTTGGAATCTAGGTACCTACGCTAGCTTTGGCTGGAACCGCTTCTCAGCACGCTGCAGATGGCCAGAGCGCCTCTCCGAAACCCGGATGGTGCTGGTTCGTTCCCGGTCGGCTTTACGGTTCATTCACGTTTGTTTTTTCCTCAGCGACATCCTCCTTATTAGGTAGGTAGCAGGCTGTACCGTGCCCCGCTATGGGACACGATGAGGTCAGACCAAGAGGTGACCGCCTACTGCAAGGATCCGAATGGGGGAGTCGTCTGCTGCATAGTAGACTAGGAAGATGAAGAGACACAGCTGGTTGCACCTCTTGACTGGCAGCAAGCGACGTGGAATGCAGTGGAGTAGTACATACATGCAGAGCAATCCATCTTGGGAGCTGCCTCACTAGTCACTATCATGGCGACGAATGCCGGGGGCTTGCAATCTGGAACCCACTATCTAGGTCAGGATGCGAGTTTCGGAGAATTCCCATCACAGATCTTGCGCTGTGACCGTGCGCACCCTTGGGTCTAACCGCAGGTTGCAGGGCTGCGCCGCACAACCGAGAATGTATGCGGGTAAGTCTACTTTGGTGGTTTCCTACTTAAAGCGTACTCATCTGTTAGAGTGTGAAATGTGTATTCCGTATAGAACAACGCGACACTGCGAGGATACCTAAGCAGGTAGTATTGATTACTGAACAGATTATATATAAGGCCCACCAACCTGGGAGATCCCGCTCCAGCAGGTAAGGTACCTAGGTTTCGAACGGGAATACGCAGCTTCCACAGGTAGGGGCGACAGGTTGCACTACATATAAGTCAAGGTACGCAGGCATTCCACTGCATTGCGGGCATAGATAGATGGAGGTGCTTGAGCATGATGGCACCTAGCCCTGTCAACGAATCGCCGCATCGACTGGGCTAGGCTCCGGAGCTTCCCCCAGATTCTCCACATTGACCAGATCACCTACCAGACAAGGAGCATGGAGCAGAGGAGGAGGGGTCTTCTTGCGGGGTATTGGTATAAGGGGCTTGATAAGATAGGTAGGTAGAGGTACCTTTTACTTTGAGACCCCCCCAACGCAGAAATGCTCGAGATCTTCCGTTACCTTGGTCCTAGTTCGTCCCTCTTAGGGGCACTTGACCGCATCGCGTCGTATGTAGGTAACTTATGTGTCATTTGGAAGGCGGGATGGCTCGTCGTGGTTGCTGATCGTCTCCTTGCTGTCTCTCTGTGGGGTAGTTGTGACACGCCACACAACCAAGCCTGGCAACTCGCGCCTCCTGATCCACCACCACCGTCCTGTCGGCTGCTTGGGAAACCTTGAGAAACAAGCCCACAGAGACAAGTAAGTTTGCCTTGGGTAGGTTTGGAAACATGCCCTGCTCCTCGTAATCCTGTAGTTAATTGCTCCCACATCCCACCCCTCCCTACACTTTGTTGACCTCTTTTTCCTTTGCCTCCGATCACCAACTTTGCTACATCCCCAGCGTAACCCTAGTTGACCTTGGTCACGCGACGAGGGGATCTGTCAACCACTTCTTCCCCTAGCTAGCTATAGCTGAACTCAGTTATCCCCCCCCCCCTTCCGGCCTGGCGCTTCTGTTCATCGTTTGCGTCTTCTTTAACTCCCCTCCCCCTTTTGTTCCATACGACTTGGACTGCAACCATGTCGAACCAAGACTTAGAGACCTCTGCGCCGGGCGAGGCCGCAGACAATTATGTTTATGAGAATGACGATGCCGTGGATGAATCTGGCGAAGCTGATGGCGACTTCGTCCTGCTTCAGAAGGACTTGAGCAGGAAGAAGCGAGCTGCCAAGGATTGCACCAACTCCCGGATACAGAAAGTCTTGCCCTTTCCATTCTCGCCCAATATTCGTCCCTTGACCATCTCCGACCTTGAATCCGTTGTTGCTTTGGAGAATGCAGCCTTTCACAACCCAGAGTGTCGAGCAAGCCCAGAGAAGGTGACGTCGTCCTGCAGGGCCAGATCTGCCGTCCAGCGTGATCTAACTGAGCCCAGCTCCGATATCGTCTCACTACCTGCCCAGAGATCAGCCTAGGCGTCTTCTGCACCGTTGTTCCCGACCAGCTCAAAGACTGGGACATCGAGACCCTGGCTGCGGCGAAGCCAGTCGAGACGGATCGCGCCGACAAAGCTGTGAGTGTGCTGCTGGCGCACATTGTCTCTACTCGATGTCGTGGCGACGTTATCGCAGACCAAGACATGGACTACCCTAGGGACTGGCGCAATCTCAAGGGGAGGTCGGTGGACGTTGGTCACCAAGAGACTGGTCAGACCGTGGGCCTACACTCGCTCGCAGTCTCGCCTAAGCTGCAAGGCTGTGGCGTTGGAAAGATGATCGTCAAGGCTTACCTTCAGCAAATGAACAACTCTGGGCTCGCCAGCCGAGTCTCTCTTATCTGCCAGGATGTAGGACGTGCCCGCGGTCGAAGATGGGAATACCCTGCGCTGACCACTGCTTTTAAGTACCTGGTCTGTTACTACGAACGGTTCGGTTTCAAACACAAAGGAGAGAGCAAGGCTCAGTTTGGAGGTGGTGGCTGGCACGACATGGTAACCTTTGTGACACCGTTGCTTACGATAATGAGAGAGCTGACAATCTTATCCTGACAAGGTCTTTGAGTTATTAGGGCCCCCCAAGACGCCCCTTTAATCGTCCCACCAGCAATATGGGACGCGATCGGGAACCATGTGGGGTGGGAATTGAGCTCCCTCCCCGACATCTAGCTACCTACCATGTAGGGTTCGTTATACGGCATTGTGATCGCTATCGAACCCGGGGATTGCAGATTCTGTGTTTTTGGTTCAAAGCATCGGATGAGTTCTACGGTCGGGGAATAGAATTGGGATAGACATGCATAGACAGGGTCCCGGAGTTATAGATGGTTCAGGGCAGTGATCGGTCTACCGGGACACCGGGACGTTCAAGTATTGGGATAATCACGTAGGGGTTCAACCTGCGGCTTGGATAACCGTCGTCGGAGTAGTGGTTAACTTGGAGCTGCATACCCGCCTGGGAGACACGGGCAGCTCTGGCAAGAAAGGTAACTGCCACCCAGACGACCGTCAAGACGAGGCCACCTAGTCGCTTGCTTTATACTTCGCTCGGTACTCCTCAGTCCTTCTGGTGTCCTCTTCGCTGGCGAAGCTCTTCATCCCTGCGATGATATCATCAAGCGTAAGGATGGCGATGATGGGAATGTTGTATTCCTTGCGGATCTCTCCAAGAGCGCTAGGCATCGGCTTGCTATCGTCGCCGTCGGGTGAAGGCAGCTTCTCCATGCGGTCCAAGGCGACCACGATGCCGACCACTGTCCCGCCTTCCTTCCTAATCTTGGCGATGGCCTCTCGTTTCGCCGTCCCGGCCGTTATCACGTCGTCCACGATGAGCACTCTCTTGCCCTTCAACGGCGCCCCGACAATGTTGCCGCCCTCTCCGTGGTCCTTGGCCTCCTTCCGGTCGAACGAGTAGCATATCTGCCCGTAAGTCTGCGGGTCCAGGTCGGCAAGCTTGTCTGTGGTTGACGTTGCAAGAGGGATTCCCTTATACGCCGGGCCGAAGATGATGTCGAAGTCCAGTCCGTCTTGCTCCCGAGCCTCGATTATGGCCTTCGCGTACGCCGTCGTGATGGCCCGGAGCAGGTCGGCACGGTAGAAGTCACCGGCGTTGAAGAAGTAGGGGGATATGCGCTTGGACTTCAGCTCGAAGCTGCCGAACTTGAGGACCCCGCCATTGATGGCCGCTTTGAGGAAATCGGCCTTGTACGGAGTGAGAGCCGCCATTTCTGCTCGGCTGGTGGAAGGTATATATGGTTGCACAAAAGAGGCAAGACGGAAACGATAATTCAGAAAGATATCACCTTGGGAGGAGAAAATTCCATGGCCCTTAATAAGAGTTTTTGAAATTCCTTAGTATATGCCGATTTCTGATGCCTCCATTCGCCGCACGTGATCCACTACCTCCTCCAATCAGAAGCTTAGTCCTGTGACCCACTCCTCGACCCAAAGCTTCACTTACCAGTTGCTCAACCGCAGAAGTCAACAGCTCTTGATGAATACTTCACGCCCCAGTCCCTCAATCCTTCTCCCCCTCTTCTCCTTTTTCCTTTCATTTCTTTTCAGTTCAAACGGCTGTATTCCATCCAATAGCAAAATTGCTGCACGTTGGCTTAGACGTGCAATGCCGCGCGTATGTGTCGGCATTTTGTGTGTCTTGAAGGCTTAGAGACTGAGTAGTAGCCAAAGAAGAGAGGGAGTTACGAGGTGCTTCCCAAGCAGCCTCGCAGTTTCAGGCCTCCCCACCCGAAGACCACCCTGATTGATAGAAACCACCAACCTCACCCCGGACCAACTTCAGCGCCTAGGCGCCATGGACGTCGAAACAGAACGCATGATGTCCGTCATCCAGGCCCGCTCGGGTGACGCTAGCTGCCAAGAACAGCGAGGCACTGGATCCTTTCGTGGCCAGGTTGGACGAGCCCGGGCTGTCAATGCTCAGGCTATTCATGATCCTAGTCTGTCTTGCACCATCTCGGGGCTTCGTGCTCAGCTTCTTGTCTTCGTCACATATCACCTATCTCAAGAACCCAATTTCATCATCTTGAAAGTCATACTGCATTTCTACTGGGAAAGTTCCAGTCATCTCATGGCTATTTATTCGCGTAGTGATAGCCTCTCGTCAGCATGGACAATTTCTTCATCGGCGCCATTGGTCCACCATATACAAGTCTGGCTTTGCTTATTTCGGCAACTGCCTCCGCAGCTGCCACCAGACGTAAGTCATCAGAACAGCTCCGACCGCCATACATGTGCCAATAAAGACCTCCATCCTCCAGAACTCGGCCTTCTCAAGGTCGACCAGTGCGCTGCCCAGCGGCGCCCCGAGGATGACGCCCAACGCCGCCGCCGCCGAGCCTATGCCCATGCGCGCCCCGATCACCTCCCTGCTGGGACACATCTGTGGGATGATGGCGGGGAAGAAGACGGCCAGGGGTGCCATGACGACGCCGAGCATGACGATCCACGCCTCGAAGCCGGCCATGCTATGGACTGCTAGCCAGGCGTAGAGCACTAGCGCTGACGCGGCCGCGCATGCGAGCATGCCGCCCGATACGCCAATGCGCTGGATGATGAAGACGGCGAACAGGCGGCCCGGCAGCGTAGCGGCGTTGGTGATGACGAGTAGGTGGAAGGCCCATGGGCCCGAGGCGCCAAGGGCGAACTCGGCGAAGGTGGGAATCAGGAAAAAGGGGACCCAGTACGCAACCCACATGAAAAAGAGGGCAAAGCAGAAGACGCTGAATATGGGCTCCTTCAGCGCAGTCAGGTCGAATAGCATGCGGGCCTTGCCGGCAACAGCAGCGGTGGAGCGGGCCTTGGTCGCACTTGGGAGGATGATGGGCAGTGCAACGAGGAGCCCGGCTAGGGTGACGAAGCCGAGGACGCGGGTAGTCCAGGCAAAGCCTAGGGAGGGGAGCAGACGTACGAAGATGACAGGATACAGGATGCCACCCACGGCGGTGCCCGACGTGGCGAGGCTAACGGCGAGCGCACGGTGCCGGGGGCCGAAGGTCGCGGCCACGGTGGCGATGCTGGGGGTGTAGAGGATGCCGCTGCCAATGCCGACGCACCAGCCCTGAGCAAGCATGATCTGGTAGTACTCGGTGGCGAGGCTCAGCATCATGACGCCGAGCACGGTGAGGAGCGTGCCTGCGACGAGGAGCTCGCGGACGTGGCCACGGTCGTAGATTGGGCCGGTGATAATGCCTCCCATGATGAGCAGAACACCTTGGATAGTGCCGATCCAGGCAATCTTGTCCGTGGGGGTATCAGGAAGCATGGTTGTCTCATAGTAACTCTGGTATGAGCCGTAGGCGCTGAGCAGGCCCCTGGTGTGCGGCAGGTCAGAAACATCATCACATCGTGCCGGGTCGGGGAGGCCGGATGAACGTACCAGGTTGCTATGTAGACGAGAAAAGCGCCGATTACTTAGGAGCCATGTCTTCACACCTACCTTGGAGGGCTCCTCTGCGAGCTGTGCCTCTGCAACAGGCGGTGTGGTGCGGCTTCGATCCGACATGGCTGCGGGTTTCGTAAGTCGATTGCATGATTTCGAGGGGAAAACCAGTCACTTAGCATCTAAGTACTCGCCAACGTTGTCCGGGGGTGGACGGAGCAACAGATTATATCCAGCCCCGACTTGTTTGGCAGGCGAGGAGCTTTGCCTTAGGAGCTACACCACGAACATGTACCTACCTATCTTACGTCAACTCTCCGTCTGCGTCGTGGACAAGCTTTCCACGTTCAACACAAGAAGTGACTCGTCAGTTCAAAATAGCCCAATTTGGCTCTGCCTCCCCACAAGTCGCTCCTCCGGAAAGCTCCCGGCCTTCCGTCGTTTGTGATAAGTTGCAGTCGTTGACTCGTTGTCTAGTGGCATGACTACGTCGTATGTATAGAAAGTTGGGGGTGTAGAGCTGCCAGTACTACTTTCTTTGATAGAAAAAGCACCGATGTAGCTATTTTTGAAAAGTCTCTCCTGCGCTGACGCCATCGATCATCCCGGGCTGGTTACACATGCCGGGGCTCTCTCACGCCCTGTTTAGGAGGTTAGAAGCTGTGTTATGTCCGTAGGTCCCCACTTCTTCCTCCACTAGGCTCCAAGTAAGCTTCCTCTATAGTCCGGCTCAAGGACCCGTTACTCTTTTTCTCGGGTCTGTTCCGAGGTCCCGTCTTCCGGGACAGGGGTCCTCCCCCTCCGAGCCCAGGGCTCCACCGTGGCTTGGAGGGAGGGAGGTGCATGATCCAGGTCATGACACTAATCATGGTCCAAGATCTCCATTAGCTTAGGATTTAAGGGGATTAACACCATGTAATTGTGATTACGGAGGTCACTACCAAAAGTTCTTTGACCACTGGAATTTAGCCACCAGACCCGGAAGAACGTCTTCTACAAGGCGAGATTCAACGTGGATTTGACCCTGACACTGACCCTGCCATACGCAACTGTCACGTGGAAGATGCCCCCCGATCTGAACGCCCACGCAAGTAAGACGCTACAAAAAACAATGTCCTTGGCCTAGAAGATTCGCCATGGTCAATATGTGTAGGGGATTGAGGAAGCCTGGGCATGTGCTAAGAAGTAGGGCCGTAGCACCGCAGCCACTTCTTAAGGCGTCAACCTCCTCTTGCCTCTCTGCAAGAGGCGGTCTCTTCTGTCAATATGAATTAGACTACATTGTCAAATCCGTGTTATCTTCTGTGTTATTTGCAAAACCTTCTACCTGACCGGACAGTGTGATTAACCCGTGACAAAAGAACTGAAGCTGATTTGGTTATTTGGTGGTTTGCGGGGGCAGTTGGCTATTGGGGCGTGGAGGACAGGTGACACCGGGCCGGCTGATTTTTACGATCTGCTAAAGATTTTGGCATGGCCGCCAGATACTTCTGTTGTATTAGCCCATAACCAAAATTGAATTATAGTCGCTATCGTTGTTGGTGTTTTGAACTTCATAGTGATAGCAGCGGCGATAGCAGTAATAGCAGCGACAGCGGCAACAACAGCGGCAACAACAGCAGTGGCAATAACAACAGCAGTGGCAGCAGAAACAGCAGCAACGGCGGCGACGGCGGCGATACTGGCGAGAGCGCCATTGCACCTGTGGGACATCTGGCAGCAAACATCGCGACCCGGTGTCACCTGTCCCGCACAGATCCCTTGCCCCAATAGCCAACTGCCCCTGCCTCCAGAGAAAAGCTCTTCTGGAAGAGAATTGCTACGCAAGCCTGGGCAGTCTGGTACTCAAGCCTGGGGTCTGTGCAACACAGCTGGTGGCAGGCTGTCGGAATTTCTAGCAGGTGCCAGTATCCTCTCCCATCGCCATCCCCATCCCCGTCGCCGTCGCCATCCCCGTCCCCATCGCCATCGCCATCCCTGTCCCTATCGCCGTTGCTGTTGCCATCGCCATTGCTGTTGCCATTGCTGTTGCCATTGCTGTTGCCATTGCTGTTGCCATTGCTGTTGCCATTGCTGTTGCCATTGCTGTCGCCATTGCCATCGATATTGCCATCGCTGTCGCTATTGCCGCCCCTGCCACTATCGCCGTTGCTATCGCCATTGCTGTCGCCGTCGCCGTCGCTATTGCCATTGCTATCGCTGTTGCCGTTGCTATCGCTATTAATGTCGCTATTGCTATCGCTGCTGCTATCACCATTGCTATCGCTAACAGTATTGCTATTGCTATTGCTGCTGCTGCTATTTTCATCGCCATTGCCATTGCTATCGCTGTTTCTATTGTTATTGTCATTGCCATCGCCGCTGCCATTGCCATTGCCGTTGGTATTGTATTGGTATTGTTAGTCAGGCTGCCCTCGCCATCACCTGCCAATTTTCGGAAGACAGCTGCCAAAAGTCTACCAGCCTGCCACCAGCTGAGGCGCACAGACCCCAGGCTTGAGTAGCAAACTGCCCAGGCTTGCGCAGCAGTGCCCTTCTGGAAATGGTGGGTCTGGACCAGGACTGCCCAACACAGGCACTTTTTGTGAAAACGAAACTTGGGAGGATACCAAATTTTGGAATCCATACCAAAATTTGCGGGGTTATCGATAGAAGATACACCTTATCGATAAGCACCCACCCCTGTAAGTGACCCACTTAACTTTGACTAGCACAGGCGGTGGAGGGGAACACCCAAAAAATAAAAAATTCGAAACTTCAGTTGTCGAAATCCGTCCCCGCCTCACCACAACGTGCAAGTCAATAGACACAGATTGACGAACACAACCGCCCAAGATGCCGCCCAAGACGACGTGGAAGGTACGAGGATTGTATTTCCAGCCCGACTAGAGAGTGGAATATTCTGACCATTACGTCTAGGATATTGCCCCGGTGCCAACCGCCCAAGAATTCCTCGACATTGTCCTCAGCCGAACACAGCGAAGGCTCCCAACCCAAATAAGAGCTGGGTTCAAGATCAGCAGGATAAGGGGTAATACGCGCTCCAATTACCGGCCTTAATATTCGCTCAGGTCTGACGAGTTCCGCAGCTTTCTACACTAGGAAGGTCAAGTTCACACAGGAGACGTTCAGCGAGAAACTCGGGAGCATCCAGCAGAGCTTCCCGGTTCTCAATGACATCGCTCCGTTCCACCGAGATCTCATGAACACGCTGTACGATGCGGACCACTTCAAGGTTGCTCTAGGTCAGGTTTCGACGGCGAAGCACCTCATCGAATCCATATCGCGAGACTACGTCCGATTGATCAAGTTAGTCGCACCCACCACCCATACTCCCTTACTGTTGAACTGGTGTTGACCCACAATGCAGGTATGGACAGTCGCTGTTCCAGTGCAAGCAGCTGAAGAGGGCTGCGTTGGGTAGAATGGCCACAATCCTGAAGCGACTCAAGGACCCGCTTCTGTACCTGGACCAAGTTCGGCAACATGTGAGTCTTTCTCTCGTCAGCAGCGTCGCATTGGTATAGTGCTAATCGATATGGGCAGCTGGGCCGACTTCCGTCAATCGATCCGAACACCAGAACCCTGTTGATCTGTGGCTATCCGAACGTTGGGAAGAGTTCGTTCCTGCGCAGTGTCACTCGTGCCGACGTTGAGGTGCAGCCCTATGCCTTCACGACCAAGAGTCTCTACGTTGGCCACTTGGACTACAAATACCTCGTGAGTCTCCAGCCACAGACTGAAGAGCCATGGCACGATGCTTACAACTACTCCCAAGAAATTCCAATGCATAGATACCCCGGGTCTGTTGGATCGACCGCTGGGTAAGTAAACAAGCGCTCCGATTTGCACAGGGATTCGTTGCTAAACAGCCATTCTTTAGATGAAATGAACACGATCGAGATGCAGAGTATCACGGCCATTGCTCATCTCCGGTCCGCCATCCTTTATTTTATGGATCTGAGTGAGCAATGTGGTTATTCCGTTGAAGCCCAGATCAACCTTTACAAGTCCATCAAACCGCTCTTCAGCGGCAAGTTGGTCTTCATTGTAATCAACAAGGTAACTTCCTCAGCAAGACCACCAGGCACACCCATACCCCTCGAGTTGCTAACGCGACTCTTTAGATCGACATCAAGCGGCCCGAAGATCTTGACCCAGAGACTCAAGCCGCCTTGCAGGGCATGCTGAAGTCGGGCGAGGTTGAGATGCTCCAGCTTAGTTGCAATACGCAAGAGGGTGTGCAAGCCGTAAAAAATGCTGCCTGTGAGCGCCTGTTGGCAGACCGTGTCGCCCAGAAGCTCAAGGCGGGGACTACTAGCAGCGGGGCGGTTGGTGGCAGGCTTGCTGATGTGATGAGCCGCATCCATGTCGCCCAGCCGCTTGACGGCGTCACTCGAGAGGCGTTCATCCCGGAAGCCGTGAAGTACATGAAGAAGTATGACAAGAGCGACCCAGAGAAACGAAAGCTGGCAAGGGATGTAGAAGGGGAGAATGGTGGCGCGGGAGTCTTCAACGTCGACCTGAGGGCAGACTATCTCCTCAAGGACCCAGCCTGGAAGTACGACAAGGTCCCAGAGCTCCTCGATGGAAAGAACGTATACGACTACATCGATCCAGATATCGATGCCAAGCTTCAGGCTCTCGAAGAGGAGGAAGAGAGGCTGGAGAAGGAAGGCTTCTACGACTCGGAGGAAGATATCGACGACTCAGAGGAGGAGATCCTCCACAAGGCCAGTCTCATCCGCGAGAAGCAGGCCCTGATCCGCAACGAGGCCAGGATGCGCAAGTCGCTAAAGAACCGGGCCATGATCCCTCGGAAGTTTGGGAAGAAGACCATCTCGCAGCTCGACGACCACCTCGACGAGCTGGGCGTCGACACCACAGACATTGTGCGCCGCGCCAGGGAGCAGTCGACGACGCGCGGCCGTTCCACGACCAGGAGCCGACTGGGCACCGAGGACGGCGACGCCATGGACGTCGACTCGGCGCAGACGGCGCAGGAGCGCTTCCGGTCGCGCAGCAGGGCCCGCAGCCAGCCGGCCGTCAACCGGAGGGAGGACGGCGTGCAGGACGTGACCTCGCGGAGCAAAGCCGAGAGGGCGGCCAAGCTGGGCCAGCGCAAGATGAACCGCATGGCCAGGCAGGGCGAGGCCGACAGGCACGTCGCCGCGGCGCTGCCGAAGCATCTGGTGAGTCTACAGAAGACTGGGCAAATGGCTATTTGCCTCTCCCCGACTCCCTGCAGAAAACGTGCTAACTCGATAATCAGTTCGCAGGGAAGAGGGGAATGGGGAAGACGTCTCGGCGTTAGGCCGCAACACCTGGTTGCAGAACCGGTTTCTTGCTTCTTCTTTCTTATGGTCAGTAGAGTCAAGGGTCACGTCACGGCGTTTTTTCTTCTTCTCCCCAGACTTTTCTTATTTCTCTTAGTGGGCGGATGGAAATAAATCCCGTATGCTTTCTGCCTTTGCTTTTGCTCTCGCTGTAGTCATGATAGATACCGGCTTTTAGTGAATACCAATACAAGATCTTTACGAGGAAAAACACTCCAAATGCGGAGCACACGAAGTAGATCCGGCAGGGCTATAAAATAAGCTATTTCTCGTTTACGATCTCGACCGATTACAACCCCTTCCTTCACCTGTGTGTGAGACGTAGATAGGTAGGTAGGCTACGTGATCCTCCAATCCGAAAAGCCGCAGGAAGAAATGATTTGCCTTTTTTGTTCTCTCTTCTTGAATTCAAGTCATCCGCCGCGCCTATCCCGTGCATCCTTCTCTGGGCTCATTCTATGGACCCGGTATGCCTGCTCTGTTTACTCGTCGCTAGCTACCTGGATGCCCTCTCTCAAGCCCTCAACCACCAGCTCCTGGCCAGCGCAGCGGTGATAGATGTCTCTGACGTCGTCGGTTGTCGACTCGAAATGGCTGCTGGCGTCGTAGCTCTTGGAGATGAAGATGTTGTCCTTGGTACCGTCCTCGAGGGGTTCGTAGAGGGGAATTGGTGGTCCCTAGGGAGCGAGGTTCGCCCGAGTTAGTATTCATGTATCTGACGAGCAGCGTATCGAGGAGAATGGGATCCACAATAGGGGTGGGGGATAAAGGGAAATAAATGGCATACCATGAACTGCTCCTCAATCTTGCCGAGGCGCTCAAGGCCAGCGGCGAGCTCGAGATGATGGTTGGAAGACGTCTCGGCAATGGTGGAGACGATGGCGATCCAGTAGCCCTTAGGGCAGACATTGTGCGACGCGGACACGCAAGCAATATAGATATCTGTGCAAGGGGAAGTCAGCGTGATCTTCTTGGTCCAGATTCACCTCCTAGTGAGGCGAATGCTCCCCTGTTATCTCGATACTCACCATGCTTGCGTCCAACCTGGGACTGCGGGATGATGAGCTGGCAAGAATCGGCATCGTTTGTGCTTGCGAGCGGGTGCTTCAGAATGCAGATTGCCCGCAGCACATGGCCGGTGACCTTGACCTTCGAAGGGAAGTAGCTAGGGTCTCCGATGATGGTCTTGGCCTTGGTCTCGAACTTCATCTCAGGATCGACACCGGTCATGGTTGCCTTGATGCCGACCGCCTTGCCATCCTCATACAGGACCTCGTCGACGTTGGTGTTGAGCATGTAGGTACCACCGTAGATGGCGCTCAGCCGCGCGAACCCCTGAGGCAGCTCCCCGAGCCCGTAGAGAGGATAGATGTACGGCGACTGCCCGTACCGCGCAACGCTGTTGCCATAGAGCCGGATCCGGTTGACCGCCTCAGGGGCAGCCCCCGGGGCATTGAGGTACGAGTCATTCTGATACAGCCCCATGGCATGTCCAATAAAATCCCTCGTTGTCACCTCGAGTCCGAACTTATCGTACACCTCCTTCATTGTGCAATTGCTCATGTCGAGGCCTGGGAGACGATGGGTTAGCAAAGAGGCGAGCTCTTTCGGTTTCAGAGTGAGGGGACTCGCCCTTGTGTGTCGCGGGATCCTTCGAGTCGAACTGGCCAACCCACTCAATGAAGCCCTTCATTCTTCGCTTCTCGAAAATGCCCATCAAAGGCGACCGCAGAGCCTCGGCAGCATCAGATGGGACCTTGGCAACAGTTGCCTTGGTCCCAGTACCCTGCTGGACGAAGCTGCCGGCCACCTGCTTGAACTCGAGGTATCTGGTGACGTCGGTGGACACGAGGATGTTGGTGAGCTCGCCCGATGACATGAGGAACTTTGGTACGAGGTCGATGTTCCAGTCGTTGAGCCGCCCATATTGCTTCCATGGCTCCTCGCCCTTCTGGTAGTTTCCGTATTTCTTGAAAAGCTAGATATTTCCCGAGTTAGATCGGTCGGGGTTCGGGGGGTGTGTGTGTGGGTAGGTTGACGAAGAAGGGGCTTTAGCATCATACAGCTTCTAGATTGACGGAAGCCGCCTCGCTGTTGGGACAAGATATTGTCAGCTCCGAGCCACAGCAGAAGGTAGCGAAAACGAGGAAGGGGGTGATACATGCCCTCCATAGTGGTCGTTGCGGTCAATGTGTAGGACCTTCTTGCCCTTTACACTCAGAACGCTTCAGCTCCAGTAATTCCTTGTCAGTATACCTTCCCATACAATGAGCTCCAGGTGACCAGGAACACGTTACCCAGAGAGGATGCACTCGGTCAGGCCTGACGGGTTAACAAAGACAGATCGATGCGGTCAGAGGAAGTGCTCCCACCCCACATTGCGGGGCTTCGAACATACCTGTGCCTAGCACAATGACATCGTACTCCTTTGCGATCTCATCCATGTTTAGGGGCTATCAAGAATGGGGACAGGTGAGTGGGCTTTAGGAGCAGTTGTGACAGCTATATTATGTAGCTCGAATGGTGTTGACAGTCTGAGGTTGTGGTTGTTTCGTGGTACCGGTCAGGAGTTGGGTTGGGAGGAGGTGGGGGGGACGTGAGGGTCCTTGAAGCTAGCTGTACCGAGAGCCTATGATTCGGTGTTTTGGGCAGGCGGTATCAGCATGCAGGCCCGCTAGTCTCGGGTCAATCATGCCTCTTTGCCTTCCAACTCCTTTTTCCTGGTCTTATTGACGTTTGAGGGTACCAACAGATTTAAATAAGTCTATCATATTACAAGCGTGACATACAATATTTCTTTGTACACTTGGCAGTCTGGATAGCTGCCTTGGGGATTATACAATGGCGCTGGTGTTAGCCATGCCGTCTGCCGTTTTGACCTTTCCTTGCCTATACCCTTGCCGAGTCTCGGGGTGTCTGACTAGCAGGTAGTGCTGAGGGATCTACTTCTGATGCCTTCTCCTTGTCTTGATCGGCCAATTGCTGTTCCTCACTCCCTCGGCTGCCATGCAAGTCCCTCTCCCCTTCCCCTTCCTCCTCCTCTTCCAGGTACTCCATCGGCGTATAAGCGTTGCCGTTCCCAGAGAGATCGACCTCCGGGTCCTCCTCCGCCAGCTTCACCGCGTCTTCCCAAACATAGAACCGCTCCGTCAACGTGTGCTTGATGGCTCGCATGGTCATTCGCACCTGGTCGAGAGAGTGTAAGCGTTATGGCTTCCACAGCGTGGGAAGTAAAGACTTAATCCTCGCTTCCGCAACTAGAAGGCGAGGAAAACTTACCATTGCGTCCCTCTTCTGGGCCTCTGCGGCTCCGAACCCAAGGCTGAGCTTCTCCCTCTCGTACGAAGAGGTAGCAATCCTGTTTCTCTCCTTGACGCACACCCACCACAACTTGTGCAGGTCGTCCCAGGACTTATGCCGCAGCTCCTCTACAGACCACGGTCTCCCATGCTGCGAGTCCTGGGTTGGGGGATTCACGGTGGTGGTCTTGTCGTAGAAGAAGTCCCACAGGCCATGGTTCGGGTCTGTTTCGACCTGGGGCAAGTCCTTGGGCGCCACGGGACGGGGAAGAGGCTCGTCTGAAACTGACAGGCGCCAGCGAGGGCCAGTACGGCGGATGGTCGATTCGCCCCTGTGCTTGTTGTTGTCGCGCGTTTTCCGGGCGCCCGCGTACGTGTGACGCTTCAGGAGGGTGGGGGAGGTGGAGAAGCGAGACACTTGATTGCCATTTTGCTGAGTTTTCCGAGGCAGTAAGAGCGCGGCTGCGGCTGTTGAAGAAGACGTCGGTCGGGAAGAAGGCAGGAGGATGGCTGCCAGCGACGGCCGCACTGCTCTTGAGCTTGCCATTACGCAAGCAATTTGTTGGAGGGGGTTTGGCGTTTCGCTGATCGATCCGAATCGAAAATAGAGCACCACTTCTCCGGGTAGCTTGGGCGCTTCCCTTCCCGTTTACCTTCAGGTTAGATCAACAGTCGAAGTTCGCAAGCACGGTTTCGGCCACTGAAAATGTCTGTGTCGCTATCCAGGCTTCCAATTCCTAACTAGGTGCTCCCGTTTGGTCCGTGCGCCTAGTTCGAGCTCCACCCATGAGGTTTATCCGTGATGTGGCTGACCGACGCCACTGCCCAGGTGGCTGGTGGTTATCGCCAGGAAACCAAAAAAGCCTTGTTCCCAAGGTTTCTCGACGACCTACCTAGGTTCACGGCGCTGCTCTCCGCCTCAGTATCTTCATAGCCTCTCAAACAAGCCCCCATCCTTCGCCATGCCGACTGCGGCATAGCAATCTACTTTACGGAAGCCCGGGTTTGCATTCCAAGCAGAATGTCCCTTTGGCAGTATGCGACTTCACCTGACCTGACCAGCAGCCGTGAACTAATTCATGTGATATCAGATCTTACCGCAACTTGCCTTTCAAGGCAAGACTGGGAGTCGGGGCTGGCCTGGTGGCCTGGAGTATTGTTGGCATGTACATGTCTGATCGAGCCGAAGAAAAATTCGGCTTCACTCCATCCGAGGCCGACAAAGCAGCTTTGGACAGAATGATACCCAAGGTCCATGTCGTTGACAGGGACCGCAACCGATGAGCCGATAAGCCACCGCTACAGACGCCCACGCGCTAGGTTCCCAGGGAGTTGACATGACAAAAGTAGGTACTTTGATCCGGCGATCTCATACCGTCCTTGCAGTAAGCAGAATGCTGAGTGTTAAGACAGCTAAGTCGACGCTAGAATTCAGGAACGGCGAACGGAATACGATGGAGCAGAGAATGAAGGAAGTGTGTACTCCGTACGTCGTCGCTGCTTTCGAAAAATACCCGTCGTCTAGGTCTAGAAAGGAAGCCTCCGGCGGAGCTCTAATGTATGTAAACCTCACACTAATGATGTACATCTTTTTTTATTTTCACCCGAGCTACGCCTTCACCCAGGCTCTCGCTCTCGAAAGTGATTTCCTCTTTGAGTAATCCTCATGGCGTGTCATCCGAGAAAGAAGCACCGGGTCCAGCCAACCAAGAGTCCCGTTTCACAACTCATCGAGTGCCGGAATAGGAAACTTAAATGCCATGACCCCGGCTCCGAGCTATCATACCATGACAATTGCCTCCCAGAAAGACCATCTCAAATCCCACTTTCTCTCTATGTGCAATTGGATGAAGAAGTTGGGAAAGTCTAATGCAAAGCCGTCGAGCTCTAATCATCCCACTTGATCCTCATAATGCAGTGCAAAACAACCGCCGTCGAGCCAGTCTGATGCAGTGAAGGGGAATCATCAAACTTTTAGGGGAAAGGGCAAACCGTACCACCCAAAACAAGGGGGTACAAAGGAAATTAGAGGCAAAGGAAAAGAAAACGAAACAAACAAACGGAGATAAGGAAAGCGAGCAAACTCCGCCGATGCCAAGATATGTGCTGGGGTCGTCAAGGGAAAGAAAATCAGACCATGCCGCCCTTGCCGTTGCCCATTTCCGCCCGAACAGATGCAATTCCCTGAGATTCCACCACCTTGGGGAGAGGCTTGAAGAGCTGTGTCATGTCTAGACTCAAGTCTCGGACGCCAAAATCACGATCAATATCTCCGACAGATCCTAGCTCTTCTCCTCTCGAGGCACCGTCCGTCACAACCCAATCCCTGACCGACTTCAGCAAGTGAATGACGTGGGTGAACCGCTGGTCAGGGGCCATGCGCAGATCAGTAGCCCGGGCGTTCTTCAGGAGATATGTCGCAAGCCAGTAGAAATGGATGGCATCCTTGGAGAAACCATAACGACGAGGATGGACAACTGCTGCTGGTGGGAACTGCGAGGCCATATCAAGGTCCCAGTTGGATTTGAACTTGTCCAAGGCCGTCGCGAAAGTCTTCATCGTAGTGCCATCTAGCAGTTGACCCATTCCATCGACGGGGGTTGCTCGACCGCTGGTGCTCCCGCGGCTAGGGGCTTGAGCCCCGACAATCCAGTCGTGCTGCGAAAGAGGGGTGTTGGACCGGTTCACGGCTGCACTTCCGTCAAGTTGAACTCTCCGCAGCATGGCGAGCAGCGCGTGGATGAGAATGAATTTTCCGTACAGATTGGTTGTGCCTGGCTGGATCTGATACGAGTTGTAAAGGAGCGCTTTCAGAGCGAGGTTCATCTCGGGCTGCTTGGGTCTCTGGGTACCATCTGGATTCCGCGCCTTGGCAGCCTGCGGTCCGTAGAAGCCGAGGGCCTCACCGCACTCAGTGGAAGTGCGAGCTTCCCAGGCCGCGTCGTCTGCCGGTAGTGGGAGCTGCAATTCCAGGGCGTCGATCGCCGGGCCCGTGTTGAAGTAGAGACCCAGAGCAGCATCAAACAGGAAGATGGCGTACATTGCCCGAACACGCTTCTCCTGCTCAACCCACGAGTGCCAATCAAAGTTGGAAATGGAGAAGTTCTGGGCCGACAGCTCGGGCTGGTGGAGTGGGCTGTACAGTGTCGAATCGCTGGAGATACGAGTCAGGCCCGCCTTGCGTGCCAGTGCTACCAAGAAAGGGAAGGTTCTGCGTGCTTTCTCTCGCTGCAGCGGTGTGCCGTGCCACACAAACAAGATGTGCGAGAGGATAATGGCCTGCAGTTCCTCGATGTCCTGTTTCCGACGTCCGAAAGAGCCGGATTCATACTTGATGACGGAATGGGGGTCTTCGGACAGCGAAGCATACATACGCGAAGAGCCCTCGAGTGCCGTCTTCAGAAGATCCGATACTTCGCGGACATTAGCAGCCGCAACACGGTCCGAGTAACACGCGCCAACGCAACACATGCCCGCGACGAGGCCGACGTAAGCATCCATGATACGAAAAGTAGGAATATGAAGCATCGAGAAGTGCACGTGAAAATGAGGGTACTTGTCGAGAAAATCCTTGATATTGTCGGGCTGGAAGAAGAGGTCCACGCCGGCAGTCGATTGGTTCATGACAGTACCTGGGGGTAAGAGGAAGTTGAGGATCCGGTTAGAGAGTTGTTGATAGGGGTCTGGGTCTGACGAGGGCAGGCCCCAGTTGGTGAACGGCGTGGCATCGGTGGTGGCATTGGATCTGCCGAGTATGCCATCCGCTCTGGCGGGAGCGCCGCTAGGCTCTTGTTTGATTGCGGTCTGCGTCTGTCCGACGTTAGGAGGGAAGGCATTGACGTAGGTATTGTGCGCACCAGGTTGGAACATTTGAGACCAATCAAGGTTCGACTGTTGGGTCGAGTTTGTTCCTCCAAACATCGGCAGGCCGTTCTGGGGCGGCGGGATGCTGTAATTCGCTAGCTGCGGGTTGATATTGGCAGACATGTTATTCGACACGTCGCCGTTGTAGGGCTGCTCGTAGTTGGGGCGAGTCGACGCGCCCATGACCGAGTCATTCATGTTACGTCTGTCACGGTTCGCGTCGTCGAGCCTGTTCATGCTGCTAGATCTCGAAAGCTGGGTCTGATCGTTGGCAATGTTGTTCATCCCATCAGAAGCGGGAATAAGGCCAAACGGAACCATTCCGTCGGCAGGCATGTTTCCCATACCGTTCATGTGATTGACATCGCCCTCGGCACCGAGAGCATTCTTCTGGGCAGCGGCATTCTTCTTGACGTGCGCCTGTGGATGGGACAGGTGGGTGGCATTGGTAGGGTTTCCGCGGCGGATCGAGCATTTTTGGAAGTGGCGCTTAAGAATATCGCTGCGGGAGAAGGTATCGCGGCAGAGAACGCACATATAAGGCCGGTCGCCCGTGTCTGTTGAAAATTTGTGTGTTAAGTCAGGATCGGAAGGTAAAGGAAATTGGACTTACGTCGAAGGAGATGGCGTTTCAAGTGCTTGGCATGGAGGTAAGTCTTGGTGCAGTGGGGGCACGGAAACTTCCCGTCGGCATCCTTCTGCGGGATCTGGCTCTTGGTGGGCCCAGTGCCCGCAGCAGGAGCAGCCGGCCGCCCAGGAGCACTGGGGAGAATGCCCCGGCGGCCCTGCGATCCAACGACGTGGGTTGGCTGGTCGCCGTCGGGCATCATCGACTGCTGGGCCACAAGGGGGCTCTGGCCGTAAGGAGAGTTCATGCCGGGCTGGGGCATCACACCTCCCGCAGGCATTGGCCGAAGAACTGGGGGTCCACGACCGCCCGAAGATGGCGCCGGGGCAATTGGCTGCGGGTGCGAGGCAGCAGTAGTCGTCTGGGGCAGCATGGTCGACGAAGTGTAAGGTTGTTGCTGCTGCTGTTGGTATGGGTTGCTGGGCATCATCTGGTGGTACCCCCTGCCCGAGTTCTGCGCCGGAGGAGGCGGGTAGTTGGCCATATTGCCGGTAGAACTAGGAGTGTTTGGCGTCGCTGGAGTTCTGGGAGTATGAGGGTAGCTACCGTACGTGTTTTGCATGACCGGATTGCTTGGCTGGAGTGGAGGTAATGTCTGGGGCGGCAGAGGTCCCGTCTGATGCTGCAACTGATGAGGCGAGACGGCTGAAGGCGATGGGTACGAAGCTGTTGATGTGGCTATAACATTCGCCGAGTAATGGGAATCATCCATAATCCGCTGTCGAAACTAACCCTAATACGACAGCCGAATCAAGACCATTCGGCCAACTTCAGAAGGCTCGAGTGATGCTGTCTTTGGGAGGCTGGGTGGGCTGGCGACACTGCGGAAAGGCGTGGTGGATCTTGATCTTGATCAAGAACAATCACCTAAACCTCAAATCTCGATGAGATGCGCGCACCGAGTGTCGAGTGTCGAGTGTCGTGGGAAAACGCGACGGGCCTCCAGTAGTGACGATGGTGAAGTGGATGTGACCGGCCTTGTCCCGCTGTGGATAATTGCTCCAGTGGACGGGGACGGGTTGAGGCTCAAAGGATGAGTGCGGGTGGAGAGACTGGATGGAAAGGTTGAAGTGGAGACCTTCCTTTTTCTTGTGCTGCGGCGGCCTTTTATTTTTGGGCGGAGCTGTCAGGTACGTATGTGGGCCGTGGAACAAGGGCGATTGACAGAAGGCACGGGAGGAGGGTCTGTTAAAAGGCAATGCTGGTGTGACGCTCGAGCAACCGGTTGGGTGGCCGGCTTCTAGTGGGTGGGTGGGGAAAAAGAGCTTGACTTGACGCGGGCGACGGCGAAAAAAAAAATATGTCGAGGACCCTCTTTCTGGTTGGACGCGTCTCCAGAATATTCACTTTCTTGTGGAGAGCGAAGTTTTCTGATCTGATAGGTACTTGGACAATGGTACTACTAGTACGAGTCCTCTTTTTGATTCTTTTTTCTTCCCGCGGTGGACAGGCGGTGCGATGAAGAAAGGATGATGAGATGGAGGGGAGAGGAAACGATGCGATGTTAGGAAGCTGAGAGGAGGAAGAGTAAAATCCACCAGAGATTCGCAAATACGGATATGCCTGCGCTGATGCAAGACAGTGAATAAAGTCGACTAAAAAAAAGGAAAGGGAATGGGAATAAAAAGTTCTGGGGTGGGCCTTCTGTTTGTACGAAATCAGTAGAGTGAAGACCAGATCTCATCAGGGGACAGGGGTATGCCTGGTACTTTCACAAGAAAAACAGTCCGGTACCGCCCTAACAGCCACATGAGCGAAAACGCCCAACCATTGCCAGATCAGCACATACCCGTAAATACTGCGTAGATACAGCATCAGCAAATGAGGAACTGAAAACTTAGAGCGGCAGCAAGCCCAACCACAATCAATTGACCTGGCACGACTGTTCTAAATTGCCCTGTCCAGCCATGTCTACCTTGTGAGGTCTCTAAGATATGGGCTACATGCGTCCACACACTAACGCCACGCCGCACTGGGCAATCTCGTTAATCTGGCGAAGTACACTTGGTATGTGGCGTACTACCTCCCTAGCCACCTCTTCTTTAAACCGGAAGCACTAGCATTCTCAAGTAACCAGGTTGAGAAGTTAACACATGGATGTAGTTAGTGCAGACCAATCGTTTAATGCAGGAGTATCCGTACATTGGTGTAAAACGTACATTTATACGCATAAAAGGAACGTTAGAAATCTTAATTACGGTGGCTGAACAGGGGTGAAGGATGGATGCGAGTACCTAGCTTGCTCGCCGCTCGCCGCCCATGTGATGGCCGCACACCTTACAAACCTGAGGTGCGTCATAAACCCAACACCGCTAACGGGACCTCCTTTTTCCTGGTTTGTGTGCCGGGCCTGCGCGGGCGTTACTGAATACTCCGATCTTGATATTTCTCATTGCTCAACGGCAGCAGGTAATTGGTCGAAGATCCGAGTTGTATGCCTCAACAGTTAAGGTTGAGTGCTTTTGGCGCACGAGCTTCGAAGCCGAAACCCTCAAGCTCACGACTCATGGACTGATGAGGCGCTCGGTGCAGCTTCGGTATCATCGCCCCGTTTGCGAAGGCCAAGGGCCAAGAAGGCGATGTAGCGCATCGGCCTAGCGGGAGAGTCCTCAAAAACGTACCGAATTCGGCAGTGTTGGAGTTGGTGCACTGAGTCGCGCGCCCAGTGGCGGCTCACCAGGGAAAATAGAACGGGAAAAACAAGAACTGAGAGCGGCCAATCCAGGATCCAGATGCGCCTGGCCGGCGGCATTCTCGGATTTAGTTGCCTATCGACCTGCTGGGAATTCGATGATCCCACTCTGCCGCTATTTGCTAAATGCAGCCACCACCAAGTTGGCTACACCTATCTATCAAGCACACGGCCATGGCAAGCACACGCTCATCTTTGTGCTCTGGAGTGGTTGTATCATAGATACGTGATACGCTGAACCATAGATACTCAGTGCGGGAACGACACAATGCCAAACGGCGGATGAAGTCTGCCTGCCTAGGTACCTAGGTATCACCCATTGGTCGCAGTCATTCGCTCTGCCAACTCTACGCATATGCATCTGCTGCACTGATACCTAGACAGCGCATGTTCACATCGTCCTATCCAATATGTTTATTTTGCCAAGGGGAGGAACGAGGTCAGGCATCCTTCACATGCTATTGTGATTACCTACAGATATACTTGAGCGACGCAACCGAGTTAAGGGGCGACACATGACAAAAAGATAGAACGTTGTGCAGCAACCACGAGTCAAGATATTATTTAGCGAAGAGAAACCTGTTGAGGCAGCTCGAGAGTAGGATAGGTACCTATCATAGTGAGAGCCCAAGGGGAGGCTGGGACGGAAGGGAAGGGAAATACGATGTAGGGACGACAATGAATACTCCGTATCCGCACAGAGCACTAGGTATGTATGGAAGAAAGCGGAAAAGAACTTGGCAAATATGTATTAGTACAGATAAGGAAGGAAGGCTAAAATAAAACGTCATATTGTATAGGTAGCGCGACTCCCTGAAACAATACCGTGCCTCTGTTTACCTTTTTTTGACTTGAAGTACCTTAGGTATCAAGGGGAAATTCGAGTGGCAAGCAAGCTGAGTTAGCACCAAATTCAGAGAAAACCGCGTGTCATTCGTTGCAAGCACGAGCACCTAGAGCTGGATATCAGTCAACAGTTTCTCCCTCACAGAGTTGCAAACGAGGGCGCGTTTACTTCGCCCAGGCCCCTGATGCACGAAGGCGCTTTTCTAAACGCGTCCTGGTCTCCTCCCATATGGATATGGTGGCGGGAAGAAAGTGGCTCCTCCAGGGTAAGAACAAAACGGTTCTAGTGGAGCGAGCCTGGCGGCGATCTGAGGAGGCTCTAGGAGGGTCCCCCATCGTCAACCCACTCCCACGGTTCGTTCTGTACGACATGAAAAATTGGAGTCATGAGGGGCAACCTCCAAAAATCCAACTGCTATATCTTGACAGCAACCCCTCTCTTCCAGCACGGTGTCTGGTCCTTCCTACCTACCTAGCACACATCATCTTTGCTGCGGTGTCCGTCGTCGGGGAAGTCGCCGAAATAACCAGTGAGTCGCACCCCTGGCAGGAAGTTGAACTTGCACTACTAGCCCCTAACTTGGCTGGGCAAGAACCTGGCGCCACGAGAATCGCCGAAGCTGGACGGGTGGAAAACGAACCCAAAACTTGGGAGTGATGAAAGAACTCGCTCACATCATCGACCCCTCCGTCTCTCAATTTTTGATTTTGAGAGACGATACTCAATCATCCAATCTTTGTCATGGTGATGACGCACCAGGGCAAGGATGTGGTCATTGAATTGGGATTCCAGTCTGTGCCTAGACTCGGAATGCTGACACGATCCAATCAATTACCCTTGTCCACACCGCACTAGTCTGCGCCACTACGCATGGGTTGCGAAATTATTTCAGATACTATCGATATCCTTGGCCGAGCTGCTTCCGACCGCTCTTCCCTTGAATGCTTCAATGATGACTTTGATCGGCCAGCTTCCGACCAAACGATCCGGCTTCTTTCGGGCGCAGTTGGATTTTGCCCAGCTTCTCCGTTTGCCAAGATATTGTCATTGTCGCATCGTTTTCTAGTCGCTCCGAACTTTGCCCGAGACAAGGCAGTGCAACTCTACGTCTACGCCCCTGAGAACCTACCCAGCTACCTTACGCACTTTATTACAGCCCGGGCGGGTCCGTCCCAGGTCCGTCTTAACTTCTAGGTTAGGTACTATGTAAGAAACGGCTCCTCCCAAGTCGCGCCATACCGCTGTGGTTCCGTCTCGTGTGAAGATGACGATGAGACGAGAAGTTAGTGGGGAGACAGAAGAAAGCAAACTCGGTATATTTTCTCCGGGACTGTCGCCCTGGACAATCTACATAGCGGTACAAACTAGTGTCCAGACCCCAATTTACGTATACGGTAAGGATAGCCGGCGTAAGTCTTTGCGCGAGTTTCGCACCTCGGTCCTCCTGCTGCCGGTTTACTGCCGGGTTTACGACTGTACAATGTATATCTGTATTTGTATCCGTACTCCCTCGCGTTTACGGGTCTCTCACCCTCGTGGCTGATCCCTGTAAAAAAGATCAAGGGTGGCGGCACTACCCAAAGTGGAAACCCGTATGCAGAACCAGGGGCGACCCGTACATCGGACGTGACCTTGGATTGTTCGTATGTCCGCAGTACATGCAATTTTTTTTTTTTTTTTTTTTTTTTTTCGCGACTTGGAGCCAACTCAGTAAAGACGAGCATTTGCGCTATGTGCCGTAGATATTGCCGCGTGGCATGCTCGAATTTTTAGACGGAAAAGAAGCGGGGAAAGGAGGTTGGGGGTAGGCGGGTGATTAATCCCACGTTCGGATGTGGGACGTATGATGCAGCAAACATATTTGTGCATGGCTAGGTAGGTCCTGATGGGATTATGTACCTACAACCGAATTTCCCTTCCACTTGTCATTTGTGCATGAAAGAAAGGAGCGTAATCCGAGTATACCTATTTACGAAGATTGCTGCATCCCGTGGCTCTTACAACGTACTGAAAGAGTACTTAACGGGCAGCATCTTGGAGTTTGAAATTCGGCGGTGGCGACCGGGACTTCCGATGGAGGCACGACGGCGGTTGGCAAAAATGTGACCTCCTGCCCCCTTTCGAGAAAGTTCTCATTGAAAATCCTTCTAGAAAATGGCTAGGGCGGAACTCGCGTCTCTTTGAGCCGGTAGCGAGTCAACGGGCTGTATTCCGCCAATGGGTCTGTCATTGATGACAAACCCTGGCGGAATCGGGAAGGTGTTGGGTAGTGTGGTCGGTGCCATACCAGGAAATTTTCTTGATGATGCTCAACCCCCTGCCAAAATCTCCCGTCGGCATGGCATTGCATGTGTGGGAGTTTTAAGACCATGGCTGTGGCAATTGGAGTCTGCCTTGCTCGAAGTGTCTACATGAGAAAGTTCGCCGATGCCCATTTGGCAAGGCTCTGGCTGAGGCCTAAAGTATTCATAAACCCAGTTCACCGGCACCGGAACCGAAATATTCGGCATCTCGAAAAACCGGCATCCACTTCAGTCGGAGAACGGCAGGAGCCACAAGGCTGTCGGCAAGGGGACCGACTCCACCGCCTCCACCAGATCTCGGCACCCACCAGGCCCCGTTTTTCTTCGCGTTTTTTTATTTTCTATTTTCGCCAATGTTTGGGGGTCTGGAAAGAGGCGTAAAGGATAGTGTGGAGGGGGAGATTCGAGGTAATAATTAGTAACTACCGGTACAATACATACCGAGGTAATCTCAGAAACCTTGGCTCTCCCGGAACCTTGATCGATTCAAGGACGCGTCATGGCCCAACAACAAGATTGATGCAGCATCCGATAATTGTGGTAGTAGAGCGCGACCATCAGATGACGGTTCATGCACGATTGATGACTGAATAGGGATAATGGGCCGACGCCAAATTACACCCAACATTTTTTTTAACTAGACTTGTTTCAACCGATGTCTTGGGTTGCGAGCTTCTGCACCAAGGATGTCAAGTGTGTTTCGCCTGATGCATCAGAAACATTATTAGTCTTCATAGTATTATTGCTGGTCAGTGGCCGTTCACGGCTATTGCGGTTGGGGAATCCTTCTCCCGGACTCTAGTACCTACTGCAGTACAGAGCTAGTACCTACAGATATGTGTGAATATTGACATGGCTACGTAAACTGGGTAAATTACCTACCTTGGCTCATTCCTCTCTCTCATCGAACCGGACGGGTACTCAGTACAGCATTCCAATTTCTAGGGCGAAGATCATCCGCATCTGAAGAGCCTCGTTGGGTGAGACTAGGACGATCATGGACCTACAGAGACTTTTGTGCTCGTCTCTGGAAGAGGCAGGAGTAGCTGCTGCTTTTTGTCAAGATACATACCTCCATATAGTAGATCCCAAAGTCGAGTTGAGTTTTCTACATTGTGATGATACGCGTGACTCCGGGCTCCCGATTGTGCTGTGAGCCATCCCGGCCATCGTGTCAACATTCGAGGATATACGTATCACAAGGTATATGTATATTAATAGACAAATCCACTTCTTGAGCCTCATCAAGTAGGTAGTGTTGATGCCCTTGCTCTCCACTCTCCCGGTCCTAGAGGAGTGGATATGCGGGCATCTCTATAACCCTATAGACAAGGACGGGCAAGCCATTCGTTCTGTCTCCACTACCGATAATTCGGGAATGAGGCGTTCTTGCCGCCTTCACGGCGGCCCTCCCGGCGGGATACGACGTCGGAATTTACTGTATTGCGACTACCTCGTAAAGTGACCAGACATGTCCAACAACAAGAGCAGCCTATCGATGGTGTTCTCCCTGTCGCCATTTGCACGCTTCTGCCCGTCGTCCCTCATACGCGCCGAGTCCTCTCCCCTGCCGCTATAGCCCCCTCCCTTCTCACTCAGCCCCCGGCAAACAGTTATGAAGACGTCTACCTTCTTCCGGAACGACACGTATAGCTTCTTCGTCTCGCCCGTCTCGCCCGCCTCGGTAGGTTGAACCGTGCCAGCCGCCTGTCTCCTCAACCGTTTCGCGAACTCCAGTATCGACATAAAGATATCCTCGACGAGTTTCAGCACCGGCTGCTGCCTCTTCCGCAGCAGGAGTGTCAGCATGATCTCGTCCAGGACCTGCTCGTGATAATCGCGCAGCCGGTCCGGGCTGTACCCCTTTCCGACCCCGGGAGCGGGGAGAGAGTTACTCGTCAGCTGGTCCTGGACATGGTCGAGCCAGTCATCGAACCGGCGCCAGGGCATGACGATGCCCGTCTCGAAGAAGTAAGCGGTGAGTTGGGTCACGAAATGATGCGCTTCGATTCGGAAGCGAAGAGAGATGTTGTCAACGGGGACGCCTCGGGAAGTCCGTGTTGAGACGTCCCGGAAGAGTTGGTTGACCACGTAGAGCATCCGCAGAATTCGCACCAGGAGCCTGAAGATCTTGTCGTACTTGATGAGAATGACCGGCGTCATGATGGGCAGAAGAGCCGAGGGCGGCTTGTAAGATATCCTCAAGAAGTCGAGTGCCCCAAGTGAATCCGGATCGACGCATTTCTCGATTTCCTCGGGCGAGAGATCTCGCACCGCAAAGCTGATGTCCCCGAGTAGGTCTCCCTTCAGGGCTTGCGAGGTGCTCGGTTGTTGTGGGGCACCCGGTCGAGGCTCGTAGCTGTCCGCGAGCACCCCCATAAGGGCAAGTCTGAGCTCAGAGCTGGCTGGTGGCCAGTTCTCGCGGCCACTCAGACGCAGTCCCATGACACCGCCACTCAACGCAACGCCTGACTGGCGCTCTGCTGTGTCGAGTTCAGGGTCAAAGAGAGCATGTGAGAGGCGACTGCAGAATAGGCCATTCCCCAATAGTTGGTATTGTCTCTGCAGATGCAGATGATCCCGGAGATGGTGGGTGGTGAAGAGCAGGCGAGTGCACTCCCTGTTGACCAGGCGCGCCTGAGCAGCGACTGTCGGGCCAAAGGACAATAAGGGTAGCAAGGTCCAGTGGGGTGGGAGCCCAGACTCATGGTGCAGGCTAGCTTGCTGGTCAAAGAGCTGCTCTTGTAAGATCCGTGGTAACCCGTCATTGGTGATCGGCTTCTGGCCCATGGGTTGATTTAGCATATGTATCGATGCCACTACCTTCTCGGTAAGCTTCGCCTCGTCTGGGCCGAAGAATTGCAGTTCATGATCGACTCTGCTGAGAGGCAGCCGGCTGTGCTTCGCTTCGCCTTTCTCGTGGAGGATCCCCTGGATGACCTCCGCCAAGGCCTGCTCATAGTTTTTGGCTTTATCTTCCACTCTCATGATGGCGTCCCAGTCAAACTCCCACTGAATCTTGGGCGGGTTGGCCGCTGTAACTTCATCCTGCCGTGCGAGAGGGTGTTCTGGATGGTTCGATCGTATGAATCTAAGGTTTCGACCCGTTTCAAAAATGCCGAGGGCCATCTCTTCCGAGATGAATGAAGGCATATTGTCCTCGTCAAGGAAGTAATCGGGCTCGTCCAGTTCAAAGCCTTGATCGTCAATCCACATCCGATTTTCAACCTTGACGAAACTCTTTCCCGGCCCGTTCTTTGTCATGACGATGGCTTCCTCTGGCTTCAGACCAACCCATTCCTCAACAAAATCTGTCCACGGTTTTGATACCATTCGCAACACCTCGCAGACGGCGTTGTGCAAGAAGCCGTCTCTGTATTCGGTGGACTGGGCCTCTTGGAAGAGCATAGAGAGTATTTGCTCGTCCGATCTAAATGGCGATGCTTTCTCAACCAGTCCCCTGAAGTAGACCAAGATCGACCGCACTGGCTGCACGAGTGCCTGAAGCTGCAAAGGCGACCTCGATCTCTGGGCGCGTACGCCGAGCTCAGCCTGGATTGTGAGGAGGAGCATGTCAACTGCATTGGCCAATGCAATCCTTGACTGGCAGGCGTGCGAGGTGTATGTCTTGTCGACATATGATCGCAGATAGCGCGTTGTATCGCCGCATTCGTGGCATGCCTTGTTAATGCCTCCCAGACTTTCCCCGGAGAAGCCAGAGATCTTTAGATATGGCATGGTTGGAACAAAGCATGCCTTGTCGTCGTTCCATGAGAACAGCATCGAGCTCCTCCCAAGAGCCAGGGTAAGAAGACAAGAGCAGTAGACGGCTGAGTCGACGACCTTGCAGTCATCGTAGGCCGGAACATGGAGAGGGTTGTCCTCGGCCGCCAAGAGTGAATCAAACGTCCCAGGTCCGGACTCGGAGATAAACGTTATGGGCGATTCGCTTTTTCCTCCGCTATCAAACTTGGCCCAGGTTTTATGTTCGGGCTGCTTAGCCGAGACTCGATCATGGAAGAGCCAGATATCTTCAGCCTTGGGCTCAAGGACAGGACCTATGACTGGCTCGTCAAGGGAAGGGATTGCCTTGATTTGAACTTCAGGTCTAGATGGAAGGTCCAGAAGGGCCGGGGTCTTGAAGTAGGGATGGTCACTTGTTGTCTTGACCCCGGCGCCGTCTAAGGCTTGGGGGGGCACTCCTAAGGCCTAGATGTTAGAACTGAAAGTTTATCATCGGATATGTTTCTACTGTATAACACATACTATCCACATCAAGAGCGAAGAACGGGCCATGCTGCAGATGCAGGGAGGGTGATTCTAGCCAAGCGGAAGGTTTCCAGAAATCTGGAATGGCGAAGACATCGGAGGCGTCTCCATCGCCATTCATCATGCTAGTATCTTGACACAGATGGGAGGATTCATAGAAGCTGAAACGGCGCGTCCTGACTGTAAGTACATGCCGCAACTAAATAAAGACGAGAGTGTGAAGGTGAAGTTTTAAGAGATGCAGGTAGGTACCTACCTATTTACCTGCAGGAGACGCGGACGCGTTGGGGTTCTCTTGAATCGCGACACCCCACTTTACCAGAAGGTACGAGGGTACCTCTACAAGCTCCAAGCTCAGCTCCCTTTCCATTCTCCAGCGCTCCTATCCTCTACGGCACACGCTGTTATGGGGGTTTACCGTTCTACCTTGCTTCCTGGCCATCAATTACAACATTATTAACCAAGTATTGAGCTATCTTGGTTCCAATGCCGCCCAAGAAGAAAGGCCGCAGCAGCACCGTCGCGACCCCGTCTGGAACGGCGACACTGGGGCGCGATGAGGATGCCATGGATGTCGACACTCCAGCGGCTTCGGAGACTCCGACGGCCGCAAATGCGCCGAAACCACCTCCCGTCGACCTGAACAGCCCATGGACGGACGATCAGGAAGCTTCGCTGTTCAAGGCCGTCATCAGATGGAAACCTGCTGGTAGGCACAGCGTTCCGCCACCAGCGGTCGTGCCTGGCCCAGCATGCGAACACACAGCTGACTATCTGTTCTGCTCTCCCAGGCATGCACAAGCACTTCCGCATGATCGCCATCAGCGAGCACTTGCGCAACCACGGGTTCGATCCGGACTTTCTCACACACACACGCATCCCGGGAATCTGGGCTAAACTGCGGACCTACTACAACATGGAGGCCATCGACGAGCGTGAAAACAACATCGACTACCTCGAAGACGAGCATTTCGACCGCCGCTTCCTCGATTTCGAGCTTCCGTGGGCCGACTTCGGTGACGATATGATGGGGCGTGCCAAGGCTGACCCCAGCGAGGTGCCGACGAGCCCGGCGCAGTGGGACCCCGACGAGGAGCGGCAGGGCGGCAAGAAGCGGAAGCGGGGGGCGGACACGATGGCAAGCTCGTCGTCAGCAGGGCCGAAAGCTAGGAGTAGTACGGTTGAGGATACCGAGGGCGAGACCCCGGGTGAATCACCAGCACCGAGGACGGCAAGGGGCGCGAGGAGCTCCAAGCGCACTGCTAGCAAGGCGCGGAAGACGAAAGAGGACTCGACCGAGGCCGAGACGTCAGGGGTGGAGGAGGAGGAGGAGGAGGAGGAGGGGGAGGAGGAGGAGAATGGGGAGGAGGGGAAGGAGAAGGAGAAGGAAGAGGACTCTGACTCCGGAGATGCGGACGAGGAGAGCGAAGAGCAAGAGACCAGTACACCGGCTTCGAAACCAACAAGAGGAGGCGGCAGGGGTCGTGGGAGAGGTCGGGGCCGTGGGAGAGGCAGAGGAAGGGGTCGTGGCGGATGACCGAACGGGGATATGTTTACAGGAAGTCATTTGCTACTGATACGAGTTGAGTATACCCGACGAGGGTGTGGTCTGGGGGGCGCTCTTGGGCACGGCGCACTATGATACCAGATGCCACTTTTCCGCTATGCCCACCCACATGTACGGTTATGAGAGCGTCGCGACGGACAGGATAGATCAAAACTGTATCAACGGCATGGTCTGCCAAAACATAGTCTGCAGAAATGAGGCTTACGGTATGTGCAAGTATCAGTTGGCATACATACAGGTCATGCCCCGCTACGAAAGCCGAAGTATTAAATGCCTAAATAAATAACAACCCCACCATCGCGAAAAAGACACGCCTCCCAGCCTACCTGCAACCAACTGTGACGGAACCAAGCCAGCAAAGAGTCCGTGTCTCTCAAAATGTCTCGAGGCGGCCCTTCAGCGGAGAGGACCCTCACCCTCACTGAGGAGCTTGAGAAGCTTGAGCAGTCTATAACCCTAACTCTCCAAGGTCCGCCCCATCTTTTATTTACACTTTGGACTCTCTTAAGTCGCTAATCGCTAACAACGCGTAGAAATCGATCATAACTTCAATAAAGCGCATCGCATCGTGACCAGCAGCATACTTCCGCTTGTCGAGCAGTATGGCGAGCACTCACGATCCGTATGGGAGGCGTCCAAGGTTCGCAAAACAGACGGCGATGCTAAACCGAACCCACTCCGGTCGACCACCTTGCTAACCCCCACCTCCAGTTCTGGAAGCAATTCTTCGAAGCCTCCGCCAACGTCTCCCTGTCCGGTTACGAGGAGCTAGCCAATGATGGAGACACCACGGCCGCGACCGCCGAGGACGCGACCATCCGCGATGACACCACAGGGGACTACGCGCCCCACTGCCCGCGGAGCCACGGCAACGACACCACCGCGACCGCCGACCAGTCGAGCCCCTACCAGCATCAGCGCGGCGCCGAGGACTCGATCCTCTCCGACGGCGACGGCACTCTTACGGGGAGCACGCCGCGCCCGCCGGCGACCAAGTCGCTGTCCGTGAAGCCGCAGTTTGCGGATCTGGGGTCGCCCTACGAGGCGTTGAAGCGAGAGCTGCGGAACGAGATGGCGTCAGGTGGCGGTGGTGGTGGTGCTGCTGCCAGCGGGCCCGCGGGTGCAGACGACGAATCGGATACCGAGATCCTCTTCCAGCAGCACACGGCACGCCTGCCGGACATGTCGATGACGCCGCGGTCGTCGATGGCGGCCGGCGGCGGGCATGATCTCGGCTACGACGACACCGACCAGTTCGGCCCGAGGGCGAACAAGGACCCACTGCTTCACCGGGTCCTGGACAAGAACTACCGGCTGATGGCCACGCCACACAAGGGAGCCGGCGGCACCGGCGTGTCGCCCATCAGATGGAAGGTCACGGAGAAGAAGGACGACGCGCAAAGCAAGGGCAAAGAGAAGGCCCAGCTTCCGAGCTGGCACGACTCGCCCATGTCGTCGCCCGAGATGGAGGTGCCGAAGCTCAGAAGCGCGGCGTTCATGTCGCCGGTCCGGGCTGCGTACAAGACTAAGATGGCGGCCGCGCCGAGGACGCCGGGTGTGAGCGTCCAGACCCCCGCGGCCGGCAGGAAGACCCGCGATGTGTACCAGGAGACGCCGGGCGCGGAGAAGGAGACGGACGAGATCACGTGGGAGAGCGACAGCGACGACGACATATACGGGGGGATGAGCCCGCCGAAGACGATCAACTTTGCATTGGCACCATCGAAGCTGCTACAGACGCCTGGTAAGAGGACCGGAGTCACAATCGCTCTGCCTCGTGATGGTGATTGCTAACAATGTGATAGCTCGAGAGGCAAGCAAACGCATCGTCGAAGATATTCTCCTTACTGCTGGAGCGGGACCAGACGACTCGGAAGAATACAGCCCAACAGTGGTCAAGATGAACGCCAATGATTTGGATGATACGTTTTAAAGACGATTTAGTATGTATATTTGTGTTTGGTTTCGGGTTTCCTCTGAGATGTTGAACGTATGTGCAATATCAACCAAAACTCTGAGCAGCCATGACAAAGATACCCCTATTCCCCCGTCATTGCAGAGTTCTCGAAGGCAACAAACTAGGCCATGTTCAAGGATGTATATGTCCTTCACAAGAATAGAAACCGAAAGAGAGCGGTAACAAAAGAAACCTCGATGTGACTGACAGCAATTCGAAGGCAAACAATGTGAACACCGCCCATTTTCCCATGTTTATGTTCCAATATCCCTTCTCCCTTCTATTGGAATGAATCTCCTCTAGTCTCCAAACTGTATCATGCCTCTCATTTCAAACAGGATGGCGTCCGGCAACCGCCCCCACCGTTGGCCCGGGGGCGCGCGCCGGCCGGCGGGGGGGGGGGGGGGGGGGGGGGGGGCGGGGGGGGGGGGGGGGGGGGGGGGGGGA